TAGTCTACAAAAACAGCAAAAGTTCCAAAACACCAATCATCAAATAACGCTTTTGACTATATATTAATATCTTATCTTTACTTAAACTTAAGAAATTTTGTAATTTGAATTTATTCCACTGATCATCCGAATTGACAAAGTCGTAATGCCCTCGGGGAAGACGGTAATTTACTGCTGCTAACTGCGGCTACTGTTTCGCTTGGGGGACCTCCAACGAGCGCCGCTTGACAAGATCCCAGGCAGCAAACAAACCCAAAGGAAGCTCAAGCTCGGGCAACAATTGAACTGCAATAAAACAATTTACCCAAAATAGCGCTCGGCCCAAGAGCAATCTGCTGGTTAACCTGGCATCAGACTGCCGTTGCACTGAGAAAAATACGATGAAATCTTAAAAAAAATAGAAATGGATTAAGAGTTGAGTTTTCAGTTTGAGTTTGAGTGTTATATCCCATTATCTAAAATTTTTTTTGTATTAATCTGTTAAACTTAAGGCCTTATCTTGATGTATATTTTTTGGGACCATAATATTTTATCTGTTATAATCCTCAAATTTTTTTTTTTAATTTTTAGTTCTTTTTAAGGGTTTTAAATTTAACTCTACCTTTTTTTAATTCATAATTTATTTTAAAAATTATACATAAAGATACGTCTGTCATAAGATTAAATAGCTACCTTTTGAATTATCGCCTTATTATCCACAAATAAAACTAATAAAGGCAAATGCTTGATTGATTTTGTAGCCAACATTTTTTCCAGTGTGGCTCTGCCGCTGTTACCGGACTCTGGGCAACATTTATCATTGAAATGTGGCGTGCGGTTTCTACGCAGTCGCCGCAGCAGCCGAGGATGCTTTGCGGCACCAAAACGAGCTCCCGAAACTCTCTTTTGACTTTGGCGGTTGCTTTGCATATATGCAGTGTGGCAGGGCTAAAAGAGGGCGCGGCAGCGGGGGGGCGTGGCAGTTGGCCGATAAACTATCCCCTTACCCCTTACCCCTTACCCCTATCCCCGATCCCGATGCCGATGCCGTCAGTCCGCGTAAGTCAGGCAGTCGAATGGCTATATGGGCGCAGAAGAAAATCAATTCATTGGCCTGAACAGATTTCCCTTTATCTCCGGCAGTCTCTCTAACCTGTTCGTCTTGGCCAGGCGGCTGATTTGCATATGTTTTGGTACTTGGCTACTTGGCTACTTGGCTACTTTGCTGCTTGCGACAAAGGCCCTCATAATTGCTTGATTTAGCGACCCATTCAAGGCGAATAGTCGGCGCCAGCCGCATCTCTAGATCTTCGCTCCCAGCTTATTCCCTGGTGTAAATTGTCGTCCGACAATGCTACGTGTGGTGCTGGCCTCACACTAAGAAAAACTACGGTTCCAATTAGTTCCTGACATTGCAACATGACATTACGAATAATTTACTATTTTTATAAATTTATATTTATACCCTGCCTTAGCAGTTTTTCCCAGAAAGCTTTGCAACATTATTTTCTACCAAGATTAAATATAAACTCTACTTCATATCAACTTAGACAGTTAGCAATACATTTATTTCATTTATTAAAAAATATTTCTAAAACTTGTCTAAGTTTAAGGCTACCACAATTGGGATTTTATTCTCTGTGCAGATTTTTAGTTGTTGTTATTGCAATGGTAGTGGGTGTCTTGTGTCGCGTAAATTGCCATGCAATTCATAAATGTCAACGCGTTTTGTATGAACGATGGCAGCAGACTGCAGGAAAGACTCTAAGTTTGGGCTAATTTATGAGTTTGTTTGGCTACTCGAATCGGTTGGGCAACAATTAGAAGAGGTTTAAGAATCTTAGTCGGGATAATCTCTTAAGCATTTCCAAATATATTCAGAGCTAAACCAATCAAAATGAAAATGGAATTATGAGTAACTAAAGATCTCCTTTATACCCTAAATTCTTTCAATTTTTATTTCATTTCAAACTTAGTTGTTTCATTATGATCCACAAACGTTATATGTACATTAAGATATTATACAATAGCTATTTTTTTTTAAACGATAAACTAAACTTGAAGGATTTCATTATTAAGAAAAAGTTTCATAATTGTTATACAAAATAGTCCCAGAAGAAATTACTTCTCAGCACAAAGGGCTGTTTTATTTTTTTTAAAAAACTATACTCTTTAAACCAATACTTTAGTTTAAAAGTAATACTTAAAAGCCGTACAATTTTCTGCAATTTTTATTGACTTTCATTGCTTTTTTTACTCCCTTTGCAATCCTGTTGATTTCCAACTGTCCTCTTCTCGACGTCCGATCAAAATATTTGCATAAGCAAAGGCCTTCGTTACAGTTTAAGCCAGAAGCCTCAACGGCCGAGAGCAAAAGGCAACAACACACATAGGTGAGCAGCGTCATGTGCTCAGTTCAGATACAGATACGGATACAGATACAGATACGTATACACCGAAACCAGGACTGAAACCCACCGAAGTCGACGACGACAGCAGGCACGCGCCCCGATCCCGAGCCCAAGGATCGAACTCAGGTACAAAGGAAGGACAGGAAAAAAAAAAGAAAAAAGATCAACAGCCAGGGAAAAGGGCGAATAAAGGACCTAAAAATGTGCAACTGTTGGGCGATCTTTCGCACGGGTGAATAACCCGAAGAGGTTCCTCGAAGAATCTCGATCTAGTGGAGCTTAGTTTATAATTTTCGACAGGAAAAAGCTGCTGCTGCTGCTGCTGCTGCTGCTGCTACAAAATGGAAGATCTTATCGTATCTAATATCTGTGCGCGGGACTCGATCAAATTACAGTTCCGGTCAAGATTGAGCACATTTGGTTCCGCTTTTGTTTCGGGGATGAAGACAATGGATCGGGGGCTACAGTTAGCCATAAGTTAATGATTTGGCCGCTGCCTTTGGTTGCTGCCTGCGCTTCAAGTGCAGCATATGGCGTACCCACTCATCTCCTCTTGCTGTGGCTTCAGCACAACTGACGCAGGATACGCAGTATACGCAGGATACTCGGCCTACCTACGATCGGAGTTTTGGGTCGACTTGATATCCTCCACATGGGCCACGAATATGTAAAAAGATCAATCAAATATTGAGTTCCCTTCTTCGAGTTCGGAACTCTCCCTAGCAGGAATTCTACTCGTATCTAGATGCCCACTTGACTGTGGCATTTTTTTGTTAGGCATTTATACCGTGTAATAATAGGCATTGGGGTGCCCAGGGTGTCCATGGGGTATGATGGTTGTAGACATTTTATCATATAACTAAAAATTATTTGTTTTAGCAATTATATATTTATAAGTAGTTTTTTTTTAGCATACCTCTTAAATATTTCATCCTTTAAATTTTGATATATTCAAAGAATATCATTATTTTAAAAATTGGAGTTAATTTTATAGAAATATATTTTGCAGTTACATTTAAGAATTTGATTCCCTAATTAAGTCACAGTTTCGAAACATCATTGGTTTTAAAATTTACAAATATTTTTAGAAAGTCGAACAATAATTATATGATTTTGCTTTAATTGTAACAAATACGTCTATATATTTGGATAAAATATGTTCCAGGTAATCTTCTAGTCCAATGAATTGCTCACCCAAACTCCTTTGTTTTTTTTCCTCTTGCTTAGCTGGCATTTTTTGCCCCGACTGTTGCTTCCATAGTGCACCTGCTTTTTGGGCCCAGGACGCGGGTCTTTTGACCGCAATCGTGGCCAGGGTTCGCCAGAAAAGCAAAACCAAGCAAAAGCGCTCTTACAGGCCAGGTCGCTTAACTGTTAACTGTTGGCGCGCTTACATCGCCAAGGGATCGCACTTATGGTTTTCTTTTTTAATTCGGAACGGGCACAAACGACGGCACAAAGATCCTTAAGAGCGTGTGCCAAAAACAAAACCGCAGTCCTCTGCTTTACCCAAATCCCAAAGCCAAAACGAATCCGAATCCAAGCTCGGCTTTCGGTTCGTCCTGGGCCCAAACCACTTTCGTTTATTTTAATTTGGCTTGCGGTCAAGGGAATCGGGGAATCGGGGAATTGGCAGCCAGCCTGCTGCAATCTGACAAGAGCCTGCTGCATTTAATAACTGTTTTCGTTTTTGCCGCTGTTTTTATATACTCTTGAAACAGGAATAACGATTTCAGGCAGGGCCCCTGAATTGAATGTGTTTTTTTAATAGTTTTATTAATACTTCGACGATCTTCTTCTTGTCGAATATCATACTTTGTCGTCATATAAAACACTTGCAAGTCGTTGAAGCCTTTAAAAAACAAACAAAGTTGTTACCAAGTATATAACAAGCTGGAAACAGCTTCTAAGGTAAATGGGTAACATAGTGAGGTGTTTTATTTTTTGTTTTAAATTAACACAAATATAAATATCTTAGTGAAAATTTCAAGACTTAAAACAACTTTGTTGCGTTTAATCAAATTTAACTCAAACTAATATTTATTATAGTATGCGATAAAACAAGGGTATTTAATGCTTTGGGTGTTAAAAGTTAACCGTGGTGGATATTTTTATTTCGAAACTTGACTGCTCGTGCCTGTTAAACTGCCCCCCGAGTGCTCACGATCTGGACTTGGGTTAGGACCCTATAGCGATTCCGTTTTGCGGTGCACGTGCCACATTTTGCAGCTTGCCACGAGATGTTCACCGGTCGATCGAGCTCTTATCTTGCAAAACAACGCGCCTCGGACTTAATTAATTTTTATTTATGTTAACGAGACTTTGGCTTTTAGTTAAATCAGAGTACAAGGGTCCGCATCCAGATCCTACCCTGTCAAACCATTTGTTCTCAAAACGACAGGCAGGGATTGATTTCCACTATTAAAACAAGGACTCTTTCTGTGTATGCATAATTTTTGGTTCTTTTGCCAAATCATTTCCTATACAAGAACGTTTAAAGAAAACCTAAAAGCGTTAAATTTTTTTAATTTTTCTAATACTTATTACTGTTCAATTGGTATATATAACTGGCAGTTAATGCGCTTGGCACTTTAGATTAATTCATTGGACTGAATTATTAACTATTTATTTGAGCGAACATAATCGGCATTATAAACATGCAAACAAATGATTGTGTGATAGCATATTAGCAAAATATTAAGGAAACTAGATATTTACTCATAATTTCATTGTTGATAAACAAAACTCACTTGGAGAATCTTGCTTGAATCTTGCACGTGGACGGCCGTTCAGTAATGTTTAGCTAGTAGCAATCTCTACACAGTTCAACATTTTACTCAACACACCACAGTGCTTTTGGCGCCATCTAATCTTGGTTTTATAATTTTAACAGTCTACTGATAGATGTCTCTGGAAACACTCTACCTTAAAAACAATATGAGCCCTGCCAAAAGCTTAAAAATCCTATCTGTCTTATAGAACTTGAGCTTAAGTACACATTTTATATTTTATACATATTAAGGAAATATAATTTTAAGTTACAGGGGAAAGATGCCCCAATATAAACAGTTTTACTGCAAAGTTGCATATAATTAATCAGTTAAAACGGGTTTAAGAACATGAGGTATAGGAAACATTTTATTTTAAATTCCTATATGTATTTTGTAAAACTGTTTGCCATCTGAGAAGTGAACAACAAATCTTTAATAACCTTTTAATGCTCAGTTACTTAGGATTCGGTCCTCTAAAGTCAACCAGCATATCTTGGGCCTCTATATTTTCCCACAAAAGTGTTCTTTCGAAAACAGAAAGTTTATCACAGGCGAATTTACCAAGTACTTTCAATCCATATAGGGCTGAATGTCATGCTGCTGGCGAGCTGCCTCCGTTTCTGCTCCCACGGCGCAGGCCAGCAATGAGTTGACGGTCTGCTCCTCTCCCGCCTTATAAACATATCCGTTTGCCTTGTCAATGTGGTTGCGCAGTCGCAACATGCTGTCCGTGCTGAAGGCATCCAGCAGTTGGAACGAGACCAGGGCGTAGTCCTCCACCATGGAGCAGATGGCGGCGTTCAGTTTGCGGTGCTTGCGCATGGTCGGATCGTCGTCCAGCTTGTCCAGCAGATATTTCAGGTCCAGAACGTCAGTGTAGTAGTCCACATTGAAGTGCAGCTTGGCCTCGTGTTTCCTCAGCAGATCGGCCTTGGAGAGGACATTAACGTGGGGCAGACTCATCCGCAACATGGTGTTCAGAGCCATCAGCAGGGTGGCAATGAATTTGGCCGGCTCGGAGCAATAATGCGAATCGATGAGGTTCACGGTGACCAGACTATAACGCTCCCGTTCCAATCGCTCGAAAACCCGCGCCATGGCGCTGTGATGGGTGTAGAGCTCAATCTGCCCGGGACAATCGAACAGGAAGTAGTTGTGGGTGGCTCCCAGTTTACGCAGTGCCGGCAGCAGCCAATCCTCCAGGTGATCCGCCAGGTACTCCGCGCAGTGCATCAGGGATCCATTCGGCCCCAGCTGCAGGTGCTCCATGCAATCCTCCACGGTGATAAGCTCCATTACACTGAGAACCGGTTCGTAGGACATGTTCTCGTTGGCCGGGTCCAGATTCACCACGCCCACTTGGCGGCCCAGTTCGCGGTAGAACTTCAAGGCCTCGGCGCAGTAGGTGGTCTTTCCGGAACCAGGTGGTCCAATGATCAGTTGTCCGTACCGGGGATTCTCCACCGTCGCCTGCGCTGGGAATCTTTGCATCATTTTTGTGGCAAATTGAAATGCATGCAAAACGTAAACAACAAGATGTGATCAGTGTGGCCAGATGAACAAACCCTAAATATACCGATAACACAAAAATATATACGACTTAAGCTATCTACATACACCGCCCAAAATTATATTAGCTTTTTAAAATCCTAATATGTTGTATTAATAAACGTAAAAATAGTTTTTAAGGACTTTATTTAAATGTCATAATAATTTTTCTTATTATTGTTTTTGACTGGAAGCAGGTAATTTAAACTTGATTACTTACTTAAAACTTCGAACAATTGAACAACAAAAATATACAATTAAATACTTTTGAAAACTGTTTAATAGCCTGATTCCATTGCCGCATTAAAACGCATTTAGCCAAATGCGCATTTATTTACACAGGGAATCCCATAAGGCTAAATGCCGCATTTAAAATAAATGCGATTTTTAAATGCGATTAAAAACCATTCGCCCCGAAAGTTTTTAGAAAAAATACTGGAAAATACCGATGTTTAACGATATTTTGTTCGTGCCACCACTACAACAGCTGTTTTTATAAGCAAGGTTGGCGCAATTTTTGATTTTTTTTTTTTATAAAATCTATTCCGTATAAAAATGACTGAAACCTAGAGCGCACGCTGCAAATTCTGCTCGCAGTACCACAATGCATTACTGCTGGATCTCTGAAATAAAATTACTCCCACATATACGGGGATCCTTGCCTTTTTTAGAAACTGTGGTGGCCTTCATTGCAAACCCGTCATAACAACGCAATCAGCTTCTCTTCTTTGTCGTTCAAGTTGGCAAATGTCTCGGTCGCAATATGGATGTCCTGCTGAGCATTACAGAGTTTAGTAAACTCACTCATGTTCATTAATTTTAATTAATTTCTTTTGGATTTGCCAAAATTCAAAAGTAAACAAGCCCAGATCAGCTGTTCGTGCCACTCACATGTCGGAGTAGCATTAACTAAATGCTAATGCGCCAATGGAATCAGGCACATTTAAAAAGTCCACTAATGCGGCAATGGAATCAGGCTATAAGAAATATAAAAAACTAATTAATTAATGCCTAATAATAAAAAACAAACAAGTAATCCTTAAATCAATATACTGAAATAAATACCAAAGCCGTCTTGGTATTGATGCGTGGGCGGTTCTTAAAATACCGACCGGCGTAGGAGTGCACTGCGGAGGAATTGCACCGCATCGCGATCCGGTCACACTGCACACAGTTCGTCGGCGAGAATTGAGTTTGGTGTTTTCATTTAGCGGAAATTCGCGTTAATTAGTAAACCTTTGAAAAGCACAAGAACAAGAACAGAGCAACCACCGCAATGGCTCAACCGCAACCACCGGCGTACGAAAACAGTGAGTTGGCACCACAGAATCAAAAGCCCCATTGATAATCTCAGTCCAAATCGGAACGAAGGGGGGATGAGTCAACAGGCGAAAACGGTAAAAGCAGAAAGCAAAATCGCCGGAAGCGCCGTGATTATGCCCATAAATGGGCATAGCTGCATATGATAGACCTCTACAAAAACTGTGGAGTGGGGGGATGACCCCCATCGCGACGAGCCCCAAAAAAGTAGCCGCACCCTGTTTTGCACCCACTCCCTGCCATTTCGCCGGCTTATCTTATGCCCATTCCCACCTATGAAAACTTCTAATCGAAATAATCACTTTTAATTGCAGAAAACATCTACGCAACGCTGCCCCGCACCCAACGCGGCCAACCCATCGTCTTGGGTGCCGATCCCAAGGGCAAGAACTTCCTGTACACCAATGGAAACTCCGTGATCATCCGGAACATCGAGGTAAGCTGATACATATCATACTTATATGTATGCAGCCTGCTGCCTTTGCTGCTCCTGCCATAAATCCATGGTCTTTTCCAAATCATGTTTTATTTTTGGACAGCTGCAGTTTGTGTTTGTGTTTCTGTTGCCAGTTTGTATGTTTGTGCCTTCTTTCTGGCGGCAGCTGTTCTATATTTATTTTTATATACGGCGCAAAACACAGATATTCCCATTCCACAGACCAACCGGCAAAATCAGTCACACAGACTGGCACACAGAGAAATCACTTGTTTGCCGCCCACGCATCATCATAATGATGTTGTTTGGTTTTTGGTAAAAACAACCTATGGTTTGTCTTACACTCGTAGAACCCATCGAAATTCGAATTAAATTGTCTACGTTTCTTTTTTATCCGACTGAAGAATCACATCATTAAGTTGATCGCTCTGGATTACCTTTGTTTTTCTGTTTGTATAATACTTTAACTGGCAAAAGTGATTCCAAGGGTGGCCTCTATTCGTGTATAAATTTATTCTAAAACCATAAGTCATAGGTAGTTTTTAAACAGCTATTTGTCCGAAAGAACACCACTATTATGTTCTTGTTGTAAAAGTGACTGTAAAAGACACCCTATGTTTCCTGTTTCTTTCTCCATGTAATACATGCATTGGGTAAAAGTGTTTCTATGATGATCACCTCTGTTTTCCCTGTCTTCCCGCCATAGAATCCAGCCATCGCCGATGTCTACACGGAGCACTCGTGTGCAGTGAACGTGGCCAAGTACTCGCCCAGCGGCTTCTACATTGCATCTGGCGGTAAGTTTCGCCCAGCAATTTCACACTTGGAGCACCCGGCTTCGTGCAGCGAAGCATATAGAATCGTGACCAGCATGATTCACGCTATGGCCTGTGATTAGCATTTCCTTATTTGGAGCGGTTTCTTTATCTTATCTGCGGTTTCGACTCAAGCAGACTTGTTTATTTGGTTTCCACCCCTTCTCTTTCTAGATGCCTCGGGCAAGATTCGCATTTGGGACACGGTCAACAAGGAGCACCTGCTCAAGAATGAGTTCCAGCCCATTGCAGGACCCATCAAGGACATCAGCTGGTCGCCGGACAATCAGCGCATCGTGGCCGTGGGCGAAGGACGCGAGCGTTTTGGCCATGTCTTCATGTCTGAGACAGGCACCTCGGTGGGCGAGATCAGCGGTCAGTCCAAGTCCATTAACTCAGCGGATTTTAGGCCAGCCAGGCCATTCCGTATTGTGACAGGTGAGTGGTTGTGAATATCTAGAGAATATAGAGGCGTAAACTAAATCCCAATCTACTCCTTACAGGCAGCGAGGACAACACAGTGGCCGTGTTTGAGGGACCCCCGTTCAAGTTCAAGATGACCAAGCAGGATCACTCCAGGTTTGTGCAGGCAGTCCGCTACTCGCCCGACGGCAAGTTCTTCGCCTCGGCCGGCTTCGATGGCAAAGTCTTCCTGTACGACGGCACCAGCTCCGAGTTGGTGGGCGAGTTCGGATCACCTGCCCACAAGGGCGGCGTTTACGCTTTGGCCTGGAAGCCGGATGGCAGCCAGCTGTTGACTTGCTCCGGTGACAAGACCTGCCGCCTGTGGACGGTGGAGTCACGCGAGTTGGTTAGCGAGTTCGTGATGGGCAGCACCGTGGACGACCAGCAGGTTTCGTGCCTGTGGCAGGGAGAGCACCTGATCACCGTCTCGCTGTCGGGCGTGATCACCTACCTCAATGTGGCGGATCCCGCGAAGCCGCTGCGCGTGGTCAAGGGCCACAACAAGCCGATCACCGTGCTGGGTCTGAGCGATGACCGCAGCACCATCTACACGGGCAGCCACGACGGCGTGGTGACCAACTGGAACTCGGGAAGCGGCACCAACGATCGCATCACGGGCACCGGCCATGGAAACCAGATCAACGGCATTGCCGCCTGGGGCGATTTCGTCTACACCTGCGGCATCGACGACAGCCTGCGCCAGTTCAGCGTGGAGGGCAACACGTACACCGACTATGTGGTCAAGCTTAACTGCCAGCCTCGCGGCCTGGCCATTCTGCGCAGCGAGAACATCATCGCGCTGGCGTGCATTAAGGAGCTGACCCTCGTGCAGGACAAGAAGAAGATCTTCTCGCTGCCCATCAAGTACGAGGCCAGTTCGATTGCCATCAATGCGGACACCTCCGATGTGGCCGTTGGCGGTGATGATCAAAAGCTGCACATCTACAGCCTGAAGGGCGGTGTCCTGGAGCCCAAGGTGGAGCTGGATCACTTGGGCGCCGTAACGGATGTGTCGTACTCGCCGGATCTCAAGTATCTGGTGGCCTGCGATGCCCATCGCAAGGTGGTGCTCTACTCGGTGGAGGAGTACAAGGTAATGTGGTTATATCAAAGCTTAAATTCTATTTAACTAAATGCATATTTGTAGCCTGCCCACAACAAGGAGTGGGGCTTCCACAGTGCTCGTGTCAACACGGTGGCCTGGTCGCCGAACTCACTGCTGGTGGCCAGTGGTTCGCTGGACACCACCATCATCATCTGGTCCGTGGCCAATCCGGCCAAGCACACCATTATCAAGAGTGAGTTGTTTGAGAAGGAAAGTGAGAGTTAGTGTGTGATTAATTTTTGAATTTTTCAACCCATTTCAGATGCCCATCCGCAGTCGCAAATCACCCGGTTGGTCTGGCTGGACAACAACACTGTGATCTCCACCGGACAGGACTGCAACACCAAGGTGTGGCACGTGGAAAGCATCTAATTGGCCCAGCCGTGAGGCATATTTTTATACTTATCCAGGGAGAGCAGCCAGCCGCGCCTTGGCTTCATTTCATTTAAGTGCAACAGTTTACATTTAGCTATTTATGTCTTTACCCCTCATGTCATGTCTTTAAGTTTAAGCCCAAAAGTGTTTGCTAATCACCATATCATGGATATCCAACTATTTTGCTCCGCTTTCATTTGCGTCTGTGTTTTTCGATCAACCTTTTTATACTACTGGAACTACGAACTACGAACTACAAACGCCGAAAGGAAACACAAAGATATGTAAAGTACGCCAGCGTACATAAATTATTGTATTATGAAATGAAATATACTAGTTTTTGCAAAGCTCTCCAGCCTCCTTTTCCGTTTGGATTTGTGTCAATTGGGGTATAATCTAAACACGCACAGTTTCTTTGGCTTCTTAAACATTTATTCCTCTTTAAAATTGTGTGTTGTTTTTTTTGTTTTTTGTTTTGTAGGTCTTCACCCTGTCTTTTTGTGTGCAAGTGTGTGTGCGTGTTCAGGTGTATAATTACAATATTTATAAAAACTTGGCTTAATTTACTAGAATGTGTAGGCGTGTGCTTGTGAGTGAGTGTGTGAAAGCGAAAGGTAATAATTGTTTGCATCTGTTTGCAGTTTGAGAGCCTCGGAGGTTGCTACAGCTTGTGAAATAATAAACGTAAATTGTGCTAAAAGTAAGTACATAAATTAAGATAGCTAGAAAGGCGCTCGCATGTGTTTGTGTGCAGAAGACGAAAAACGAATTGCGCTAATTATCACAGCCGGGTTTTAAGACGTTGGTTTCGGTGGGGCTAAAAGATGGCATTAGCATACATAGTGTTGGGTGTGGGCACTAACTTTCTTCAAGGGTGATTGGGCTTCTGCTCTTTCATATCAATTCCATATCAAATTAGGTAGAATTCTCGCCGGAATAATAGTTCTTCAATATTATATACACAAAAAATGTTGCAGCACTCTTTATATTGAAAGTTTCTGAAAGTATAAGTTTTTTCAAACAGCCTTTTGTGTTTGGGTTGAATGATTTTTTTAATTTGATATCAAATTAAACTCAAGAAGAAGTATTTTAAAGGAATATAAAAACTGCTGAAAACTATAATTTTTGCATATATCGAAAAAAAGCGTATAAAAAGATTTGAGTGAATGACATTTTTCATAACGATCTCAAATTTGTCTTAATTTAAAAGGAATTTGGTAAACTAAAAAATCTAAAGTGAAGGACGGAAAATGATCTTTTTTTGGTAATTAATAAATATTTAAGGATTAAGATTCCCCCAAATTTGTATGGTGTTTTAATCAGAATGAGGGGTTAAATATCTCTATCTTTTGCCAACTTGCGAGCCACCCAACACTATTGAGTATGCGTGTGCGTGGGTGGGCGTGTACCTTGTGTCTGTGTGCGTGTCTGTGTGGTGAGTTGAACGAATCGCAAATATATTTGAAAATATTATCCTCAGGTGGTTGCCGCCGATGTCTCCGCACCTGTGGCCTCTCCATTGCTGGCCGCCGGTGGCTCCCGCTCGCCCTTGATGCCCGGCGGTGCCTCGTGGGCCAAGTCCAGCGACGGCTGGCCAGAAGCTGGCGAGGATTCGGCCACCGCCACGGCGGCTGCGGCGGCCGCCATCTGAAACTGATTGGGCAGGAAGAGGTACGGGTTGCGACCCTCCTGTCCCGCACATCCGATGGTGGTGGCCGGCGCAGGACCCACATCCCCGCTGGTCACCGTGTGAGTGGTCATCGCCATGGGCGTGGGTGTCGCTACCGACGGCCCGGTGGTCGCCGCCAGCTTGGAGACCCGCTTCCGACGAGCCTCGTTCTCGCAGGGCGATGGCGCCCCAGGATGTCGGTAGCTGACGTGCTTGCGCAGAGCATCCTTGCTGCGGGAGACGTGGGAGCAGACATTGCACGCGTACCTGCAAAATAATATTGTGGGCTATAAATGGGTCTGTGAGCAAGTCCTGAATATATGTCTAAGTGGCCTGAAAAGTAATTTAAACACAAAATACTAGCTTGCAATATGGGATTTATCAAATCTCGATATCTTTTACACTTTCGCTGGCAATCATTTTATTCTACAGCAAACAAATGGTATTTTAAATATCACCCATACGCCATGTACACCAGCTCGAAGTTTAATCAAATAAATCGACTATGATTTTTCTTACTTTGTCAGTTATAAAAATGCACTTTGTTCCAGAATTACCACTTTTTCATAAATACAATTTTTCAAATATTTCAAATGTTAAAACGCCAAACAATTAGTTGGTTTTTAGTTATTTTGGTGGGATATTTAATAAAAATACTTTCAAAGTTTCTAAAGACTTTAAAATAATTTATAACGACTCCGTAGAGTACAAGAAGAACACTTATATGTAATATAAATAAAAATGAAACTTAAAAGTATATGTGAATTAATACTTACACATTAATACTGTCTGTTGTTTATTTTCAAGACACACTTATTAAAAACAGACTTTCACTTTTTTTTTTGAGTGTGTACTTACCGCACATTCTGATGGGTTTCGAGGTGGACGCGCAGGTTGTATTGGTTGCTCAGCTGCTTGTGGCAGATGAAGCACGTGGCGTAGAGCTTGGAGTTGGAGGGCGGCTTGAGCGGAGCGGTGGCCAGCGACTTGTCGCGGTCGGCGCTCAGCGAGAGCAGATTGGGCTCCGACTTGGCGCTGACCAGCGCCATGCCGCCGGCGGCCGCTGCAGCAGCGGCTGCGGCCGCTTCCCGCTGGTACTGCTCGATGTGGAGCTGCAGCTTGGCGTGATCCTCGGCCGAGATGTAGGGCGTCGCAACGCCAACCGCCGGCGAGGTGTGATGGTGATGGTGGTGCATCTGTGCCGCCTGCTGGGCGGAGGTAGGCGTGGCAGCGGCACTGTACATCGCCGGCTTGCTTGTATACATCTGACCCGTACCCTGACCCATGGGACTCGGATAGCTGGCGGAGGAGCACTTGACCACCGGCAGCTGGGGCGAAAAGTGGGCCATGGCCGGCGGAGCCAGGGTCACGGGCGAAGTGGCCACAATGGGATTGGGCATGGAGCACTCCTGCGGCGACTTGCTGCTGTTGCTATTTGCGGTTGACGAAGTCTTCGGACCCTTGGCCAGGCTCTTCTCCAGCCTGCGCAGCTCCTTGGGCGGACTGTCGCCCTTGAGGCGCTTCGATCCGAAGCAGTCCGTCTCCAGGTGCTCCTCCTGTATGCCGCTCTGGTAGAGCTGGCACTGCTGCTGGTACTTGGCCAGCAGTTCGGAGGTCTTGTTGAGGGCCGTCTGCGAGAAGTTGAGTGGCTGCGGCAGCAGGCTGGGGTAGAACTGCAGCGACTTGAAGAGGTTCTCCAGGGGCGTGGTGCCCAGTCCAGTCGGCCCCACCGATCCCAGTTTGTTGGCCAGCAGGGGGGTGCTCAGCGCCGGACTGGGCAGCTGCGGAAGGGGCAGGGGGAGGGGCAGGGACAGGCTGGGAGTGGGCGTGTGGGAGGGCGTGATGGTGGGCGTGGGCGTTGGGGAGGGCGTGCTGGGACGCTCGAAATCGGAGCACTTCTCGTTGCTGGGATCCATGTAGGAGGCGCCTCCACTCCTCGATGTCTTTGGTAGCTGCAGGAATTGGAAAGATCAGAAAATAACGTTATTATTCATATGAAATAAGTCTGCCAAATATAACTTTAACTATACCCAATGAATTGAAAATGATACAAGTGTAATAAAATAAAGTTTCACTTAAAATGACAGTTATTTATATCGTTTTTAAACGGGGGTTTGGTTAACGGGAGACCAAATTCAAAACATTAAGTTATTATGAAGTTTTTTTGCAGTTTTAAATATTGATTATTTTTTTAAATATTGATTATTTTTTTTTTTATGTTAAGAAATTTCTCCTTATATGTATTTTAAAATATTTTTTTTTTTAATAGAGTACATTTTCGATTATAAATTTTGTTTATTTTACTTCCCTCACTTATAAAAAATATTTTTTACAGACTTTTTTGAGTGAGCGCTTTTCACTTTTATAATAATCCTAGAAGGCAATTGTGTTTTACACGCGTTGGTGCGTTCAGCGAATCACAAGATCTAACTAATCTTTACACATCATGTCCAATACAAAGAATTCGAGTTATAATAACTATGAATTTTGGATTTGATATTGATATTTCCCTTTTTATCGATTCTCTAAGTATGAATCCAGGAATGACTTACGTTGTTGTTTTGGACATCGGCCAGTCCCTTGATGCCCAGCGTCTCGGCCAGATTGAGCAGCATGGGTATCTGCTCCTCGTAGACGTTCACCTCGCCGGAGTACATGAAGGTGAGCAGTGAGACGATGGCCCCGAAGCTGGCGCCGGGTATGATGATCACGGGATGGTTGCTGGCCTCCAGTGCCCGGAAGATGTCCATGAAGAAGCTGCTGCAGGCACTCAGCACCACGCGATGGGCCCTCAGCTGGCGACCCTCCGCCGAGATGGTAACGTCCGTCAGATGGGACTGGTCCAGCAGAATGGGCAGGGTGCTCAGCAGGCTGGTCTGGAAGGGATCGAGTCGACGACGAAGTGTATGTAAGTGGGTCAGGCGATCATAAAAATACAATTTTCCTGGGCTGGGCTGCAGCTGCTTTCCAACATTTCGATTTACGCTCAGTGGAAATTCTTTGGATTTTGGCAATTGCACGAATCTCAGTCTCTACTCTTTGTCCATTTGGCTCTTTTGCTATTTTGGACAGCCAACAGCCAACGGCCCCGCCCGTTCACCCTTTTGGGTGGAAAACGAAAATTGTCACTATATGAAAATGCGGAAAACTATGTGTGAATCTGTACGTATGCGGGGATGTGTTTGGATAGATGGATCCTATATATAGATGGGGCGACATTTCGCTTGGCTCGCTCGCTCGCTTCACCGAACGATGTCCAGTCCAGTTTATGGGTCTTACTTAATCTTACCTAATCTATATACATATATATATATATATATATATATGCAGGATATAGCTGGAGGATCTCACCTGATGATTGTGCCATCGAAGGCAGAACTGCTGCTGGTTGTCATTGTGCGGCAGCTGCTGATCAAAATGATGATGCTGCGTTTGTCTGGCATTAGTGCTATTTACATGTTCCATAATTCATCGGGGTTTGGATCACATGGACCAGCTGCAACGGGAGGAGGGAAATGCAATATGCAAAATGAAATTATTATTATTTTCATTCATGTCATGTCGCCGAGGTAAACAAATTGGGCAGCCCACTTGGCTACATTGTTTTCGTTTCTCATAATTTGTTTGTTTGCATTGAGCGGTTTGTTTATTTATTGAGCGTTTTGTCGTCACATACACACACTTTTTGCTTTTCGCTCACACTCTTTTTGGTCCGACCAAGCAGAGTGTCTGCACCACGAGGCGTATACGTATTATGTCGTAGCCATCGTTGGCTTATTACTCATACGCCCAGGCTGGGGAAATCTTGTGGGGATTGCAGTTTGGTGACCGGGAAACGGCATAATTTGATATAATGACAGCTGGCAGCTACTCCAAGGTATCCGGATTCGAGGGCTACTCGTTGACCAAGTCAATATGATGAGCTGAGCCACTCGGGCATTCTCATCGCGTTTCACATCGTTGATCAGAGTGCCCAGTTGACGAATCGGAATTACAATAAACATACACACACACACACACATACGCACACACACACACACACACACGGCCAGTGTTATTTGTGTTCTTTTGCTGGCAATTAAATTAAATTTATTTAAATAAAATAAGTTTTCCTTGGCTGGCCTGGCCTGGGCGAACTGATCGCAGTGTCGTTTCTGTGGGTTTCTGGGTGCACTATAAATTTGGCAATTTCCATTGTTCGCAGCCGTTGTATCACACTTTTGTCCGAGGGCTATTTTTAAGAGGCTAGACCAAGAAGCTGGCCGAGGATTTTGGGGATTTCTATGGGGTCTATGCTGCACCGCCACCGCCGCATTGGAGGCCCCCCCATTGCAATTGCATTGGCCAATGCAAAAGCGCAGCAAAGTGACAAGTCCGAGTCTTGTGTTTTAGTTGTTTTCGTTTTCTGTTGTTTTTTTTTGTTTTTTTTTTTGTTTTTTTTTTGTGCTTTACATATCAGCTAGCCCAGCGTGCAATTGTTGGACGACGGAATTTTCTTCATTCCATTATGTGTGCACATGGGACTGAGAATCGCATCTAAGCATTTCTCTATTGAGAGACGATGGATGGTGGAGGTTGCCTTGCCTGATGATGGGGTACAATGGATGCCTGGGAATGGGGGATGGGGATGGTGCGGCCTTTTTGGCGCTCGTTCACACAAGAAAGTGTCGTGACAGTCAGGCAGCCTTCTTTTCCGTAACTCTTTGGTATTTCGCTCAGTTTTTACTTGATTTTCCGAAATTAGTTTTTCAGCCTTTCAGCTCCGTCCTCTAGCTGCTGTTGTTGTTGTTGTTGTTGTGGCGGCGTTTTAAATAGCCATCCAAAAAATAAAGATCTGTGCTAAACGCTCTCGCCAGGCTGTCTATTTTGATTTGTTGTCCAAGTGCCTGCCTTTTGTCATCCGTGGCAATTCATTCCATAGACCTCGCACCTCACAACTCGCATTCGTTTCATTTCGATTGGTTGAGGCGTAATATATTTTACACATAATCACTCATACGCCCCGTTCGCGGGGCATGGAAAAACAAAATGCTGCTGCTTAAGCCTTAACTTTCATTTGTTCCATGAAATGTGGCGCACATAAATTAGATGTCAACGCTTCCAACCGAGTGGTATTTGTATTTCATTATAGAATCATGCGAATTCGCACGATCAGCGGTCTATATGTGGCCGTGATTCACGCATAATCCAGTTGCCCAGGAATGTCTAATAATAGAGCTCTGTGGCTAACCCTTATGCTTGAGGATCTCGAATCCAATTCTTCATTTACGCCAATGGAATGCTCGTGCCGACCATCAAATTATATATCCCCGCGAGTTATGTTTTTATGAAGTGTTTTTTTTTTTATGACTCGCGTCTATCTTTTGTGTTTTTCAAATCCCTTTCATCTCCCTCAACGACATAACACAATTAACTGAAGCAAGTAAATCACTGAGTTTTCTGTTTGCAAAAGAATCCTTCACATTCTTGATGTTTGTTTTTGTATTTCACACCATTTTCAGCCCCTCGACCGTTACGAATTTTCCCTTTTTGCGAGATTTTCGCGGCGGGACGAGAGCGCACCTTTGTTAACCGTTTGCTGCTCGCATCTGAAATGAAAAAATCCGAAAATGTTTCAATTCTTTCGGTTTAGTTGGAGATTTTCTATTTTTCGAATGTCCATCTCTTGACAATTTTCCTCTATCTCGTGTTGCTGCTGCTTCTTGGTGTTGCTGTTGCTGTTGCTGTTAGTATTGCTGTTGCTATTGCTATTGCTGTTGTTGGCCCAAATGTTGTTGCTGTTGCTGTTGGTGCTGCCATTTGTTTAGCGGATTCGAATTTGGCTCTCAGCATGTCGTGTGGTGGATCCGTTTGTCGCCCGATTCCATGTTCTTTAATTAATGAGCAGGCCGTGCCCGGCGCAGCGAAGAGAAATCTCAACGGTTTTGTACTCGCGATCTGCGCCTCTTGGCCAAAAATTAATTGGCTGCCCCGCAGTTAGTTAATCAAAACATTTGCCAGTGGCAAATCATCATGGGAACATCATCGTCATCACCATCATCATCATCATCATCATCATCATCATCATCATCATCATCATCATCATCATCATCATGATTGGGAGGAACTGCGTCCACTCCGCCACTAGACACAATTGACATGACCGACCGACAAGCAGCGGAATTTGTTGCTCCTTCGTGTGCATTATTAATTTGCAATAAAATGTGGAAGCGGCGACAGCAGCCGCCGCCACCGCTCGACAAACGACAAAACAAAAAAAAAAAACTGAAAAGTGCAAGCCGAAAATAAATTCATACCTGCGCTGGTCGGATTTGAATTATGCCTGACAAATACAAATGGAACCGCCAGATGGAGACGCCGTTGGTCATCGGGCAGCACCCAGCACCCAGCACCTTCATTAAGCACTTTTTCAATTCATTAAAATGCCACAAATACTTATTTATTATTGTCATCTGCGGTCACCTCGATGTGGGCTGGCAGCGTTGCAGCTTGGAGGCTGCAAGCACACCAACATAAATAAGCCCATTTCCCGAAGCTTATTCCTTACACAGATCTACATACTACTAGATATACGTACGTCAATAATACGTCAAAATCAGAAATTGTTTAATGAGTCTTAACTTCCAAAAGTAGTAACTTTTTTAGATAATCTTAGAAAACAGTTCGGTTAACTCATTTCAAAAAACGGTGTTTTACTATATACGACATATATTTAGACACCTTTGCAAGTGATTTCAAAGCCTAAGTGATTTAAGGATTGTTTTTTTTTTAATTACTAACTTAAACCTATAATTTATACACTTTAAACATAAATAAAATGAAAAGTTACGGCTAGAACTAACAGAAAAACAAAACATTACAAAAACAACACACATCTTAAACAAAATTCCAAACAACAATTCTCTATAGCTTTACATTTACAAACTTATATCGACAAAGCTGCAAAAATCAAGATATTCAAGGACTCTATGGATATGAAAACCAAGAAAAAAAGTCAAATCTCTTGATTTTCTGAGACACTCAAGCTTAAAAGATTTTCTTTCCATGGGGAGTCCATTTCCTTGATCTAGGAACCATTCCTAAAGCACTGAGCTTCGGTGATCGGCTGGCATTGCTTCGTGGGAAAGTCCCAGCCATATTTGTAAGGACACCGGACAATGGTCAGGTAACCGCTGAGGCATCGGTAGAAATACTCGCAACGCTGCGGATGAGGATGGTCGCCATCTCCGGATGTGTCGCAGTGTGGCCTTTCCTGAGCAGGGGAGGATGGTGAGGGATCTGGAGAGGATGGGGGAGAATCTACAGAGGGTATGGTAGAATCCGGGCTGGATGAGGCCGTGCTGATATCCTGCGAAGGTGGTGTTGGTCCTGGAGTGCTGTTACCGGTCACCACCACCACCTCCTCCTCCTTTTGCGATGCCTGCTGATCAGGCAGCTCCTCTGTCAAAACGGAAACGGACTCCCTGAGACAGACCCCGGCATCGTCGAAGGCGCACTCCTGGGTCCTGTCATCGAAGTATGTGGACTCCGGACAGCTGTCCCGGAAGGAGTCGACTCCATTGCAGTAGATGTACGAGGCACAGTCGTCGATAGCCATTACAAAGGTGTCCACATCCGCATTCGCACACTGCGGAAATACTTCTCCTTGAATTGAACTTATAACTCCGATCAGGAGAACTAGGCAGAGCGAAAATTGTACCTTAAATGACATGTTTGATGTGCTGCTTTTCTGTTTTTTTGATAGAGCTCAAGTTGATTGGGCCCTTTTTATGGCAATTTTCAAGGTTGGCTGCGAATTCTTATCGCCTCTCTTGTAGTTGATATCAACCAAAACAAAACCAAATGTTGCAAAAATTTGATATCTTTCAAGCTACAAATATGTCAAGGCCGTGCAATGACTTTAGTTATTTTGATAGCACAACCCAGATAAATGCGTTTGAGGGAAATTATTCCCCTAAAAAATTCATGTTTTTAAGGCAAGAGATGAATCATCTATATATAGAAACAACAAGAAAGAAAGCAAACTTCGGCAAGCCGAAGTTCATATACCCTTGCAGCTATTGCAAGAATTAAACATTTTTGAAAACATTAAAATTATGATTTACTTTCGTATATGTTTAAAAACATTGAAGCTATGATGATTTGCAGCTCAATTATTTGATAGTTATTTTATATATTTTTATTATTTTTAAGGGAGCTATATGATATAGACGACCGATTTTGATAAAATTTAAACCATAATTCTGAAATATTTAACCATTGCTATATGTCGAAGAACTAAACATAAAATTAAAAAACAGAAAAGTTATAATTTTTTTCATTTATTTTTCCGATTGTTCCTATGAGAGCTATATGATATAGTCGTCCGACTTTGATGAAATTTAAACCGTAAATCGGAAATATTTAACCATTACTAAATGTCGAAGAACAAAACAAAAAAATAAAAAACAGAAAAGTTATAATTTTTTTTCATTTATTTTTCCGATTGTTCCTATGGGAGCTATATGCTATAGTCGTCCGATTTTGATGAAATTTAAACCGTAAATCGGAAATATTTAACCATTACTAAATGTCGAAGAACTAAACAAAAAATTGAAAAACAGCAAAGTTATAATTTTTTTCATTTATTTTTCCGATTGTTCCTATGGGAGCTTTATGCTATAGTCGTCCGATTTTGATGAAATTTAAACCGTAAATCGGAAATATTTAACCATTACTAAATGTCGAAGAACTAAACAAAAAATTAAAAAACAGCAAAGTTATAATTTTTTTTCATTTATTTTTCCGATTGTTCCTATGGGAGCTATATGCTATAGTCGTCCGATCCGGCTCGTTCCGACTTATATACTACCTGCAATAGAAAGACAACTTTTGGGAAAGTTTCATGCAGATAGCTTTAAAACTGAGAGACTAGTTTGCATATAAACGGACGGACAGACGGACAGACGGACAGACGGACAGACGGACGGACAGACGGACATGGCTAGATCGACTCGCCTAGTGATGCTGATCAAGAATATATATACTTTATAGGGTCGGAGATGTCTCCTTCACTGCGTTGCAAACTTCTGACTGAAATTATAATACCCTCTGCAAGGGTATAAAAATTATGAAAAATTTTCATTTTTTCATTTGGTTTTTTTGGAGTTAACAAATTAAAAAATACACAAATCGCATTTGTCTCAGAATAATCAATTTTTTGAAATTATTCAGTTGAACGTATAAGTAAAAAGGTTGCTGTTTTTTCTAAACTGTTCATCAATTGGTTTATTTGGGAGTTAATATATGAATAAATAAAAAAAAAATCACAAAATCGCATTTGCCTAAAATAAATCAACTTTAAGGAATAATTCAGTTGAACGCGTTGAAAAATTCCAAAGGAAACTGAATATGATTAATAAAATGAACGCGCATTGTATATCATCTTTTCTGGTTTGGCATATCTTTAATATACATATATATTTATTAATTAAATCACTAATTAATTGTTAGTCCACATCAGCTCAAGTACTTTTATCTAAACATTTATTATTTTTTACAATTTTTATAATGCAAGTACTCCACTCACGGTCTCCTGTTTCCAGTACACCTTTGTCAGTGAAAGCTTCTGAAGATCGTGGTCCACCAGGTCCAACTGCTGCTCCAGATTTCGCTTCAGATTGCGCACTCGCAGAGTGCCCATGGAAAGGGGCAATCGGTTGTACTCGTCGATCAGTTTGTTTTGCCGTTCACGGGCGGCATCTAAGAGTTGCCTGCGCTGTTCACTGGACAGCAGGATGTGCTCGTTTTCCGGCTGTGGCTGGGTATCCATCTCTGCGTAGGACTCATTCTCTGCAGTTTGCGGCTCTAAGACAGGCAGCTGTTCACAGGATGCCTGGGAATGGACACTGAGCATGTCCTCCGGATCCACGTCCACCACCTCCGGAATGTCCATTTGCCGAACTCTTGGGGAACTTGGCCTGGATGACACCTCGTCTTCCTGTTTTCGAAACAACGAGCAGCTGGGCACATTGTCGAGCAACGTGGCTAACGGCCGTTGCAGTGTATACTGCCCCGGTCGATAGCAATCGCGTTGCTCCGGCACTCTGCCCAGCTCGAAATTGGACGCAGTGCGTCGCAGACGTGGGCCTTCCGGCAGGGAATGATCTCCCCTGCCGATCACAGGCTGCTCGTCGCCCTCGCTGCGGGACTCGACTTGGGATTGGGTCTTCTCCGAGCATTTGCGCAAAGCGGCACTAAGAAAACGCTCGTCGTTGATGTCCTCCGTTTGGATCTGTTTCTCGGCAAGATTCCGTCGATTGGGCACAAGGTTTCTTCGATTTCCGGTGGCCAACACTTGTTTAACTGGTCCACAGCACCTGGCCAACGAGGATGCCGTGGGCATCTGGTAGTTTGGAGACACCTGGCTCACCATCATCCGGTTTTCGCGCAGAAAGTTCCGGCGGGATAGATTAGTTCCTTGGATGCCGCCCATCGGGAGACGGGTCATAGCCACATAAACCATTTCAAACAAGAGATGAAAAAAAAAAAAACAAATATAAAAACGACAAACGTGATGAAGTGTTTTTTGAGGGCTACAAAATTCAACTGAGAAATAACATTAAATTAATCAGACAATAAAACGTCAGACAAACGTCAGTCACTCCAATTTTCCATGCAAACAATAAGATTGTAAATTATCGCTTTATGTAAATTATTTAAATTATAGATTTTAGTAGAATTACAAAATACAACACGCATGGTTATAGAGAAAATATCGAGTCCAAATTGCAATTAAATTATATATCAAAGTGCCTTAGTCTGAACAATTAATTTATTTTGAAAATGCCTTGATATTTCATAAAAACCGAACTATGAACATCACATCCTACTTGAGCTGATCGAAGGCCTGGCGAAGCATTTGATTGCAGAGTGCCGCAAATGGATTGATTTCTACCAGCTGGAAAAGACGATGGATTAAGCTACATTTTTTTGGGAAATTTATACCTGGCCTACCTGCTCCCTGGCAAATTTACTGCCCAACTGTGCTGCTGCCTCGAAATCAGCACGTGCGGCATCCAAATTATCCAGTTTTCGATATAACACTCCTCGCTGACAGTGGGCGTGGCATTTGGTGCGGATTTGCTGATCATTGGCCATTTGCAGAGCTCTGTGCAAGTCATCTAGGGCCTCTATAAACATAAATATCTGTTAAAAATGGCATTCTCCGGAATTAAAATGTAACTTCAATAATATTTAATAACATTTTTGTAATACAATTAGTGCATATCAATACTAGCCTTCATCCCGTTTTGCCAGACGAAGTGTTTGAGCACGATTATTCAGCACAGAAGCTCTGTCAGCCAAATCTAGTGCTTGTCTGAATAGATCAAGGGCTTTATCTATCTCCCCCCTTTCAGATAAGTCAATTGCTTTAAGCTCCAGGTCCCTGGAAGCTCTGATGGCTTCGTTGTCCGGTTCCACATCCTTCAGTTCGTTTTCCGCGGGCACTGATCCTTGCGTATTGATGCTGCTTAGCTCGAGGGGATTGAAGATGGAATCTAGCACTTGCTGGTCGTGAGGACTTAAGCTTAGATTAGCTTGCGGCATGATCCGATGCTATTTGCTTTACTAGTTCAAACAAACTGAGTTTGGAATCTAAATAGTTGAAATACAGAATAGAGTAGAGGAAACAAAATGCAAATGATGTCGCCCAACCTGTTTGAACATTTTAAAACGAGAAAAATCGCTGAATTCTGGTGCACCGAATACGAGATACCTAAAATTCATTACCAGTCTGATTTTTCTAGTTTTTACAGGTTCCGAGATTTTGCTGTTTATTCAGGCAGACTATAGAATTGAAACATAATGTTCACAATGTGAACTTCACATATTATATATATTTATTTTCCGTTCGGCAGGGTGGTTCAGAAGTCTTTGGTAAAGAAAAAAATATTCTTGTTTCAATTTGTATTGTATTCCAATAAAAAATAAATTATTTAAAAACGACTTCTTGCATGTGCAAATTGAATAGAGATAGAAAATGCTATATAAAAGCAATAAAAATAATTACAATTAATTAAAAAAAAATATAAAATTTATTCGCATAATCAATTTGAATACATTTAAAAAAAAAATCTTGACAATCCCGGCCAAAAATCGTGTTTTTTCATACAAATAAATTTAAGTAACACTGTGCAATTCATACGGCTCATGCTAGGGCCATCTAACTTTTCGCAATCCTTAAATTTCATATCACGACGTCCTTTATGGCGCCAAATCAAACATGTAGCGGTTCTGCCGAGAGTCGCTGGCACGAATTGGTTCTCGCTTTCAGGATTGGGGATGTCCAGCCAAAAAGCAGATGTTGTGCATTCAAAATCAACAATCGGCAAAGATTTTTCTATTTCTTTTATGTTTTGCCCATCTGCCAGTTTGCCACCTAATCCAATACAATGATTTTTAGCATCGACAAATGATTTTTTTGTAAAAATGACGTCGAAGTTGTCCATTCCTATTGCGGTCACGTATTCTCCGGAATTCGGAGGAGAAGGCACAAATGGATGCAAGGATGGTCGTCTTCTTTCCACCTTGGGTTCCAGCGCCTTTGGTTGGGTGTTAGTGTTGTTGGACCTAGAGTTGATTTCAATTCTAATGCTGTCAAACATTTCTTTAATTTTTTGTTGATTTTTGTCCATCACTGATTTTGTTTCTTGTGCCATAGCGTTAAGTTTTTCCCGCAGATCGGCTAGGTCACCAAATAGAGGATGTAGTGCGGCGTGGCAAAAGGAGCCGCACTGAGTCGGTGCATCTGTTAAGACACAGACAGAAGGTGGACGCCCCTTGGAATCCACCAGGACGTGCAAATTCCAGGCCATTGTTGCGTACAAAAACAATGTTGCTAACTGTTGCATTTTCGAAATGTTTACAACCGTTAAAGGCGAGAGCTTATATTGTACTAATTCTGAATTTACTTTGCAGACCGAAAAAGAGCACTCTGGTATTCTTGATACCATTGCCATATATTCTGGAACATATTTTATACCCTGTACTTGTTAAATTAGGAGATGTTTTTTAGACTTCTTCAGAGACTCAAAGAAATAGCTCCCGAAAAAAGAGTGAAAACTAAAATGATAACTTAAAGACTAAGATCTAACTTAAAAACCCTACGAATTTTATAGTTTTTACCATATCCCACAAAAATTTAAAATTAATTTGACCAATTTATCTTAACATAAAAGCGAAATTAGTTTCAAAATGAAAGCCAATTATTTTATATTTATTGCCTGGCTAAAAATTAGTCGCGACACTCAATGAAAGGGGTCATGTTTCTTGTGCTTTGAGTTTGTACTCTTCTATATTGGCGGAAAATATAAGTCATACTCCGTTTCCCGGATATAATTATCGGAATATATGCGCATTTAATAAAATATTTGGCACATATGTTTCAATAAAAAGATAAGCATTCCACGCCGCCGAAAATGTGTTAAATTTTTGCTTGGGTTCCTAATTTGAAATACGGATGTTGTGTTTTCAGCAATTTAGTACAAAGAACGGCTTAAAAACAATTTTTTATTTTCAGTATACAAATAATGTAAGAAGCAAAACGGAATGTTTAAATTGACAGCGTTGAAATATATAAAACTTAACATTCAAATATGAAAATGCTCGGCAAATACTTGGAGTTATTTAAAATAACTATTAACCTAGGTAAGTAAAATGGGAGTCGTTAAAATAATAAAACATTTGAGTACATTTAAGTTCATTTTATTAATTTAATATATGTCGTATTTACTTAATATATTGCACACTGTTTTCACATTTCGTAAGAGAACTGGGCAATTGATTGGTTATTTATTTGTTACTTAACTGCCTACTAATACTGCTGCTTGACCTCACTATTTTCTGTATCAGCTATTTCTACATATTTTCTCGTTGCATTGGCTTGTCGTGTTGTGTAGCTAATGGTTTAACACACTTTGATCTCGCTTATGATTTCTTGATCTCTTGAGCATATCACAGAACAAAAATGACAGTAGAATATGACATGTTCGGGTCTGGAGTGGAAGAGTTTGGTTTCTAGTACGGGGCATAGAAAGTGTAAAAATATTATTCAGAGCTTAGGAGTAAATATACGTGTATGCATATATGTTTATCTGATATATATATATATATAGCTATGCCGTGTAAATGTTCATATAAACTGTGATATCGTTCTTCTTTTTTTTTTTTTTTTAGAAAAATACTGAGCAAAAGTACTTGGCATTGTACATCGAGGGGATGTCAGGGATGGGGGCTGGCGAACTCGAAGTGAGGCTCAATTCCTCGACAGCCTATACGAGAATCTTGTCGTACGAGGGCGGCGGTGACTCATCCAACGGCAGTTGTTTGCCCATCGCCGCCGGCGTCTGTTCCGGCAGCAATATGGCTATATGGTAGGGTGGCGGACCGGCTGTGGCCGCCGTGGTCAGTTGCCGCTCCTCCAGGTACCGCACCTCGCTCATCTCCAGCAGACAGCCGGCGGACTGGGCCGTTCCCGATCCCGATCCCGCACCCAATCCCGAGCCGGCCAGGTTGGAGTTCACCCCGCGACTGTGGCACACCGCTGCACGACCATCCGAGCGATTGGAGGTCGAGAGCAGGCCCTTGGGAATCCGGCACAGACTGACCAGGCAGGCGGCCAGGAAGAAGGTGGCCGAGAAGGCGCAGAAGATCAGCACCTCGAGCCCAGTGCCCTGGTGGTCGAAGTAGAACTTCGTTCCGGCCACAAAAACGGAGGCCAACACCAGCGAGGCGCACATGCCGCATTTCAGGTGGCTGGGCAGCAGTTGCGAGTCCGCGTGCTGCAGCAATGCATGATGTTGCTGCTGCAACTGGTTGCTGTGCGTTGTTGCGGGCGCAGCAGCCACTGTTGCCGCTGGACTGGAGACAGTTGCTGCTTCTGTTGCCGCTGCTGCTGCTGCTGTCCCTGATGTTACCGCTGCACTGGTGTGTCGCATGTTGCTGCTGGAGTTGTGGCGACGGGGCGTGGCGTAGGCGGTCGGCTGTCGCTGGCTGTTGCTGTTGCTACCGCTGGTCGAGTGATTGCTGCTGTGCTGGTGATGGGCGGTATGGTGATAGGCGCTGTAGGCATCATCGCTGGATAATTTCAAATGTTAGTCAGGCATTATAAGTTATAAGTTAACACCAATGCAGACAACCATTTTCTTAACATATTAATCATGTAAGAATAATATATCTTTTCTCAAATTAATTCTCAAACATGTATATAAGTTTTCGTTCTTGTTGTTCTTCGTATTTTGGTACAATTTCTATGTTTTTATGGTTTCAACAAAATAAATTTCTAAATACAATCGATCAAAAGCTCTTAATTTGCTGTTAAGTGTAATTGGTGGTTTTTGGATTTTTTAAAGGAAGGCTTTAAAGTTACATTTAATTTAATTTGTAAATAAATTTAATTGATCAAAGGCCTTTCTTTGCTGTCAAGTGTAATCTGTGGCTTTTCAGTAAACCATTTTTCTGTCAATTGTAAACATTTAGACTAAGACTTTACGTACTTTAAACTTTGTATAGGTCTGCAGTGGTGTTACCCATTAAGCTCAGCTACTCACGCATAGACATTGCCCGAATATTGCTGCTGTTGCTGTTGCTGATGTGCATCGTAATGCCTCATGGGAACAGCCATGTTGCCAAACTGTGGATGGTGATAGCTGTAGTGTTGCTGCTGCTGTTGCTGATGTTGCTGCTGCTGATGGTGCACGAGTTGCTGCTGCTGCTGCTGGCTTCGCGGCTGGTAACGCGTGCTGCCGTGGTGATTGTAGTGCGACCCACGTGCCACCAGGGGTACGATGGTTCCACTTCCCGTGAGGACAGCCGCCGAGGAGGCTATTCCGCTGGCATTGTTATTGTTGCTGGCAGTTGTTGTTGTGCCGGTGGCAGACAGATTATTGTTGTTGCTGGTGCCACCACCGCTGGAATGTTGCTGCAACATGTGTTGCTGCTGCTGCTGCTGGTGCTGATGGTGCTGCTGCTGTTGGCCATGCAGGGAATTGTTGTTGCCATACGACGACTGCGATTGGCGACTTGTGCCCGGCTGATGAAGATCGTAGGGCGTCTGCGGCAGGGATCTGTGCACCGAGGGCATGGTTTGTCCGCTGCTTCCAGCACTGTTGCTGCTGCAGCTGGTGGACTTGGTCCTTCGTGGCGGATGACCATAGCTGAGTCCGCTCCCAGCGTGCGACAAAGAAGCCGCAACCCGAGAACGCCCAAATCCGCACTGCTGCGATCGTTTGTCAATCCAGAAATGCATGGCGGGCCAGAAAAGAGCAGGCTTTGTTTCACTGGAAGGAAATCGGAACAAAATGAACACATGTAGTTTATTAAATAGAAAGGAAGTCTAACAAGGAATACTCTTTTAAACTTTTTATTTACTATATATATTATATTCAAAGACAGCTAAACGAATTCCAATTTTAATTAATGTTGTTTCTTTAAAAGCCAGAATCTAAAAATTTAAGTTGGATTTGTCTTTAAGAACGACAAAATTGTTGGGATCAGCTTCAAATTAGAGATAAAGTAAAGCGACTTAACATATATAAAGTTTTATGAATTTCAAAATGTATTATTTCTAGAGTTTCTCTAAGCTTAGACAATGTTACCAAGAAACCAGAAACATCTTTTGAATGCAGGCAGACAGACAGACAATCAGAAAGTCGGCATTAAGTGCTGCAAACTTATTTGAAGTTCAAGTTGTGTGTGGGAGAATCCTTGACTAGACAAAGCGCATCTGACTCATTTGGCTTTGTGTCTGCCAGACGGAAGGGAGTCCTTCCCCAGTGCCTTTTTGCCCCTACTGCTCTTCCGAAAAGCTAAAACAGGAAACGTGCGCATCGCATTTCACGATGCTGTCTCCCTGTCTGCGAAAAAACCCCCAACCAGATCCTGGCTTGGCATTTCCTCTTTGTGCTTCCCTGTTCGAAGGTGCAACATGGAACAAAGGTTCCTTTCGGCTGTCGTTGCCTGGTCAAGGAACCCGACCGAAAAATAAAACATTCATTGAACGCTTTCACTTCCCGTGTCATTGCCCATTGCCATCCAGCCACAGCCAAAACATCCTTAAACACCAACACGTCCACAAGGACCCCAGCGCGCCAAAACACACAGACAGATTTCGGCATGAGATGGTGTTGCAAAAGGACATGGCCCTGCAGTGGCGTACTTAAAGGGGGCTTATAAGTACTTAAGATTTTATTAGTGAATATTTTAATTTTCCCTTCCTATGCTCACTTTATAAGAACCTATTTCTAAAAGTCCCCCATTTATTTCTAAAAAAGTACGCCTTTGTTTCCCGGCTGAGGAGGTGAAACTTTGGGTTCGCGAACTATTCAAAGATGGATTATGACGCTTACTTCCCTCTGTTCTTGGAAGTTTTTTGACACAGAGTAAGAGCCCCCATCCATACCATTGTGCCCGATGTTTGCATTTTTGGCTCTTAACTCGCTTAGCTGTTCGTTGAACTGTCCCTACGGCCTGAGTTTTTGTGTGTGGTCTTGGCGGTTTTAGCAAATCAACGATGACAGCGGCAAAAATAATGAATTTTTTAAATTATACCACAGACAGTTTTACACTGTCGCATAAACAATCGAGTACATACGCATACGCACCGTGCGCCGTACGAACATAGCAATAAAAATCAACCGCACAATAAAATAACTTTTATTTTTGGAGAACTTTCCTGTTCTATTCGCCAGCAGGGTTCAAAGTTCAATGCCTGTCAACATCTTCGAGCAAAAATTACACAACACAATGCTAGAGCTGAGTGCGAATAAATAAATACTCAAGCACGGGCCAGAGTAATAAAATAAACATATTTAAAAGAGACATTTTGACAACCTTTTGATAGGTTCATTTCGTTTCCATTTCTTGCCTGGCGCCACTCGGATTTCGGTTTGTTTTTGGACACCCCCTTGTCCTTTTCATCTGAGGGTTCAATGCTTTTTGCTCCTGCCACCCAGATTGCAATCATTTAGTTTATTTGCCATTCGGGGCAGAGTTCAGCTGGATTTGGCTTTGCCTCGATGCTGGTCAAGAATTGTGCGGAACTTGATGAAAGTCGGGCATTGACATGGTCTGAGCTGAGGGTAGTAAAGTAGTGTTTTCCCTAGCTAAATAATCATAAAGAAAACTTGTGCTCTGCCCGCAGAAACATGAAAAGGTCTTTTCACAAACAATACCACATTCAATTTGTTTTAATCTCTTTTTACACACTATTCAAATCACTATCTCAAAAATTCTATTATCAGCACGCCCCTCGCTAAGCTAAAGACAAACGTCCCAATCATTGGTTCTCCTTGAAACATTCGTCATAAAAATCACTTAAATAGATACAATAACACTTTCGGATTTCGTTCACGCAACCTGTTTCATTTTTGGCCTGCCGCCAAAAACGGGTCGCTGAAGTTGGCCTCTGCGCCGCGCTAGTTTCAACTGTTTCCGTGGTGTAGCGGTTATCACATCTGCCTAACACGCAGAAGGCCCCCGGTTCGATCCCGGGCGGAAACATGTGTAATAACTTTTTTGTTTCTTTATAAATTAGTTTTTTTAATGTTACGTGACATTTAAATGCATATACTAAATACAGTCAACTTCTTGAAACGTTCTTAGGTTTTTCTAGAAATTTCTCCTTGCTCCTACTTATTCTTTGTCAGATCTATTGGATCTCTCGCCCTTAGCATTAAAATTTATTCATTTATGACTTTGTAAATAAACTTTAACAAACTAACTAAAGTTTTCTCAAATTTGTTCTAGGTCTTGAAGGTCAAATAAATGTATTGCTATCATAAATACATATGGTTTAATTTCCTTCTTTGAGTAAATCTTAATGGCAAAACGTTCCTTAGCTCCCAGTAGAAGTAAATACAACAGTTTTGGTATTAGAAAGTGATTCAAGTTAAATTTTACAATGTACAATTTGATATTTAAAACCAAACAGTTAATATGCATCCTTACTGGAATACAAATGAAAAATAATTACTGAATATAATAAAAAAAAACCAAAAAGTATTTTTTCACCTGTTTCCGCCCGGGATCGAACCGGGGGCCTTCTGCGTGTTAGGCAGATGTGATAACCGCTACACCACGGAAACAGTTGAACAACGTTTGTCCAAACAGGCACTTCTGACACGAGGGAGGTTTGTGTGCGGGCAAATCAAAGTACAAATCTAATCTAAAGTTATTAAGATTACTTAATTTGTATAGATTTTTAAAGTTTTTAATTCGATATAAAAGTAATGCATATCTGCCAGCCATATAACTATTTATTTATTTAAATTTTAAGTGAATTAAATGTCGGGTTTTGTCTTATTTTAACAATACATTTTTTTTTGGAATTTCAGTTTTATACGTTCCCATTTAGCCGTCAATCTGTATTTAATGTGCAAAATTAAATATGTAGAGGCCATTCCCTTTCAGTTTATTGACTGAGGGATTTGATTGTATTTGGGGCAAATGACACGCTGGAAAGGTCAAAGAAATGTTTATTAAACGGAATTCCTGGGCCAGGGAAACGGAGCTATCCCAACCGCATGACCATTGCATAAATGAAATGCCAGACATTCAAAATTTTGCTGCTACTTGCCCAGCTATTTTCCTCACCTCCGGCGGCAGAAATCTATGCGTCATTGGGCAAAGATGCCAAAACAAAGCAGAAATTGTAAACTTTAAAGCAGGAACAATTTCGGCCCGCTGCTCTAGGCTGGGCACCCCTTTTTTGCCATTCTATAATACTCTCACTCGGACGGTTTGTTTTTGCCATTAACCTTTGCTGTTCGCTCTTTTCGTTGGCGGGAAGTGAATTTGTCTCATTCGAGTGACTTTGCAGGGAAAAGGGGGTGAATAATGTGAAGACCGACTGAGTGACTGTCTGTCGGTTTGTCTGTCTGTCCGTCTGTCTGTCTATCCCAAAAGGCCACAAAAACGAACGAAATCCCTGCCCACTTGATGGCGTACGCTGCGTATGAGCAATGCGCTTCATGCATATGTGTGGGTTGTTTTTCAAGTGCACCACGTTTTTGTGTAATTCTTTTTTTTTACCTGCAATATTTTCTCGGTTCGGTTTTGGTTCGCTTTCTCTGGCTCTGGCTCTCAAATGTGTGTTCTTTTCAGCCTTTCAATGCCTCCGCCTATTGGCACGCTGCTGTCACGTTTCTCGCCTTTATTACACACATATTGTTGTTCTGGAACTGGTATTTTTTTTTTTTTTTTGCTTGCTATTTTGTAGTTGCTGCAGCAGAGTCCTTGAACGCTCAACTGACCCGACACGACACAAGACAAGCACGCACGCACACACACACACACATACACATACACTGTCACAGTGCCTTGGCAAATAAATATCCCTTTTTGTGCACACGAAGGACTCACGCGACTTGCAACTTTCATATATTCAATTCAAAAAATCAGCCACCGCGGATTCGCGCTCGAATAACTGTATTTTGCCAACCTTGCGACCGGAGAGGCAGGTGGGCGGTGGGTGGTGAGTGGTGGAGAATGGACTGCGATCGAGTGGGTGGTGTTGCGATTTGCCCGCGATTCGAACGGCGCAAGGACTCGCAGCCAACTGAATGTGTGAATGCAGCTGGCTTCAGCGCCGTGCTCGTTTTCACTTTCATGAGTTTCGTAGACCGCTCTTTCACCACCCCTCTTTCGCCCGTACCATCAGGCTATTTTTTTCGTGTTTTTGTTTTTGTTTCTGCCAGCAGACAGCGATTTGTTTTTGCTTTCTGTATATGCGACCGTGCGATTGGGTGGACCACCCAGGTGGGTGGTGGGGAGAGGACGATTGCGGGTGCTGCAATCAGAGGAGCATGAATGGGGCGCTCTCCGACGTGCTCTCCCACTCTCTCTCTCTCGCTCTCTTTTTGAAATCACGGTGGCTGCACGGCACATGCGCACTGTGCAAAAACTAGCCATTGTGAATGGTTTATTTAAATTCAAAAAATTCCGCCTTAAATCTAAAACTTAACGTGTTATCTCTGCCAGAAGACTTTAAGTGAAAGTTTCGATTTCTAAGCTTTTTGTAGCAAGGTAAGAAAGCTTTTAAGCGACCGCTTTATCAGTGATAATCTATCCCAAACTATTTTTCTTACTACTTACTTTAAATCTACTAGTTAGTTAGTTTTCAAATATAATAATTTTTCAATGAATCTTAACCTTTTTGAAAAGAATAATGGCTCGACAGATTTGTCCTTCCCAATGGCTAGCTAACTTAATATATAATACTAATAATATATATACACGCTTAAAGTATTTAATTTTATTTGACTTAAATTGCCATTCTAGGACATTTAAAATTTTTTCCCTAATATGAAAAATTATGCCTAATGATATTGGCTTTGATTTAAGCCCATTTTATATGGCTTGAAATTGACTTTTATTGTTTAGACGCATTGGAATCCCTCTAAGCTTTTAGTATACATATTTGATAAACAATTTCAACTGATAAAGCCAATTGAAAAGTATTTAATAATTTAATAAATTACTTCTTCATTTAAGGACAAATATAAAGTCAAAATAGCGATTGTTTTCAATTGTTTTCTCAGTGTAATTATTCATTTGGAAGAACTCAGTTAGGCACCCACAAATTGCGGCTGACGGCACTCCTCCACCTTGGGATCATAGTGCAGACCCGGAGTGCAGTCCAGGGTGACTCCTCGACCCTCGACGCAGTAGTAGTACGCATCGGGGCGGGATTTGTGCGGATAGAAGTGTATGCCCACACGGGGACACTCAATGTCGGCACGTCGCAGCGGGGAACGGGAATAGGGCACAATTTGCCTAGCAGCGGCATTAATCTGATTTGGGGGCAAAAAGTAAATAATAGGATTAAAAATATATCTCTATGAAATATATGTTCACATCTCCCCAACTCACCGTGCAGTTGACATTTTTGGCGAAGTCACAGCACTTGCACTCCGAATTGTAGGCCAATCCGGGAGCGCACTCCTGCTCCCACGGTTGGCCATCGGAGCAGACGAAGTACTTGCTGCAGGACGCCTTGCTGGCCAGGTAGATGATGTCCTTCGGCTGGAAGGTGGCCGAGCAGTCGTTGGCCACACAGTCCACGTACTCGGGGAAGTCGCAGCGATCCGTCACATTGTTATACTGCAGTCCATCGTGGCACTCCCGCAGCACGGGTTTGCCGTAGTAGCACAGCACGTACTTGGTGCAGGTGTTGTCGTAGCAAAAGCTGCTCAACTCCATCGACTGGCAGGTGGGCAGGCACTTTGCGTCCTTCAAGTATGTGCAAATCTGGCGCACCGGATCGTAGCCCACTTCACACGTCTCATTCGGATTGGGGCACAATACCGGAGGGACAGAGGCCTGGTCCAATGCCCTACAGCTGCCTATTTTTAGTATTGTGTTATCTAAAATACATATTTATGTTTTAATAACTCGTTTGTTGTCTAGGGACTTTGACATAATTGATATCTTTGTTAAGCTACAATTCTTAAAACCAGCTCAATATCAGTAGGAATGATCTAAAAAAGTTTGAATGTGAGTGGGAATTGAACTTAACTCTGGAAGGATCTGGTTTCAAATCAAGCATTTTTTGTAGCATTCCTTATTTAACATTTTTAACACCACATTTCCAATCAGATTTTATCCGAACGTGGTTTCAATCACCCATAAACTTACTAACTTTAAATTCAACTTACTTTTACACTCGATATACTTATCGCAATCGCCCACATAGGGCAGAAAAACGCCATCCACCACGTTGTTGCAAACGTCGATTTGGGTGTTCTTGTATATATCGTATATAGAGTCATCTTCGCCATTTCGATCATCATCTGGACCGGGGGCCACCACCAAATCTTCCTCGGCCTGAATCCCATGAACACTTAAAACGACCAGGAGTATTCCACTATTTATCAGCCACTTCACTGCGGAGTTAATGCAAGTGATAAGGAGTTAAAGGAAATCAATCTCCGAGCTACTTACTCCTGGATAGCTCGGTATGTGCAACACTACTGTCTGCTTTCAGCCTGGAAAGTGTCAACTTTATATGAAATCTTTGTTACCTCCTAATGAGTTCTTGCCAGATATCAGCTTATCATTCTGCTAATTTTGGCACACGACTCTGCTAGAGGAAAACTACCCTCTAATTTCTGCAAACATTTCAACTTTCAATTTGTCGCCGTCAAACATAAACGATAACGAAATGCTTTAAATAGACTGATTCTCAGAACTCATGGATCTCATCTCGCAATCAACAATTTCAATTTCAAATCGCTATAGCTAAGGCACTTTTAAATAATCAATATATCTTCTAAAAATAATCTGATTTTAGGTTGAGCCATCTGCCGGAAAATGTACAACTATAACTTCTAAAATATCATATTTAATAATTGTTTGTATGAGTGGGTAGAATGAGTTGGAGTTGATCTTGACCGAATAAACAAATACAGCTTTGTAATTGACCTCTTCCATGTCTGGGAGTGCCGTGGGAGTGGGCGTGTCTCCATTTTTAAATTAGCTTTAATTGGTTTCGAGATTACGACATTCATACGGACAGACATACAGACATAAGGCTAGATCGAATCGACTATTAGTTGTGATCAATAATATATATACTTTATAGGGTCGGCAACGTTTTCTTCTACCTGTTACATACTTTTCAACAAATACATACTCCAAATATTACTCCACTAGTTACGCGAGTAATTACGTGCACGCTTTTGCTCATATCTTTTGAGTGTTCGAGTACTGAAAGTCTGACATCTGAAAAATTGATATGTTTACAAGGGCTGGAGAGTCAAAACACCAGATGAAACACTCAAATAAGAATTATGATTACAAAAAAATTGTATACATCAGGTAAAAAAAATGTATAAAAATATTTAATTAAAAATGTATATTACAAAATGTTTCTTTTTTGTGTGTTAAAAATATTGAAATTTTGAGCAACCACTTTGATAGTGGCTAGAGTATGAAGATTGAGGATATTTTTAGTGGCTTCAATTCACCTTAAAGTACAACAGTGAAAGTGCTTATATGACCTAGTCTATCATATAATTTCAAACACTTTTAACAATGGCCACTTTCTGTAAACCATCAGTAGATGAAAATTATGCTATTATTATTCTGTTTTCTATTTCCAAAAAGTTCCAGATTAAATACTCCTTTCGATTGCCTCTTGTTTGTTAAAGTTATCAGAGTCTGGCGAATTTTAATGAGGCGCCTTCTAATTACCACATAGGAACATGCATCTGATAAGGTTTGCAATTCACCGGGAATCAAAACATTCCGGAGATTGATTGCCAAAAAGGTCTGCCTATAAATGGAGGGTCTCTTCGAGGTGGGGCGATAGTAAGCGGAGGAAACTGATGCCAAAAAGTGAGTTGTACCCGGTTGGAGGCAAGAAAGTGAGGAAAACTAACTAACCATTTGCCCTACAGTGATGCACCACCTGACCCTTTTGGCCCTGGCTGCCCTGATCGCAAGTTGTTGGGCTGCGAATGGTGAGGTCAATATCTGCTCCAATGTGGTCAGCAATCTCTTTCTGCCACACGTGAGCAACTGCAGCAAGTACTATCTGTGCATGAGTGAGTCATACAGTAGAGTATAAGTTTAGTTCAGGGATTGATGCTGCTCCTTACTCGTTGACCAGGTGAGGTGGCTGTGCCCCGGGAATGTCCGGCGGACTACTACTTCGATGCCCGTGACCAGCAGTGTGTGCCCGTGATGGAGGCCAGATGCGTGCCTTCCTGCAAGGCCCGCGGCCTCGAGTCCTTCTGCTACGATCGCACCTGCACCAAGTACGTGCTCTGCTTCGACGGTACTCCCGTGATCCAACAGTGCTCCGATGGACTGCAGTACAATGCCCAGACCGATCGCTGCGACTATCCGCAGTATGTGGACTGCGCGGACAATCTGTGCATCCGGCAGAACAACCCCGATGACATCGTCTACATCGCCAGCAAGGCGAAGTGTGACAAGTACTTCGTGTGCATGAATGGTCTGCCCATGGTCCAAAACTGCACCAGTGGTCTCCAGTACAATCCAACCACCCAGAGTTGCGACTTCCCATCCAGGGTCAACTGCACGGTGGGTGCTTCACATGATCTCGCTGGCTTGAGTGATCTCAAATGAAGTGTTTTACTTCCCTTTTAGGTGGAGAACCTACAGAGGAATATCCTGCCCTTCGCCCGAGCTCCTCCACGCACCGCCGACATCAAGTGTCCCTCGGAGGGCGTCCACTTTGTGGCCCACCAGACGCGACAGGATGTGTACTACTACTGCCTGAATGGACGCGGAGTAACCCTGGATTGCACTCCTGGCCTGGTGTTCGATGCCAAGCGCGGGGAGTGCCGCGAACCACAATTCGTGGGAGTCTAGCGAGTCTAGTCTTTTTGAATAAAGATCCACTGTTGCTCAAATCAAAATATTATGATTTATTGTTGTGCAAAATAACAAGTCCCTTAGTGTTGGGGTGTTGGAATGGCTTTCAAGGTGTTGTTCCTAACATGGATCATCAGTCAACAAAAAAAAGGAGATTCACTTCATTTTTACATTTCTTTGAAGCCTTAAGAAACCATAACACAGCTTAAAAATATAGCTTTAATATAGGTCCTTTCAAGATATTTGTTTATTGAGTAGTTAATTGTTTCTAAGAGATTTTCTGCCCTTCTATTCTTTTCATTAACATTCTCTAACTAAACTATTGTTACATGATTTTTAAACTATTGGGTATGAAAAATTAAATTTATACCATGAAAGGTTTTAGGTCTTAGAATACAGTTTTAGGGACTATAAAATTTAGTATTGAATTATTACTTGTCTGCAGACTTTTTTTAAGACACACTTAGTTAACTTTCAGTTTTTTTTTTTGGGTGTAAGTTTTCATATAAAAGGCATGCAATTTCAATTTAAATTTATTTCCATATAACTAAGGTCATTTTCATAAGGAACCAGAATCGTTTACTCTATTCAATTTTATTGGTTTCACCCGAATTACAGCCCCACATTCTGGGGTTCGCGGCACTCCTGAACTTTGGGATCATACCGCAAGCCCTCCGAACAGTCCAGAACAAGGCCATGTCCATCCACGCAGTAGTAGTAAGCATCCTGGCGTGACTCGTGGGCAAAGAAGTGGACACCCAAGGAAGGGCAGATGCCGTCGGTAGTTCTGGGTGAAAGACGACTTGATAACTGCCGCACTTTCCTCTGTTCAATGGGTATCTGAAAGGATTAAAGATTAACCAGGGATTTCCTTAAAAATATACAACTTTTTCAACCCACTTGGCAGTCGGATTTCGATGGAATATCGCAGCAATCGCACTTGGTGTTGAAGTGCAGGCCTGGTGTACAGGACTGCTCCCGGGGAACCCCGATGCCGCAGAGGAAGTACTTCTCGCAGGACACCTTGCTGGGCACGTAGCGCAGGTGGTAGGCATTGTAGTAGATGGAGCACTCGGACTCCACGCAGTCCACGTTCTGGGGGAAGTCACAGCGATCCGTTTGGGCGTTGTATTGGAGGCCATCGTGGCACTGCCTCAACACTGGCTGTCCGTAGTAGCAGAGCACGTACTTTGTGCAGGTGCGCTGGTAACTGAAGGTGCTGAAGCTCATGTCGTCGCAGGTGGGCAAGCAATCGGCCTCGCCGGGATTAACACAGCTCTGGGTATTGGCGTTAAACTGGTACGGCAATTCGCACTGCAGCTCAATGGCCTGGCCAGCTAATTGACAATAATAATTCAAAAATAAAACCAATTCAACAAGTTCTTTGTGTCAATACTTACAGCGACAGAGGTAGTACCTATTGCAGTCCCCCACAAAAGGCAGAAATACATTATCCGCCACATTGCCACAGAGGCTGAGGTTGCCCAAGATCAAACTCCTGCCATATTTCTCGACGGATGCAGTGGTAGAGCCATCGAAGCCTTCAGATCTTACCTCAAACACGCCACACAGCAGGTAGATTATTAGCCAAATTTCTGCAAAAATATATATAAACTATAATATTTTCGAAATTTAGCTCTTAGCTCGCACACCTCCACTCATTGTCAGCTTTTTAGTTCAACTGCATGCCACCTTCCATGGAAATTTGCCTTTATGAGGTTCCAAAAAACATCAGATTATCTTATCACTGAATGGATGTTTTCAGCTCAAACAACTGACAAATTAATTGCCAGGAAAAGTGATGACTCTGGGGGTCTATGTTTAGATCTTAGTGCTCAGAGCGGGCCAAAATAATCTATATTTAATCTCTAATTACATCTATGTGAACAACCGTTTTTGTATGATAGATGGGTTTTTAAATTTGAAGATGTAAAAGTATTATAATAAAAAAATTATGTTTAAAGGAATATGCAGGATTAATTTAAAAATCACTGCTCTAGAATTTTTAAATTAAATAAATTTAAATTTAATTGCATTTCAAATAGACTGAAATTCAATTATTTCTACCTGTTCTCTAAAAAGATCTCGCAGATCAATTTCGAAACGTTTGCCGCCTGGTCCACGAAAATCTACGAACTCACGAAAATCATTTGAAAATATTTTCGTTTTCGGTACTTCGATTCAGTTTAATCTTTGACATCTCACTGTGCACAGCTCATCGCTAGGAGGATCACATAAATATACAAATTGTTTAAAGGCAATTTCTTAGAAACATATTTTCTATTCGTTGTGTAAGTTTGCATAATTGCTGCATTTAGTAGTGTTGTGTTCAGAATTGCCAAAATGATTGACACCATTCATACTGAAAACACAACTAAACAAAGAGCCATTTATTTATAGACAATGCCTTGCGGTGGGCCTGTGTTTGTATTTGAAAAATCATCAATGTGCGCGATATGTGGTACATAACACCAAAAATTCCCTCTTCTTTTTTAAAGCATCTAGAATGGTCAACGAGTTGAACAGACCCCAAAATGGGGACAATGCCGCCCTGAGCGAGGTAAGCTGGAGTCCAGAGAAAAATGATCTATAGATCTTAGCCTTTCATAAACATAATATATTACTAAAATAATAGCTTCTTATGCTAGTTAAGATGATTAAATGGTTTTATATTAATACTTCTTTAAAGATGTGCTTTTCTCTATTATTACAAACTTTAAAGTAGTATAAATTCTGTTAGAATTATATTATATTACTAATAGGCCAACTGTAATCATTATACACTGACAAAAAATGAAATTGTAAAAAAGGTTATTAAATTTCAAATTTTGTATTTAAAACTTAAAATTAAAATTGAATGCACAGTAATTTAATGTTAAATTATTTTCATGAATATTGAATATATTATATTTAGAACATTTTCTATTTTATTTAAATGCATTTTATTTCACTTAAATATTGTTTTAATTTAAATTTAATTTTCAGATATTAAATGTAGTAATTTGTTTGTTATAATCTTAAATAAGAATAGGATGACCCTGATTTCACATAGTTTTAATACCCAAAATAATGACTAATGGTGACTTCATTTCTCTCAAGCGCCTGGCAGCCTCCAACCGGCAATTGCAGGAAATGCAGGAGGAGCATCGCCAGTTGCTCCAGGAGATGGAGACCCTACGATTGCGTGCCGCCGAGCTCACACGCCTAAATGCCCAGCGCCAACAACTGAGGCAGTCCGCCGGCGAGGAGGAGCAGTCCCAGGTGGAAGCTCCAGCGGAGCCGGAACCAGTGCCCACTTCCTCTTCTCCCGCTGATCCTGCTACCGAGGAGGCTACTCCTTCTGTACAGGAAGAGGGCTCCAACGACGATGACGAGGACAAGGAGGAGACGGCCAGTTACCTGCAGGAGAAACTGAACGAGATCGCCAACCTGAAGGCTCAGTTCAAGCGGGTGCAGCACATGGTGGACACCACCAACCTAATTGAGCAGCACATGTCCTCCAGGCAGACGGTGCAGGTGCAGAGCAGCTCCTCCGTTCAGAGCAGCCGCCAGACCACCACCTCAGAGGTTCGAGTGGCTGAGGGGATTGAGGCTGGGCAGGCGACTGCCAGTCCATCCACGACTGCCACTCCCGACAACGCCGAGCTCCTGAATTCTATGCTCAACATGTTCACCGACTTCACCAGTGACCTGCGGGGTCAGGCGGAGAGCCTGCGGGCGGAGCGGGATCGGATCAGGACCCTCAAGGAGGACATAATCCAGCGCAAGCAGGGAAAATAATGGAAACTATAGTTTAAGTTTGAAAATCGAAAAGCTTTCGTTTAAGTCGCATAATGCAGAAACTCAAATAAGGTATTTCAAATTGAAAAGCCAACAGCCCTTGAACTACATATTTGTATTGTATAATTCCTAAACTGTATAATAAAGTTTCGCAAAACAATTTTTTGTTAATGTCTGTAAAACATTCATCTATAAACTATAATAATAACAAAAGCAAATAGCGAATATCGATTTCACATTTAATAAAAGCGGAACTCTAATTGCCTCCCTTTATTTTACGATGTCGTAAAGATTTTCCAAGCTGCAGATTGTAAGTAACCGTTAACCAATTTCAAAAAATTATCAATAATATCGATATCGATACACTGCTCAGCTGTGTGACCATATCTCGGTTGGCAGCTAACCATGTTGCCAGCCCTAAGCAGTGCTCATTTTGACATTCATCACTTTCAGCAAGCAGTGAAATGTAGACCATTTGTAGAGTAAGTAGTTACGAATTTGTATTGTTTTCAGTAAGCAGTGACTACGGGGATCGTTAGTGGAGACACACTCCTTATATAGTGCAGACACATAGTTGAGACACACTCCGCATATAGTTGAGACACACTCCGCATATAGTGGAGACACACTCCGTATATAGTGGAGACACACTCCGCATATAGTGGAGACACACTCCACATATAGTGGAGACACACTCCACATATAGTGGAGACCCACTCCGCATATAGTGGAGACACACTCCGCATATAGTGGAGACCCACTCCGCATATAGTGGAGACACACTCCGCAGGTAGTGGTATATTTGATGGTATATTTCGACGTACAAATTATCGATAATTCCATCTTCACACTGTCTACAGCCCTGGTTTAAAAACAGCTGTCAGATTGTGCAAAGTAAAAAAAAAAACAAAGTCAAAGAAAAGTGAAAAATTTTACAATTTTCTAGCATTCACAACAAATATATTTTCTAATGGCGCCGCCGCCCAAAACGATTGGGGACCGGGACCAGGGCAGCGCCAGTGCCCGCAGCACCGGAGGCAGCAACAACAACAACAACAACACGGTGGGCGGGGCAACCGGCGCTGTGCCCAAACAACAAACGCCCATAAACGGAGCACCTGGCGGAGTAACTGCATCGTCATCCGCATCCTCGGTGGCCAGCAGATCGGCACGATCGCGCCGCCAGCAGGAGCACCTGGGCGAACCGGACCTGGACTTTGTGGAGCCTCTGCAGCGGGAGACGCTGAAAACGCTGAACGTAAGTTGGCGCCTGGTTGCCATGGCAAAGCTAGAATCTGCAAGAGAAGAGCCCGAAAGGCCATTCTCTTCGATGTTTATAAATACACTTCGCCACTCATCTCGGCCTGCCGAAATTCACTTTCCGCTGGTTCAGTAGCAAAAGCGAGCGCAGCCACAGCGGACAACGAATTTCGATCGACCTTTATATATATATATATGTATATCTGAGCAGACGGATATATGTATATATAGATTTAAAACTAGCAAAATTACCGCCCTACTCGTGTTAGTACTCCTGCTAACCTTTGTTTGCTGTTGCCTCAAGGATCTGCTACAGCGCGCCCGCATCACCAACGGCAAGAATCGATCACCGGCGGAGCAGCAGCTGACCACCAAGGAAACCAGGTCACCTGCCCAGCAGCAAAAGCAGCGCGAGACACTGCGTCAATTGGCCGCAGAGCACAGCAGCTACGATTCAGCAGGTAAGTACTTGAAAGGCTTTGGGACTTTGGCAATACACATCTTTAAACATTGGGCATTTTCAATATCCGCACCTGAAGATGTGAACGGCTGGCCAGCACACATCGATCGGTGCGCCAGTTCATGGTCTATAAATAGGATGCGCACGAAAATAAACGCCCACTGAGATGATGTAGTCCGCAGCCCACACTCTGCCAGGCCCAAACTGATCTATTATTTTCCATTACAGAGCAACTGCAGGAGCAGCAGCAGCGCTACCGATTCCCCGTGCGTCCCGTCCAGAGGGTTCAGCACCAGCCATCGTCGTCGTCATCCGGTGCCATAGCCGCTGCCCCCTCATCTTCGTCGGCTTTGCTGCGGCTGCGTCAATCGACGCCCCCGAATGCCACAGTGGGCGTGGTCATTCCAAACGCCACCACCAGCAACGGAAACGGCAGCGGCAACTTAAGCGGCCCCGACGAGCAGTCCACTCCACTGACCGCCGCCGGACTGCAGAATCTGGTCCATCGGCTACTTGGTGTGCACCCTTTGGGCCCCAGAATCGAAGCAGGTCGCTCCCAGGTGGAGGTGTTACGGTCCCTGCTGGAATTGGACGAGAACCTAAACAACAGAGCACAACAGTCCAGTGCAAATCTAGTGGAGGTGAGTCCCTTATAATCATCCATCCATCAATAAGAGAAAATACAGATTAGGTTTCACTAAGAAGAGCTATTTCCATTTCCATTAAAAGATAAATACTATATAAAGATATTTATTAATAAGAATATTAATTATATTAATACCTTTTATGCTTCTACTTTTATCCGGTGCAGCAGCTGAGCAACATGGTGCACGAGATCAACCCAAGTGCGGAGCAGGACGAGGGCATTGTCAATTCGACCAGCCTGGAGGATGTTGCATTAAGCGAGGTGGGCAATTGAAAATCTACAAAATCTAATTTAGTAACGCTTTTTTGGCTTTCCCCTGCAGATGAGCGACCGCGCCCAGTCCATTCAGTCCCTGCACAGTGTCCTGGAGACGCCCACGCCCGATAATACGCCCAGTTTCGATGAGCTGCAGCAGCGCCTGGAGGCCTCCAATAGGAACATGGAGCACCTGCAGAACGAGCAGGCCAAGCTACTGCACATCCAGAACCTGGCCAAGTCGCACCTCACCGAGATGGAGCAGCTGCGGCAGCATGCCGATCGCCTGCCGCACAACAACGACAACGGCGGCGAGGCACCCAAGTACGAGTCCGTGCAACAGGTGCAGGACGACATGGCCTCGTTGGTGGGGCGCATGAAGAATCTCACCGCCTTCATCCACAACCAGAACGAGCTGAGCACTGTGCTCGGCGATGATGGCCCCGAGATAATGGCCGAGCAGGAGGCACTGCAGCAGAAACTGGAATCTCTGCGCATCCAGCGTGAGGATATGCGCAACCTGGTGGACGAGCTGAATAGCATTAACCGCACGGCCAGGGAATCGACCAGGGCCATCAAGGAGGAGACCCCCACGCCACCGCCCAAGCCAGCTCCGGTTCCAGTGGCGGTCAAGGAGCGTGTGGTGCCGGTGGAGTACCAGCGGAATGTGCCCATCATGCGCCAGGAGGCGGCCAATGCGGCGCAGCGAGCCCTCCACGCCCAGGCCATGATCAACCAGAAGACGGCGGACATAGAAGCCCTCAAGGCTCAGATGGCCAGGCTTAAAGGCATGCTGAACACGGTTAGCCAGATCGAGGAGAGCACGCCCAGCATGGGCGCCTCGCTGGAGCGGCGGGGCGAGGAGCGGACCAGTGTGGAACGCGAGTTGCCGACGGAGATTGCCCAGCGGGTTTTCGCCCTCAACGACGTCACCTCGGAACTGCGCGCCGAGGCAGTTAGCCTGCAGAAGGAGCGCGATCGCATTCTGGCCCTCAAGGCCGAGATCGAGCGCCGCAAGCAGCAGGCGGCCGCCGCAGTTCAGATGGGCGAGGATGCACTCAAGCGAAACAGCCTGACTCCGACACCCACGCCCATCAGACAGCATCAGGTGGCCGCGGAGGAGGTGGAGGAGGAGGAGGATCCGTCCGAGGTGGATACCACTTCGCTTCAGGCCACGCCCACCAAGGAGCAACTGCGCGACGAACTGCGCCTGCAGTGCGAGCGCCTGCGCAAGGAGTACGAGCAGAAGCAGCGGGAACTGGAGCAGCGCTATGTGGCCAGCAACAACACCACCTCGGAGGCGGATGACGAGGGAAACGACGACACCGACAGCGACAAGTACTTCGCCAATGTGCGCACCGCCTCCTCGGCGACGCTCAAGCGGGCTGCCTCCGCCAGCACGGTGGTGGAGCAGAGGCGTGGCCAACAGGCCAGCCTGCCTTCGCAGGCAGCGCCTCCGCCGCCGGCTCCTCCGTCCACCCTCAACGAGGATGACCTAAACGTGACCCTCGACACCCTGTCCCTGGGCAACGACAGTCTGCCCTCGAGCAGCAACAGGTCGCAGTACATGCCGCCGCCCATGGCTCCAGTGCCTGGAATTTGGGGTGAGTTTTGAATTCCATCCTATCAAATAGATACAAGCGGGAGCTATTCATGTTTGAGTTGTTATATGTATATGTTGTTATATTTTATATGTTGTTATATTTTCCCCTTAGCATCGCACAACTCTGGCAATTCATGGCACGGTCAGCAGGCCATCTATGGCCAGGGCAACTCGGGCACGGGAAACGAGTTCAAGGCAGCGCCAGCCGCCCCCCAGGTGGGCTCCTCGAATGCCTCCGGATCGAATGCCTCGACCGATGCCGTGCTGCTGCAGCAGTTCATGCAGACGCAGCAGATGCTCATCAACTCGGTGTGCCAGTGCAACCAGACGCTGTGGCACCAGCAGCGGGAGATCGACAACCTGAACAACCAACTGCACACGGTAGACAAGATCTCGAAATTAAATCACTTTCCACTGACTAATCCAAACTTTGGAACACTTAGCTCCAGGATCGCTTCAATGTGGTGGCTTGCCAGGATCACAGCTTTGGTCTGCGCTCGGAATCAGTGCCGCCGGTGGGTCCGGGCATGGCTCAAATGCCCAACAACCTGTGCTTGGGCAACAATCGGGCGCAGTCGGAGCAGCTGTTCAACTTTGGTGCCCACCAGAGCGCCTTCAGTAACTATCAGCGTAGCTGTCACCGCACTGGAAGCGAGTCGCATCATCATCATCAGCAGCAGCAGCAGCATCAGCAGCAGCAGCAGCAGGCACATCAGCCGCAGCCGTTCCTCAACAACGCCGCACCGCCGCCGCCGCCACCGACGCACTACAACAACGAGACACCGCTGTCGCCGCCCACGTACCGCTCCAGTCCGGGTCCCATCTTTATGAACCACCACAACAACACGATCCACCAGAACAACTCGAATTTGCGCACGCAGAACCAGCACGCCAACAACTTGCACTCGCTGCCCGAGGGAGCGGCTGGTGGCGGAGCTCCCGGTGGCGGGATCACCCTGAACAACCAGGTGCCACCCGGCAACCGGGCCAACAACTACTGGGACAACTTCCGCAGGTAATCCTTTGTCTTTGACTTTGACTTTGACTTTGCTTGGTGATGGTTTTCGAAGCGGGTCTTTTGGCAATAAAAAAAAAGGGCCGATAGCAATAAAAATTACAAAACAAAACCTTTGTGTGGAGTTCAGTTTCAATTCTGTGATTCGGTAAGTGCGACTACAAGTTGCAAAGGGGAGTTCCATTAACAGAGTTGAAAGTGACTAACACGAAACTAACACCAAGTACTAACTTCCTTACTGAAAACTACATTATTTGGCAAATAGAAAACTATTATTTTTGCATGAACATAAAGACCATCAAGTATTTTAAACTTTGTATTATAATTTATTTATTTTGCCCAAGATTTTTTAGTTCCAAAGAGTCTTAAGAACCAACAAAATTTTATAACTCTTTACGTTTAATAATAAAGTCAATTAAAATTATTATTTTAGAGTCTTTAGAGCCTCCAAACTAAATGCTCTTTTACGCTTTTAAAAGCCCAATTCAGCTTACTAACAATAGAGACTAACAATTGCTTGAATATTTGCTGCCCGCTTGCATTAACCCATTAATATCCATGCGCTTTTGCAGCCACTCGCGCCAGAATCTCCTGTCGAACAAGAGCAACGAGGAGCTGAACGTGGACCTCCAGCAGTATCGACGCCAGCGGGCGCGTCCCAGTTACTTTCAGCCGCCCCAGCTGCTGGCACCGCCCACGACCCGCGGTGGCTTGACCCACCAGCAGCAGCAACAGCCGCAACAGCAGCAACAGCAGCAGCAGCAGCAGCGATGCCACTTTTTCGAGTCGCCACTAACCGCTTTGCATGGCAGCAGCAATGGCAGCAACAATCTGAATAACAGCGGCAGTGCGGCCAGGAAACGCGACTGGCGCGATGATGGCGCCCACAATCGTGACCAGGACGACGAGGACTTGGACGAGGTGGAGGAGAACCATGACAATGTCATATTTGGCTCTGGCCGACGTCGCAATCGCCGACGTCCGCAACTTTCCACGCTGCGAGATGAGGAGCCGGAGCAGGCCAGTTCCTCCAATCTGAACATGAACGTTAACTATGGCAACAGTCCGCTGTACCAGCGGAACAAGGTGCCGGCCAAGCCCACCACTTCCACGGTTTCGCTGACTCCGCTGCAGCAGCGACACCTGCGCTTCGACTTCGAGCTTCCCGCTCACTATATGGACTACATTGAGCTGCCACAGTTAACTCCGGTGGAGAGCACTCCGCTGGCGGGTCAGGATGCCTGCCACGCGGACGAATCCAATGCCATGGAGCAGTCCGAGGAGACGGCCTCCGAGGAGCTCAATCGCAATCTGCTGGTCAATGCCTTGAAGAACGACAAGTTCACCACAAAGTTCTACGAGTCCATCAAGGAGGATGTCTACCGCCGGCTGGAGACCCTCTTTGAGCAGCAGCAGTTGCAGCAGCAGCTGCAGCAGCAACAGCAGCAGCAACAGCAGCAACAAAACCAGCAGCTACAGCAACTACAGCAGTCGCTAAAGCCGCATGGCCTGCGAAAGGCTCTCAACCAGGAGGAGAATGAGCCCGCCTCGCTGGACGCTGAGGCCACCGAGAGTCGCAGTGAGACGCCGCTGGAGGTGATGCGTCTGCAGCTGGACAACGATCGGCCCGAGGACGAGAAGGGGTCGCCAGTGAAGAAGCAGCTGACAGTGGTCATCCCCCAGAACGGTCATGCCCTGGAGGAGCTGGAGGCCAGTTCCGCTTCTGCCATGCCCTCGACTGTGAAGCTGGAAAACGAGGAGGTAAGAGAGGGTCTTGTATCCTAGCGCTGGAGTGTGATTTACTCATCCTTTGCGTCTTACCACCCAGCAAATGCTCAAGCGCGAGGATGAGGAGGAGGATGAGCATGTCGCCGGATCTGGAGCCGGAGCAGGAACAGGGGCCAGCGTGGAACTGGCCCCGGATCACGAGCTGATCGAGTACATAATCAAACGCATTCGCAACCAGACGCACAACAACACCGTCATCAACGATTCCCTGCTGGCGGAGGTATCCAAGCTAACGGCCACCGCTGCCCAGAACTCGGCCGCCAGTTCGCCGCTCATCTCACCCAAACGCATCTACGCCAAGATCAAGAAGATGGAGATGCCGCGGCAGCGTGACGAGTTCTTGCTCTGGTACCGCTCCTATCTGGAGCAGCTGTTCGTGGTGGAGCAGCCGCCGCCGCCGGACAATTGCAAGGCCAAGCTGAAGTCACCGCCACTGCCACCGCCGACGTCGGCGGGCAGTCCGGCCAAGCAGACGAGAAAGCGGGTGCGCGAGCAGTCGCAGTCCCAGTCGCAGGACTCCAACAACGATGCCGACTTGGCGGAGGCGGACCAGAAGAACGTCTCCGCAGCGGGCAATGGCGACCTGGAGTGCGAGAACAACGAGAATCCCGGCGAGGAGGCTGATGGCCGGGCTGCAGCAGAGTCCTCCGGCGGAGAAAAACCGGACACAGGTCTCGATTAGTAGGCTTTATACATATAGGTTTAGAAACCCCACCATAACGCACACATTCCTAATCTCACAATACACCATCTGTACGGATATTTCACGACGTTACTTCTTGTTTGACCGTGACCCATTTTCATTTGGCATATAGTTTTTTATTTAACATTAAATTATGTAACAATATTATATATATACATATATCTATTACACTGAAGACAACAAGCACCATCTTGCTTTCATTTTGATAACAATCCGTGAGGAAGGTAGTCTAAGTCTTGTCTATCTCCTGCCACTGGTCATCTGCTCCAGCATGCGGTAGTAGCAGTAGCGACTGTCGTAGTCCAGGTCGTACCAGAAGTTCACGGCGATGCACTTGTGGCTCTGGGAGACGTGGTGGAACCAGTAGTTGGGCAGGTACAGGATGTCGCCGGGATGGACGCGCACCCTGAGCGGCTGGGCGCGGGCGTACTCCGGATATGTGGCCAGGTCGGGGGCCAGGGGATCGATGCTGACCCATTCCGTGAGCTGCTCGTTGCCATCCTCATCCCGGATGGCTTCTATGTGGAACTGCCCACCATCCGAGGTTGTGTAAACGCCAGTGGGATAAATGCGCCGAGGCACACAGCTCAGCTGGTGCGGCGGGATGAGGATGAAGTCCTTGTGGCCGGATATCACGCAGTACAGGTTCTCGTACGGATCCTTGTGCATGGAGGTCACCGCGCGCTCGTCGCCCAGCCAAAAGTTGACGGCATCGGGCGGCTTGTTGAAGGACTGCTGGGCAAAGTCCAGATCACTGATCCTCAAATCGGCTGCCAGTTCCGGCAGATCCACGCTGAGATTGGAGTTCTGCTTTTGGATGTAGTGGACGGCCCCTGTGGGATCATCCAGACGGCGGACCAGCTCGGACAGCTTCATTTTCGTCTCCAGCGGCAGGACAAAGTACTCCTTGCCCTTCTGCGTGGCCAGGCCATCGGCATAGCCATTCGGTGTAATGGCCACGTCCACCGTCTTGTCCCCCAGCGCCTGGATCAGGTATTCCGGTGTCCATTTCCCGATTGCCGGCCACGAGAGTGCCTGCCGGATGACCACCGGCTGGTTCTTGGCGTAGTAGTCGCGGCAGAACTCCAGGGCCGTGGGAATACTGTCCAGCTCCACCACGCTGCTCCCAATACACAGCTCCTCCGCCTCCTGAAGCAGCACATCCAACGCCTTTCCAACTTCGGACATGCCGGCAGCTGCAGTGTGTGCCTATCGCGTTTTTCACAAGGGTGAACCTTGTCATGGGTATCAAAAGGGGTGTTCCAGATTTCATATAATTTGAAAAGCTGTTGGAATTTAAGAACATTTAAACGACCTTCTAATGGGTATTAAAAAAGGTGTTCCAGATTTCACAGAATTTAAATAAACTTTAAATGCCAAAAACATATTTTCCATTAAAAATATGGTATTACAACATATACTATATTTTAATCTTTTCGGGGGTCAGGTAACTTTTCGAGTTATTGAAGTTGGATTGCTTATATTTATATTTAAAAAGCTCGGGTTAAATTGCAACTCAACTAATCGGCTTAGGCGATTTCGAGTACTGTTGGTCACCTACTTTGAAACATTGTTTTAAGAAAAACGCGTTTCAACCCTTCAACCCTTTTAAAATTTGCGGGTTACTTTGAAAATTCTCGCCAAAACGATATAAAAATACAATAAAAATATTTCTTTTAGTTAGTTTTTAAGCTATAAACTTACTGAACAAAAATAACTAAATAATCAGCTCTCTTAACAATCACCTTATTTAAATTTTTTTTTAAATTTAGCACCTTTTCCAGCACTGTTCACACTACCGATAGGCAGGGGCCAGAAAGTATCGATAGCCCAATCGGTGTTAGGCCACCTCTAGTTGACAGTTGGTGCGACGAGTGTGAATTCGAGTGCGGGAGATTCAAGACGCGCGCAAAGCTGCGGACTGTCGAATCGGAAGTGGAGCGAACGGAAAAGCAAATAAGGCGGCGCGTGTCGAGTGTTAATAACACAGACGTTGTTTTCGAATACAAACGTTGTTTCTGAAAATACAGAAATTTATTTCGCCAGTGGACCGGAGGGGCGATCGGGGTCACCCACCTCTTTTGCATGCCCAACATCTGCACCACGGATGCGAAAATAAAAAACTGGTGCGATTTGGGCAACAGGTGGCGACGGCGGCAAATGGATCGTGTCGATGGGCGGGATTTGGCGAAATTGTGTGGATAGACTGACATAGGCCCATTATTATTATATGGCCAAAAAGGGGTCAGACATTTGTGTTGTGCGCGTGAGGAAATTGAATTGACTTTGGCCACCGCCGGTACGTTTCCGAATCCGAATCCGAATCCGTATCCGAATCGGTATCCGAAATCAAAATCGAAATCTGTGTCGCAAATGTGGCACTAATAAATTATCGCACATTCGCGGACCGCACTCGCGAGTGCTTCATTAATGCAGAAATTGAATCGCAATTGAAGGAGAATATCTAGTTTTGCAGCGGCTGCGTTTGTTTCATTTTGCCAGGAACGTGACCAAATTGCCAAGTGTCGCGTGGATCAGCCAAAAAAGTAAGTTTTACGGTACACAACAGGGAGCCACAGCTACGCTTCGCGGAGCAGCACACAAACAAAAAGAACGTTAACTCCGTGGCCTATAAATAACAGTCTTCAAAATAGCTAAATCCAATTGCAGTCCAATTAGCAGTGGAGCGCCAATGAAGCGCCAGTGAAAGAGTAAGTGAGACGCTTTTGCCGCCTAAGTTTGAAACGCCGAACGCTTATATACCCTTGAAGTTTAAACTATATAAATTGCTATCTAAACATATTGTTTATATACTTCTGAATGTACTTGTCGAAATTTTGTATTAGACCTTTAAAGATTTTCTAAAATCGTATTAAACGATTAACTGATTTACTGACTTATGTACAAGCGAATACATTTAATCTTTTGTGGTGATAATACTTAAATATTAAAATGTATTATTTTAATCTTAATTGTCTAACTCTTTTTGTCTTACTACATATAAAAGCAACCAAATTGCATTGTTAAGTCTATGTAGAATTTAGGATTTGCATATTTTTCATTAATATTTAAAATTCTTAAAATGTAACACAAGGATTTGCAAACGGTTTTTTTAAGTTAAAAAATAGGACCAAGTTATTAAAATTGTTCTCGATATTTAGATAGCAGTTAAAATCACACTAAATCTGCCTTGCTACTTATAAAACATAGCATTTGAGAATATTTCTGTCGCATATATCCACCGCTTTTCAAACCTGTAATTAATTTCAAAATACCCATTGCCAGAGTATTAAAATCAACAAACGCCAACAGTGCGTATGACAGTTCTTACGCAATTACAATACCATCGCGCGCTGCAAGATTAACATAAATTCGGCCTGCAAACTTGATAAGCGTCATAAAAAAAGGCAGCAACAGCAGCAGCAGCAATAGCAACAGCAGCAGTTGCTGTGTGAACCGAAAAAATCGAAAGGCAATAAGTCAGTGGCAAACAATGCAAAGCTCACAGAGCAATGCAATTTTTCCACAATTTATTTAAATTTCGCATAGTTGTTGCTGCCGCAGTGCAAGCCCCAAAATGAGTCAGCTTCAGTCGCCGTTGCAGTCGCCGTTGCAGTCGCCGTTGCAGTCGCCGTTGCAGTCGCCGTTGCAGTCGCCGTTGCAGTCGCTGCATGCCAGCGCGTACTTCTGTGGCGACAGAGGCTGCGCTGTCATAAGCACTGTCAAATTGCGATCGCCCGAGTGGGTGGAGCGGAAAGGGGTGAATGGGGAAAGGGGGTGAGGAGGCCGTCATTGGCCCACTGCTGCTGCTAGACGCGCTTTTTTCTTGCATGCCGCTGCCCCTCCATCACTGACCACACTCAACACCAAATCGACAGCCACAACTGGCCACAGCTGAGGTCGAAAATATAGCAATAAAGCCATTTATGATTATAGGTTAATAGATTTAGCGCTTTAATCATTATCATATCGTTTGTGTTATCTTTTCACGTTCGAACATGCAAATGATTCACAGTATGATGGGAATGATTCAAAACATGCTACACAGCATAATTCATATGCTTCGGTCAATCATGTGCGGACTAAGAATAATATTATGTTAAAAATGTCTAAACCAAAATAGAATTACAACACTATTACGAAAAAAATTAGGAACCTAATTTGTAGTCCTGCATAAAACAACATTGTTTAAATCAAATTGTGCCCCAAAACAATTTCACATTACGATTCCAATGAGTTAACAAATATCTAAACATCTTACAGAGTGTTTATAATACTATACTATGTATATAAAGAAAATGTAATTAGTAACAATACGGTTTTCAAATCTGTACTCGAAGTAAATATAAATTTCTTTGACCAAATGCAAAGTTAAGTTCCTATTATTTTTGGTTAATAGGTAGACAATTAACTTAAGACTTACGATGTTGTAACTAAAAGTCCAAATATTTTTATACTTACCCAAGATCAAAACTCAAGGTAAAGGATAGCTGCTGGGGCTTTTAACAAAACTATTTCTTCAAAGCTGAAATCCACATATATCAAATATCAATCGACTATTTAATTGGTGCTATTATTTTACCCCATGGTTTTCCCATCTATGAAGCTGATGGCTTGAGTGCTTTGCGTGTGGCTGTTTGGAATTGCATTCGGCAAACGTAAAATGATAAATGATTGATGCTCGTGGCCAGAATACGCATTAGTCGGGCATTAGCCGGCCTTTTGGTGGTTTTTTCAAATTTTTCGGCCCGCAACCCGTTCATCGTTATCAGCCACGTCACCGGCGCTCACGCACTTAATTTTAAATAGTTAAGTACCCACAATATATAAAACTAATACTGCTGATTAGCCGCAAAACGGGGCCAAGAGATTATGCGTCGCGTTTGAGGATGGATGTCCCTCGGTGAAACGCAAATTACCCGCAAAATTGCTCTGCCATATATGTGTGGACTATATAGTACCGCCAGCCACACTTTGCCTGCATGTCATTCGCACCTTTGACGGTGTCATGGAAATTTAATTAAACCTTTATGCAGATGGCTTTTCAATCGGTTGAAACAACTTCGCCCTCGAGTTTCCCCCCGGGGAGGGAAAATGTTGGACAAACGCCCGCTTATCAAGCTAGCTCCAAATGCAAAATACCTGGGGGCCTGGGGGCGTGGAGGCGTGGCAGCAGGTGGGCCCTCGACATATGTTACACTCAGCTTGTCGCGCTTATCAACAACAATGGGCCACCTAACACGCGGTTGAGCTGGCGACAAAGAGCCTCACCCACAGTTGGCACACTTTTTCGGGGGGCTTCCGACTCATAAGAGGGGAAGAGGGGGGCTTTCACTGGGTCGCAGTTGGTGAGCCGCTCCAATGGCATCCCATAAAAATGGTTGTACAGAAATTAACATAGCCATAAAAGCAATGTTCACCAGCGGAGGCGGGGTGGTGCAGAAGGTGAACAAGAAGTCCCAAAAAAAAAGAACTTTAATTGATAAAGGGAGGGCAGCTGGGGAGTCGCAAGATTTCTTATCAATTCCAACTTCCCGAATTCAAACGCATTCCGGGCCTCATTAACATTAACATTAGAAAGGAAAGCGAACAAGGAAAAAACAGAAATATGTATAGCAACTGAAAGCGAAACAAAGTGAAATGAAAATGAAAATGAAATTGTTGCGACTTAATTTCTCTTACACATTCTGTAATGGCCATATTTTATGCTTGCAATGTTCTAAGGGGGGAAAATGTAGTAAAACCACAAAAACACAAGTGGAAATTATATATGTAGTTTGGGGTCGACTTTAAGATACCCTCTAAATAGTAAACGAATTGGGGGAGAAGTAACATTAAAGTAGTTTCAGTAATTTACAAAGGTTCAAACCACTCAATCTAGTCAATCAGATAATTTCGTTCTTTAGTTTAAAATATTTATTTTTAATTGCGCTAAAACCCATTTTTTTACCAGCCATATCTAAACAAACTTTAAACATAAAAACACCCGATTTGATAGTGTGTCGAAAATATTATTGATATGATTTAATTTGATTATATTTTTGTGTTAATCAGAATTTAATTTGCAAATCTATGGTGGTAGGTGGCGGCTGGAGTAGTAAGAGTAGTAAGGTCTCTTTAGTAAATTTTAACAATTTAAATTTCAAATTCATATATTCTATATACCCTCGTTTTCTATAGCTACCTAGTGAAAAAACAATGGACATTTAGCCGGGCTTGTGGTGTACTGAGGTTGGTCTGATGACCCACCTCCAGACCCATTATTGGATCCTGTGGCGCAGGGTGGGTGCTTCTATTTTATGGCCTGACATTTAATGCTCAGCCACCGAATCCGAGTCCGAATCCGAAACCGAAACTGAGATTCAAGCCAGCCGTTCAGGCCAAGTGCAGGCAAATGAAGAAGCTGAGCCAAAGTCGTGTCGTGGGTTTAATGCCCGCTTAACCCACTTCGGCTGACAAATGTGCAACTTTAAATCTTCAGGCTCAAAACGCTTGTATATAAATCACGGCACAGAGGAGTCAACTGCTCATCCCTCTGTTGAGATTCTGACGCTAATGAAGCCTCAATTAGCGCAGCGAAAACTTTTTCAGGGCAACGAGGTAGCATGTTTTTAGGCGCTCGCTATCGCGGTAAGCCCCTTATCAGCCTTCAATTGATCATCATCAAACGTAATTGGCTAATTGTCTGATATCCACGAGTGAGGAGTCATTAAAACGGCGCTGCTACGTTTCGTAATAAAGTGACCACGGGTTGGATATTTCCTGGGAACTTTCAGAGAGATGAAACCCGCATGCGGAGGCTACGTGAGCGCACTGCTTGAGAGGATTGGCCCAGTAGCTTGCACTGGGCACGTGGCAAATTGGTTTCGCCACAAACTTTGGTTCCGGTTACTGGTGGGAGTACCTAGTCCGGGTCGGGGGTAGTTTGCTGACACTCGTCTACACATTCCCCGAAAGATAAACTTAAGTATAGCGCATTTAAATGCAATTTGTGACAGTTTTCCTTTTGCGCGACTTTCAAGTGACACGCACACAGCAGGGTCGCCTTTACTGGGTGCTGGTGGGTGTGGCACTGGGGGTAGCCAGTGCAGTTGGGGGTGGCAGGAAAAGGGGCGGCTTGGAAAAGAAGTTAAGGCATGCCTGGCACAAAGGAATTTTCCTATAAAATTGCATGGAAATATGCGCAACAACTACAATCCTGGAGATGCGCCGTGGGTCACGACACGCCATCATGGCGGTCAGTAACTTTGTTTGAATATTTTAGGAAGTCAAATTGATTAACTTCCCTTTTTGTTTAAAAAATTAACACACTGAAAATATAATTTCTAAACTTTCTTGCTAAAACAAAGCGTTTTTCCTAGTCTCTTATTTCAAAATTCCGAAAATACTAAAAAACCAATATCATTTTTATATCATATCATATTTTAGTTAATTTGAAGACTTTGTAGGTTACTATTCCAATTTAAATACTTTTTAAGTCGCATTGACTTTTTTGCATTTTTTGAGTGCATAAAATATTTTTAAATTTATCAAACAAAAACTTAAGAAAAGTTTGTAGCTTTATATACGAAAGTGGAATCCAACTGCTTTTTTTCGTTCTTTCCAATTTAGTATTACACTTTCCCAAGTTATCACGAAGCACACGCACTCCGCCATGGAAGCTCCTTATGACATAAATCTGCCTCAATCCAGAAAAATACGCAAATCCTTGGTGCACACTCAAAGCAGCCGATTCTCGATAAACTTTTCCTTTTTCATTGGTTCACTGGATCGTCACTTCAGACAACAGCTGACATTTGGGAAAAGGGAAACTCGGGGAATTGGGAACTTGGGAACTTGGGAACTTGGGAACTTCGCCTATCCGTCAAGGGAAATGAGATAAGGGCGTGGACATGGGTGGCTTTCCACTCTTGCCAGCTGGAGGACGTGCGTCAAAACTTTGGGGAGCGAGGCCTCTTAAATTGATTTTAAAATAATGAATGAGCCCAACGCCTGACGCTCATCATTTTTGGCACTTGCTCATTTCACTGTCGCCCCCCATTCACCCCAGCATCATCGTTTGCAATGACTAATGACAAAGTTGCTCCTTTGTTTCCTTTATTCGCTTGGCTTTCACATTGGATCTGCTCCTCACAAGAAGCTGATGTAGTAGGCACCCCTGGCAAAGGGTGAGGATTGAGTGGTCTCCAGGAAGTATATGCCGGAGCCTTCGCTCTGGCCCATTTTGTGGGTGGACCAGCGGCAGCTCGCGGCTCCTAGAGATTCCACGGAGCCACAGAGGGCACTCACAAAGTCATTCTCCGGCGACCACATCTCGGCGAGCAGCTGAAACGATCTCTCATGCGAACAGGAGTCGGATGAGCATCCTGGCTGCGTTTGCCCGCCATTGGGATAGTAGTCCACATGACCAAGCTGATCCCAAGTGCCGACTCCTTCTGCATTTGTGTGCACAACCTCTACGAACTGGGCATCGGTTTGGGATAGCTTGTGCTCCAGATCCTCTCCAGAAGTCGGATCAAGAGCTGTGATTTGCGGCAGCTGATGTCCCAGTTCCCGCTGCACCTGGGCAGCTACTCCACCTGCCAGGTGAGCACCCTCTGCAAAGCCCACGAGCTGTATCCGATCTAGTGGGACATCAAAGTTGCTGTGCAAAAGGTTCACCAAGTTGGCCACGCTTTCTATAATTTCCGTTTCATTGTTGGCTTGGGTTAGATCCAAGCTGATCACATTGCTATCCTTCTGCTGAAGTTGGGCGGAAACCACAGCTGGAATCTCTGGTGAAGAATTGTTCCCTCCCCAGCGCGGAAAAGAAAGGCTAAAAGGGCAAAGTACAAATAGTAGAAGCTCCATGGACAGATAGTGTAACAATATGCAATGACTCACACTACTGGATCCGCGGCGTAGAAAGAGCTGCGCACCAAAGCCTCCACCTCCGGTTCGATCTGCTGCGGATTGTCCTGGATGCGACGCGTGTGCAGCAGGAATCCAGTTTCCCCATAGACTGAAATTAAATAATACTTAGTTACCCATTTAAGTTACCAATTAATTTACCTACTCACCCACAGCAATTGTGAGGGTCAAAACCAAAGCAGTAAGTTCTCTCGTCTGCATTCTCAATGTAACTGAGCTGGGTGAGCATAGTTTCGCCTGAGGCATTCCAAAAAAGCTCGATAAGATTGCGGTTTTATTGGGTTCGATAAGAGATCCCCTATCGTTGGTCATCCACGATCGCTGATCGATGGATTTGACGGCTGAAGAAGCCGTGAAATTAAAGCCACTTGGCCACTGATTTTCACACGTTCCTCGGATTCGTTCGTTCGTATTTCTCTCACGCCCAAAAAATTGTTGTTTATGGCTCTTGTAGATTGTCAAATTAATCGGCGGCAGTGGCACAACTGCATAGCAAGTGGCGGCACTCCCCTGCCCTCCACTTCATCCGGCTTCAATTGCAGCTGCATTTGCATGGCTGACAAATTGCATTTAATTGCCCGACAGCCTCAAGAGTCGAGGGCACTTGGAGTGGGTTGCAGTTCGGAAAATGTATAGCAAACTCCATGCCAATCCCACAATCCCCCAATCCTCCCGAACCCCCGGAAAAGCCATACCTCCCCCATCAATGTCAGAAGGCAAAACAATGAAATTGGCAAATTAAACTGGAAGTGCAATGTTACAGCTGCACTGAAAAGAAATATCACTAGATTCTTAAGGTTTTTGATCAATGTTTTTATAGGTACTGACTTATCTTAATTTTTGATCTTGAAGAATAAGTTTTTAAATTTTAATATAATAGTTTTGAGGAACAAAAACGTATAACTCACTAAAATTAAGATTAAAATTGACTTGACACACAATGGAAAACCTAATCTCCAAAAATGTAGCTTAAAGTTAACTCTTTTTGATAGCATCACATCCCTTTGCTACCATTTGTGTTGTTACTATTACTATAACAAGCCAATTTTAGAGCTTCCAAATATGTACGTAAATAGTTTTATGATATTATTCCTATCAACTTAAAAAAAATGTCATAGATAATCTTACAAGTGGCATAATAGAAATAGGCTTTTTTATGGTTTAAATGCTGATTAAGGCATATGTCGGAAAGCTAAAATTTTTTTGTTCTTTTTGATGACTCACATTGTAAACGAATTAAGTTCTTTTCGTTTGGCTATAAAACTTCTTCTTATGATTTATCCCCACTTTTTTTGTCCAGGTCATTTCTTAAAAGCTTTTCAATCTTGTCTTACCATCAAGACCCCAAGAAAGTTGAAGTTTTCCTTCAGTGTTGGAAATATAAGGGGTACTACTCACGTGTTTGATTAGACTTGTGTATGAAATGGGAGTTATAATCCTAAGGATGCAGTAACAGTTGACCCCACATGCACGGCAATCTGACACAGAATCCTTGGGCAGCTTAGGTATTCGCACAAACTGGAGCGGAAACAAGAACTTTACGTACTTTGGTCTGCGTTCCCCCAAAACATTTTGCGGATAAATCGCTTGCGAAATTGTTACTGTCAAGTGCAGGCGGTGCGTCCAGCCTTCGGGCTCCTCCCTTCTCCCTTTTCCCTTCTCCTCTAAATATCAATGGGGGCACAACAATTAACCGGAGATCCGAGAACTCTTCTTGCCAACTCAATGGACTAGATTTATAACCAAAGAAGCGTTATTAAACGATGCCAGCGCCGATGGCGGCCATTTATAACATTGTTGTAACGTTGTAACATTGTAACCGGGGCAATAAACGGGGAGGATGGCAACTGGGGCTAGCAACTTGTATTAGCATAAATAGAACGGCATGCCGCACGCAACGTTCTAAAAGGGAGCGCATCCAGAGGATTTCTGTTTTGGGGTCAAAGGGGAAAGTCAATATGCCAGGCAAACTTTCAAGTGGTTTCGGGAGTGCAGCGGCGGAGGAAAGACGAGGGTGGCTGCTGCTCGAGTCAATATAATAAATTACTGTGATGGCTTCAAGAAGTTGCAAAGGTCCTGCCAATATTCAATACCCCTCCGTGTGAAGAAAGCAATCAGGCGAGCAGAGTGGGGTTTTTTTTTCTGTCTGGCTGGAGGCCAGTGAGAGATGTGCCATGTCCCAGACAAAAGGCAACAAAGACATGGCCATCAGAGGATGGGTACTGGGCTGGTTGGGTCTATCAGCAACTTCCCGTGCAGCAGCAGCCGAGCAAACATCACACATGATGCGTCGCCATTTCTCATAAAAATTTCATTACATTCACCGAAATGTGTGGCAAGTTTAATATCTGGGAATTTACACACATTGTTAAGGTTGGACACATTGAAAGAGGAAAGTACTTTATCAACTTGGCACGCCCCGAAATCAATTAGAACTGTGATGAACGAGTCAGAGCTCCAACTTAAGCTGTTCGTCTATTCAGCGAGGTAAAGTTCTTTATTGCCAAACATTTCTTTTCAACGAGATAAGTAGCCGTAAGCCAAATCTCTTTATTGCCAAACATTTCGTTGCAAAATTAAAGTATCCAAGCCAATCTATGTATATCCTTGTTATTACCGAAGATAATTTGGCCAGATTAGTCTGCGTCTTTTTAAGGTTTTAAGCAATCACTTAACTTAGAGGAAATTTATGGAACTGATTTCGAAGTTAAATAAAGGCATATTAATTATTGTACTTAAACTTGATTTGCTTTATAAAGTCTATGGGTAAAAATGATAAATTCCAATCCATTTTTTTCCATATTGATTAATCTTTGCAATGCTAAATCCAAAATAAGCCTCTTTCAATTTTAAGTTTCCCATTAGAGTCTTAAAATAAATGTCCAACAATTTTGTGTGCTTTGCAAATTAACTTCCATCCAGATATATTATTCTTAGAATTGCCCATTAAACTTGAGCATGATTAAGACACGTTTAAGGTATAAGATTTACTGAATTAATTGTCTTAAATAAGTCGCATAATGGCGTGTGCGCAAGTGTACATAAAATAAATGAAATCTTTTGCGTCATTAAGGCAGCCATCTTTTATGAAGCCTCTGCCAAAGTATCCAGCATTAGTTTATGTGTTATTTGCCGCCCATATGGGTGCTTTTGGGTGTTGTTAGGGGGTTTGGATTGTAGGATGTGTGTGTCTGTGGCCCCGCATAAATCAGAGGCAGTCCTGCATGACCTTACGAGGGTACCCAGTATTGTAACAAAACGACTTTGTGATTAAAGTCCTCTTACTTGCAGAACACTGAACGGAAAGAAAGCTTGCTAAGACGCAAGCAAACGTAATTAACCACTCCCACAACAAGACAACAAGGTGGATAGTGTAAAAGGGGGCAATGCAAACTCAACAAAAATGTTGCATCTCCTTGAAGGATCAACATCTGCTGCCAGGGACACTGTCACACAAAGGGGAAGCCTGCTCATCAGTTTGGCAAACCAATTCCGTTTGAATTAAGCGCCACCAAAAAGGAGCAGCGCAATCTTAAGCGATTTCCGTGCCGTCCCCGCGTAATGTTTGCGCATCCCTGTCCTGCTCCAGCTGGAATCAACCACTCGGGACTGCTCCTCCTCCTCCGCCTCCTGCTCATCCTCCTCGCACTGACCCACTTCCGGCCCTCGCATGGAGAGGTCTTCACGCTGGGCTACCTCACGGCCTCGCAACGGAGTCCGGGAAACCTGGACTACAACCGACCCGGACTCACCATCTCCGGTGCCATTTCGCTGGCCGTGGAGGAGGTGAATGCGGGACGACTGCGGGACCGTGGCCACTCGCTGGAGTTCGTCGTGGCCGAGACGTACGGTGAGGAGGTGGTCAGCATCCGACAGACGGCGGCTCTGTGGACGCAGCAAGTGGCCGCCTACATTGGCCCCCAGGAAACCTGCGTGCACGAAGGTCGCATGGCGGCCGCCTTCAACCTGCCCATGATATCCTATGTGAGTAGGCGTAAAAAACCTCTGTATTTGCAACTCCTATTCATGGGCAATCATCCCCCATCAGTACTGCACCCATCGGGATCCTTCGAACAAGGCTGATTTCCCCACTTTTGCCAGGACGCGACCGCCAGATACACAGATCTCCAAGTCCGTGGTGGCATTACTGCTCTCCTTCAACTGGACGCAGGTGAGCATTCTGTACCTGGACGACCTGAGCGGGCAGTACCAGCCCGTGGCGGAGACCATCCTCAGCACGCTGAGTGAGGCCGGAGTGAGCATTCGGGACATTCGCACCTGGAACACCATCTACCACCACGGATTCATGGACAATCCCTTCGAGGCGCTGGTGGAGCAGACCTATGCCAATACGAGGAGTGAGTGGCGAATCTGTACTAATCTAATCTATAATCTAATTATAAATCATATATCTATTAGTTTACCTCATCCTGAGTCACTACTATGAGCACGTTGGCCTGATGGTTAGCCTCCAGAAAAGAGGACTACTGTCCAAAGGCGACTACTTCGTAGTGGGCATCGACATCGAGCAGTATGATCCGGCCAAACCCGAGAAGTATCTGCGTGGTCTGCTTCTGGAGGATGTGGATCCCTTGGCCGTGCAGGCCTTTCAGTCCTATCTGGCCATTGTGCCCACTGCCTCCGTCTCCTTTGCCACATTCGCCAACGAGGTTTGTTCGCTGACAGTCCCGACACTTCTGACAATTCTGACAGTGATGTGATTGATGCGCTGCATCCGCCATCAGTGCCAGTCCCGTCCCGTCTCATAATTGTCGCTCCTTTCGCCACATTGACCACACATTCTGACCCTCATTTCGGTTTTCCTTTCAGGTCAACAAATATATGGAGCGACCGCCATTCAATTTCCCCAATCCAGTGGGTCGCTTCGGTGGAGCAAAGCAGGTTCGCCCCAAACAGACACTTGCATGAAACCTAAACCGAAACCGTACCGAAACCGAAACTGAAAGCGAAACCATAACCATTGACTGACCTCCAACCTCATCCCCATTTCCCACTAGATAAGCGCCGAGGCTGCCTATCTCTATGATGCCGTGCATCTGTATGCCAAGGCTTTGATGGAAGTCCAGGATGCGGGTGGGCGGCCCAGGAACGGCAGCGCCATTGTGGCGGCCATCAAGGGCTCGCGATATCGCAGCGCCATGGGGTGAGTGGTGGCCCATTTGACAGCTAATCCGGCAATTGCTCTAGCACTTTTTATACCCGTCACTCGTACACTGATACAAAAAAAAAAATTGAATAGTAAGAATAACTATATAAACTAGAGTAAAAAAAATGCAATCATAAATATAATGCTTTTACTTAAGTGATTAAGAAATTAAAGCCAAACATGATTTTTGCCGTCAGATATGCCAACATGCATGTTTTGGACAACAGATGACGCTTTCAATCATACGGCTTGTCGCCATCTGCAGGAGTCATTTTTATTTGCAAATTGTTAGCAAAATGTTCTTTTTGTTTTTTTTCAGCTATCACGTCTACATCGATGAGAACGGCGATGCGGCGGGTAATTATACAGTATTAGCCAGGGGAACCGTGCGGAATGGTCGAAATCAGACTGTCCTGGGACTGAGACCCGTGGGCACCTTCATACACCGGAACAGCAGCTTTAGCAGCATCAGCAAGGCATTGCCCGTAAGTAAATCCCCGCTTTACATACCGCTTATGTAACTTGCTCTCTGCCAATCCTCCACAAACGCTTGGCCCGTCCAGCACCAGGTAAGCGCTTTTGGCTGGTTCAACAATCACACACCTTGCTCCGTTTGCCCCCGGTATTTTCGATTAATCCCGTTTCTGGTTTACTTTCCCGCAGGACCTCAAACTATTCAGCCCCATTGACTGGGTGGGTGGTTCGCGACCAGCAGCTGCTCCTCGTTGCGGATTTGGTGGCGAGAAGTGCGTCAGTGAGTATGGATGTTGAAGTTGACCAACCAAGTATGGGCTAATCACCCGCCTCCTCTGAAACCACAGATTACACTGGCGAAATATCGGCGGCCATTGCCGGCGGTGTTCTGCTCCTTCTGAGCCTGGTCTCGCTGGTCCTCTATCGCAACTGGCGCTACGAGCAGGAACTGGACAGTCTGCTCTGGAAGATAGACTTTCGCGAGGTGCAAATCCACGAGAACGAGCGGGAGCAGCAAAGTCAGAAGCAGACGCGTGTAAGTCCCGGTCCCTGTCGTCTTACCACTATGACAGGGACATCCGGCCTAATGGTGGATGGTGGCTTCAAGCACAAAGTGAACCCAGGAAGACATTGGCCCAAATAAGACAGCTTCTTAATGTGTCAGTTACCAGACAGAAGCGTTTTTCTGCACTTACAGCAAACATTAGGCCCAATGGGCAATAAATAGTTTAGGCGTAATTTCATCATTTTATATTATAAACAATTTGAAAATAGGTCTTGACGTTCAACGAAATTATTTTGGAATTTTAAACAAAATCTTTATAAATTAAATCCCATCTTATCTTTAACAAAGAATATACTAATTTTAAAAAAATACTTTTAAAGGGGTAATAACATTTTTAAATAGGTATTATTGATTATTATTATGTTGGTAAAAAATGTGGAAGGCCATGTCAACAGCACAAGCTTATTATGTTGAAAACTGTCAAGAGTCCTGCCATTTAAGCCTCTTCTCCCGCCATTGCATGTCTGACAACAGCACTTGCTAAATCACTTGCCGCGTCGTCTTCCTCCGCAGTCCACCCATCCGCTGATCCGCACCAGCCAGGTGAGCCTGAGCTCCAATCCCGACGCGGACTTCCGCTACACGACCATCTTCACGCCGATTGGACTGTACAAGGGTCAGCTGTATGCCATCAAGAAGGTGCGCAAGAAGAGTGTCGACATAACGCGGGAGATGAAGAAGGAGCTAAAGCTGGTGAGGCTATTTAACTTGGTATTTCCTAAAACCCCTTGACATGAGCAAATCTTCACCAGCTGCGAGATGCCCGGCACGACAACATATGCGCCTTTATCGGCGCCTGCACGGATCCGCCCAACATCTGCATCATCAGCGAGTACTGCACCCGGGGCAGCCTAAAGGTCAGTGGGTCAATCGAACCCTTACACCTCCACCACCCACCCACCCACTTCCTTTCTTCCATTGCAGGACATTCTGGAGAACGAGGACGTCAAGCTGGACAACATGTTCATTGCCTCCATGGTGGCGGACATTATACGCGTGAGTGCTGTAACATTATACTAATGGCTGGCCCACCCACTGACCTCCAATGTCCTCCAATGACCTCCAATGACCCCCACTGACCGCTTAGGGCGTCATCTATTTGCACGACTCGCCCATTCGCTTCCACGGCGCACTGTGCACTTCCAACTGCCTGGTGGACTCCCGCTGGGTGGTCAAGCTGACGGACTTTGGCCTGTTCGCCTTCAAGCAGGGCATCGAAGACAGCTCCACGGACATGCAGCACATGTCGGCCAAGTGTCTGAGTGAGTGTTGCCATCCACAATTGATGGATAAGACTATATCCAATATCCAATACCCGATCTCCCCCAGAACTGCTCTACAGAGCGCCGGAGTTGCTGCGGCAGGGTCCTTCGTCGCTGGTCATGGGCACCCAGCGTGGAGATGCCTACTCCTTTGGCCTCCTGCTCTACGAGATGCATGTGCGACGCGGACCCTTCGGTGAGACCGGTCTGACACCCATGCAGTGCCTGCAGAAGGTTCTCCAGCCGCAGGACCAACTGAACCCGTACCGACCCTCGCTGCAGCCCCTGGAAACCGCTTTTGATTGCGTCAGCGAGTGCCTAAGGGAATGCTGGGCGGAGAGGCCGGAGGATCGTCCCGACTTCAAAACCATTCGCACCAAACTGAGACCGCTGCGCAAGGGAATGCGACCCAACATTTTCGACAACATGATGGCCATGATGGAGAAGTATGCCAACAACCTGGAGGCCCTCGTGGACGATCGCACGGATCAGCTGCAGGAGGAGAAGAAAAAGACGGACGCCCTGCTGCACGAGATGCTGCCGCGTTGCGTGGCCGACCAGCTGAAGAAGGGCCACAAGGTGGACCCCGAGCACTACGAACAGGTGAGCATCTACTTCAGCGACATCGTCGGGTTCACGGCCATGTCCGCCGAGTGCACGCCGCTGCAGGTGGTGGACTTCCTCAACGATCTGTACACCTGCTTCGACTCGATCATCGGGCACTACGATGTCTACAAGGTGGAGACCATCGGAGATGCCTATATGGTGGTATCGGGACTTCCTTTGCGCAATGGCGATCTTCATGCAGCCGAAATAGCCACCATGTCGCTGCATCTGCTTAGCGCCGTTTCGGAGTTCAAGATACGCCATCGACCCACCAACCGGCTGCTCCTGCGGATTGGCATCCACTCGGGACCCGTTTGTGCCGGCGTCGTGGGTCTAAAGATGCCCCGCTACTGTCTCTTCGGCGACACCGTGAACACGGCCTCGCGCATGGAATCCAGTGGCGTTCCCCTGAAGATCCACTGCAGCTGGCAGTGCCGTCAGCTGCTGGACCGACTGGGTGGCTATCACTTCCAGGAGCGAGGAGTCATTGCGATGAAGGGCAAGGGCGACCAGCGCACCTACTGGCTGCTGGGGGAGGATGAGGAGGCCCGCACCCGGCGCACCTATGAGAGATCCCAGCGACGAGGATCGCGGGCCCTCAACAAGTTCATCCAGGGTACCATCAAACAGGCCCAGGAGCAGGCCACTGAGTATGGCATACGCTCCTCGCTCAAGCAAAAGAATCTGCCACGCAACTCGCTGACCCGCTCCTCCAGTCTGGAATCGCCCAAGAAGCTGCGCTTTGCCGCCGGCAGTCTCCTCGAGCATCATCGTTACCACAGGTTGGAGTTACCATTTCCAATAATAAAGATTTATTAAGTTAATCCACCATTTCTTTGCAGTGACGAGGCCCTGCTCGAGGTGGACTCCTACACGGGATTGAGGCGATCTTCGGGAGGATCCACGCAATCACGCTATGAGGAGACCACCCTTTCGCTGACCCTCTCCTGCCAAAGTATCGAGGTCCTCAATGGTCAGCATGGCAAGAGACGACCCTCCTCCTATCCCACTGCCAATACGCCGCTGCTGATGAACCATGTGGAGGTTTAGAGGCGCAGACCTAGTACTAGTACTTACTTAAAACCCAACTACAGGGAGCTTAGTGGAATATTTGTGTTCAGTGTGTCTAGCCAAGTGTATTTGTGTATGGCTTTTAGTGCCCAATTGTGGTAACTGTAGCATCAGCATATTGTGAGAGTGATTATAAATCTAGTCGTTGTTTAAACACATTCATGCTCTAATCTAAAGCAAATTAAAATAGTCAATAGCCCTAACTAAACGATATGAATAAAGAGTAATAAATAAAACGCTTATCGCATGGTATTGTCTAGGATTATCAAAGGGCATTTTTATTATGTTCTATTTGTTACGCAATCAGATTTCATTCTAATTGCTGTGTCTTGGAGACAGTTGCTTTTATTATTGTATAATAATTGTATGCATTTGACAAACTTAACGATTTCTTTATATAACTTTAGTTTAAAACCGATTTGTGCATTTCTCTAGGCATTATAAATACAGTATTGGATTCGCCATTCATCGCCGTTCAATATGTATGTGTTTTTGTGTATCTCTGAACCATTTTTATTTTTTGTCAAAGCCAGCTTGCAAAAACTTCTCAAATGTCCAATAGATTGTTTTCGATATTCTAGGAAAGGTTGTAAATAATTTTACCTTCTTACTCGATTATAGTTTTTAATTGTGTTTTTGGTTTCATTATGATAAGCCACAAGCTTTAAAGCACACTTTAATGCGATTTTTCGAGATTAGATTTAATTTTGTTTGGTGATTTAATGTGGAAAAGTCCGCTCCATATTGCTTTTCATCTCGTTTGGGGGGTCCGAGTTTTTTTTTTTGTTTTGGGTGAGTGTGGAAGAAAGAGGGTGGGGTGAGCTAATAAACTTTGTTTATATATTCAATGCTACACAATGCAACAATTCTAAATAACAATCTCAAATCTCATATGTCATTACTATATCAACTAGGTATGAATGTATATAACGCTTCTCTATGGTTTCACCGCTTTTGTTTTTTTGTTCGCTATCAAAATATTTGCAACAACAATGGATATAATCAAATATACGCAATTGTTCAATTGTACAATTCTCAATTATTATTGTTCGACTGTCTCCGCAATCGCTTTGCCGGCCAACTCGCGGTACAAAACTAACAAATGGCCAATACCTTGGGATAACCGGGGTATCAGTCCTTCCAAGTGGATCGACCGACAACAAATCTGCTCGTATAAATAAATACGCTATATATAATATACAGTAAATATGTGTGTATATGTATATGTCGGTATTTCTTAAATGCGTCTCTGAAAAATAATCTCTCAACATTTGATTTCATTTGATTCAGGCTGCACTCGCAGGACAGTGCCCCGAATGCGGTGTTTTAAAAATTGATCAACAACTTTTGGTAGCCAAAGCCGGAAACGAAGGATGTCTCAGCCCTAGCGTCTAACAATAGTAAGCTACTCGAGGATACCACAAATCCGACCAATCGAAGGAATCCGTGGTCCTCTTCCAAACAAGTCTGCAGGTCACGCGCGCATTTTAGCCAAAGTGGGTGCCAGTTGCTTAAGGACTACAGATTTATAGTTACAGATTCAGATGCCTGGGCAACTCTTCTTCTTTGAAAAAAAACCTCCTCGCCTTGTGAGGACTGGCTGGGGACTTCATCTCGGCTTCTTCACCAGGCTGGTGGATCTGTGGACGAGCATGTTGGTTATTGGGCATTTCTGGTGATTCCACAGGTCAGTAACCTTTTCACGCCATGACGTGGACTGGCGGGGGGCGTGTGGCAGGGCGAGGGCGGGGCAGAGCCACCCGACGACCCCCTCGACGAGGATATAGACAGGGTGGAGGCTCTCGGTGCCGAGCAGCCCAGGTAGATGGCCGATCCCTTGTCGGCATCCCGCAGATCCACTCGAGACCCGTGGACGGAGGAAGGAACCGAGCCTGTCACAGGACAATAAATAACTATGCATTATCCTTATTGATGGCTGTAAACGGTGCAGCCACTATACGTAAATCATAACCATAAGCCGTGTATTTATTTTCAATTAAACTACTAAACTGCGTTAAACGAGTATATACTTATAATATGCTTTATTTAAAAATATTGAATACTTTCTTAAAAACTTTTTTCACTTTTTTCAAAAACCGCATTTCAAAAACCCTGTCTTTAAAATTTCAAATTTTATGATTTTTAAGGTATCTTGGAATGCTTTAAAAATGGCAAGAACACATATTACTAAAAGTTTTAAATTACAAGTTTGTATTCCCTAAACAATCTGTTTTTAAATGTACCTATACGCTTTATAAAGTCGCTGCACCGTTTACAACCAACTAGGCTTGCGCACTCACCCGTATAGGCGTGCAGACCAGCCGGACTACTCCGCGGACGCACTCCGAAGCCGCTGACCGTGCTGGCACTGCGCTGCAGCTGGGCGGTGCCGCTCCCCTCCCTGGCGGCGGACTCCCTCCGGCTGCCGGCGCTGCTCACCCGGGGCGTTTCTCTGGAGGAGTTGCCCGGCCGTGGCGCTTCCCTGGAGGAGTTGCCCAGCCGGGGCGAGCGCTGGCTCCGGCCCAGCTGCTGCTGGCGCTGCTCGCTGCACTCGCGGCGGGCATCCTCGAAGGCGGCGGCATACTCGGCCGCCTCGCGGGACGTGGTGGGCGGCTGCTCCAGGACGATCTCGTCCTCGGGGATTCGCTCGTTGCCCACCGAGCGGCGGACCAGCGGGAGCGGTGAGTTCTTGGGCGACGTGGGGCAGGACTGGGCGGCGGCACTGCTCACGCTGAGCGAACTGGACGAGGCGTTGGCATTGGAGGACTGGGCACGCAGGCGCGAGTGGGTGGAGGCGTTGGAGGGACGACGGCGGAACAAGCCCTTGGTGGGGTCCATGTTGCAGACGCCTGCACGGAAAGGAAAATGTGTATCATAATTCATTTTTCATTTTTTTGAAAAATAGTAACAATTAAAATAATCCCGCTTGTGGGACCAAAAAATATTAGATCTACCATTATTCACATATCAATATATGAAACATTAAATAAAAAAATTAAAAAAGAGAAAACTTGTAAAACTTGCAGCGAATGAATATTTTATTGGTGGTAATTAAGTTTTGTTAGGACTAAGATTATGAGACTTGAAGTCGGACTTCGATTGACGTCGTTTTGTGAACTTCGATTTGCGCTTGACGAGTTCTTCTTGCTTCGTAGAAGCCTTGACAGCACTGTACCGGGCCTCTTCATCGTCCGAGTCACAGTTCTTAACGAACCGACCTTTGTTGTCATCTGGGTCGAAGTATCGCACATTTGGCATTAGATCTTCGCCACAGTTAAAGTCCAGAGGGGCTTCATTTTGTAAATCTATAAATGGCTTGTCAAAGGTACTGCCCTTCCACTTGTCCACCGCAAAGTTCAATGTATAGGCCAAGCTTTTCCTGACCTTACGGACATCTTCACCCTCCTCCTGCTCCTCCTCATCCTCCAAAACCTGCCCATTCCCATCTAAATCCTGGCTCGCACCTGTAGGACACTTCTCGCCGCGGGAGCAGTTGCCCTCGCAGATGTCGCGATTCTGCAGGAGCTCCTGGTAGTTATCCAGTGCCGTGACCACCTTGGTGCGATCCAGTTGCTCCAGAGCCGACGATGGGAAGCGTTCCCTCAGCCGGCGACGCTCCTCGGACAGCTTAAATTGCTCAAACTCCTGCAATTGGTTCTGGAAACCGGTGTTGGGATTGGCCACGGCGCGACCGGCACGAACCACCTTCAGGGCCTCCTTCCAGTTGAGGTGCGTGGCCGTCATGATGTAGGCCACGGCCACGGTCACCGAGCGCGACATCCCCGCCAGGCAGTGGATGAGCACGTTGCCTTCGCGCAGGCGGGCGGCGTGGATGAAGTCGTTGCAGACGGAGAAGTACTGGGAGAGATTCTGGTCCGGCGTGTCCGAGGCCATCACGCACAGGTAGTGCTTGTCCTTTAAAAAACACGAAAAGCAAATTAGCAAAGCAGCCATGGATAGAAATCCCATCCAGAAATCAACATACCGGCAGCAGACGCCGCGGACTGTCATGTATGGCGATGATGTGCGAGATCTTGAACCTCTCCAGCTGGGCATGATCCTTGGAGTCGCGGTAGTTGCCCACATAAAGTCCCGGCAAGACCTGAATAATAGTGAGCAAAGGGGGAATAGTTGAAGGATTAGGCTCTGCCCGCTTCGAGTTTACCTTTCCCATGTGCCAGTTCATTGTGGGGCGATCAGATACCAATTCAACTACAGGTGTGTGCCTACGAATGTGATTGCTGTGTGTATGTGAAAATGTGAGATTGTGAAAATGTAAGCCTATTTTATTGGTTTCCTTGCATGTTGTTTAGTTTTCGTTGCCAGTGACATGTTTCCGTGACAACAATCGTAGATTCTCACTGAGAAGTTGGTACCATAATACCAATTACACCTGGTTGCGGAACTAGTTTGTTTATCGATATTTAAGCACCGATCTATAGTGCCATATACTCAGTGCTATCAAAAATGAGATGCTACAGGAAATCGAATATAAGATAGTACATATGTACATTTACATTGTACATTTAAATGTACAATTAGTTTACACAAAATATGTTCAGAATTTGGATTAACTTAAATCAATAAAGCTGTTAATTATAAAATGTAATAAATGGTTTTAAATTAATTAAAATTAAATCAATGAAAGCTATGAGATCCTCACTAAATGTAATGTGTTAAAATGTTATTAAAGTCTGTGGCCGCATTATAAAATTTGATCATTCCATATTCTTTTAGGTTTCGAATATCTTTTGAATTTAAATTATACAATAAAGTGATTTTAAGTCCGTGTTCTAATCAGGTTAACTAAACTATTAGGATATTAGACCTATCTGTTTTAGCTCTGAAATTGCTGCATTTATGGCTGTTTGAGTTTTGTGCAGACCTTGGAACTGTTGTCATCGGCTTCCGCATTGTGTTTTTTTTTTTTGTCAGTCATAAATCTTGTCCTCATTCTCTTACCTTGTTCATGCCATTCCCCATGTTTCTTCATTTAAAAGTTGCGGCTCACTTCCTCAATTGTGAAACGAATTGGCCCAAAAGCACAGTGCTGAAAGGATAAGAAGCAGAGGAAGAGAATCCTTTATTTGACAAGTTCAGGGCGCAATATTCCCGGCGAAGGCCAAGAGGAAATGGCAATGTGAGTGCTGCTTGGTGGGTGGGGCAGCTAAATGCTTTTGTTGTGGCTCTGGGCCTGGGCCTTAGCCTGGTCCGATGAAAGTGCAAGTGGCGAATGTTGCAAGCTGTTGCCACCACTGCCATGGCCGCGACATAATGGATGTCTTTGTCGCCGCCTTCGTCGCGGAAGTAAACAGGCCTTGACGTTGACTCGCCTGCATCTCATTAGTGGGACAGACAGACAGACAGAGAAACAGATTGTTTGTTTGGTATTGGGACTAGGCAGGATTACGGATTCGTATTGAGGTCGAAATGCCAGGGGCTAAACAGCACCACCACCTGGCTTGGCCCCCAAAAGTGGGCAAGGTTAGCGGGCAACAGTTGGTTGCCCATCAGGCCGTTCCTTTTCCTTCCTTTTCAGGATAATGGCAAGGCAAAGGCCTGTGCCTCATCGCAAAGTCAGGACGTGGGCAGACCTCCACCTTGTGTGTTGTATAACACACTTGGAGCTGAAACACCACCACCACCACCATCCGCTGGGTGCACTTGGAATCCGCCACATTTGCATAAGTTGTCTCGGCAAAGTGTCGCTTTGTTGTAATTTCATTCCCGGCACGTTGTCGTCGCAGCCACGGGCATTAAATTGACTGACATGCTCTCGAGCAACCGAAGAAGAAGGAGCCGGAGCAGATAAGGCACGTGTGCTGTCATTTACCAGCCAACTCGACCAGGACACCATCACCATCAGACACTAAGTCCACCCACCCACTTCCGTGCCGGGGAAATTACGAAATTAGAGCAGTCAATCGAGCCCCTTCATCCTCTCGAAGGCATCGGAGGCAATTGATCAGCCAAAATTGCTGCTTAGCAGCATTCGGACAGCGGCGACATGGACTTCAAGTGCATCCAATCAGCATCACAGTGGCTATAAATAGTCTGCGCCCACTGCGAGGTCGAGTAGGAAGAATCGGCCCCAGAGCCGCCATTCAATTCAATTGATGTGACACTTCGCTCGCCTCAGCCTCCGTGTTCCGCCCTACGATTCCGTACGGATGGAGCTCGGTGTGTCCGCAGCATACACGGATTCGTCTCGGGATTAAAGTGGCATTGATGCACTTAAAAAAATATATATTAAAATATTATCAATTGGAGATTGATTAATATGTATGCCAGGATAAAAATTAGACAGATAGTTGATTTTAGGACTTAAGTTATTTGTGGAACATATAAGAGTTTTTAATAAATTATATTCTAGTTTTGCGATTTTCAATAAATATTTTTGTGTAGCATGATTTTAGGCGACACTTAAATTTGTTTGCTGTAAGATATAAAAAATCTTATCTCGATATTACGAACAATTAATATCTTATTAATTACTGTTAGTATTCGGAACTGCAGAGAAGTCAATGTTTACTAATGAAAATGTGTTAAAAAATTTGTAGAATCTCAAAATTTAATTATTCTTCTTGTGTAAGTTGAAAGTGCAAGCTGGAACCGACTCGCTTGTGCGCCTGTGACGTCCTTGTGTCCTCGTGTTCGTGTGTCCGTGTGCGAACGTGTTGGTTTAGCCGGTGGCCAAATATTTTAGGGGCGGTGATTGAAAAACAGTTTTGCATTGAATTCATCAACGAACTTCTAATGAAATCGCATTCTGGCGGGATGTTCTGCCCTGCCTACGACCATGCATTTCCGGGCCGGTTGCCAAGGCGATTTTTTCACAGCTCGGACAGGAAAAAAGTGTTGCATGTCCTGGGGCGCAGACATTGAAGCGAGTCGAAATTTATGGAAAGCTTTAATCAATTTAAATCGTTCCCCGCTTTTACTTTTCCTGACCAGGTTTTGTCTTCGCTGCCAAGTTTTTCACTTTGGGTTTTCCCCGAAATGCCGCGAGTTTTTCCACGAATGTTTTTTTCATTATCATTTCCCTTCAATCGACTTATAATTCGGCCTTTTTGTTGTACCCAATGTCATTTGACGGGAGGGTGGGGGGTGAGGAGGATAGTTTTGTGTGTATATCGTATGCATATAAATTAGCCGGAGTCGGCCTTGTCCCATCGCCCATCTCGTGCGCCGCCCCCTACGGCTGGCAGTCAATTATATCGTTTAGAAATTCTACATGAGCAATAAAATACATGCCAGCGGCACTAGAAGCCGCACCTACCAGGACAGCATGGGATTGGGACCGAGTGACGCTTTATGACTCCATCGCTAGGCTTGGTGAGTCAATGGCGGAGTGTTATGGCGGTTGGGCAAAATCCGGTGGCAGGAGCAGCGAATGGCACACCAAGGGTCCCAATTGCTCACTGACTGTGAAATATATGAATTTTTTCCGTCGTGCTTTGTTTGTAATAAATGTTTCAGGCATGAATGGGGACGCACACGCCGAGGCCTGTAAAGGATACAGTTTAACCTCTCTAAACTAAACTGCTATCGTAGAACCAAATTTTAAGGTTCTGGTGAAACTTATTTTTAAATTTTCTAAAGGTGTTTTATGTCCGAAGATGGAAAACCATAATGTTCTCAAAAAATACGGCAGGATACGTATTCATAATTGGGTTGATATTTATTCGAAACCAGTAATAGTAAAGCTCCTTGTACAGAAACAGAGAGTTTTTTTGACTTTATTCCAGCTGGTTTTGTAAACATTAGTATGAGTTCCACACACCCACACACTCAGATATAAATTCAGGCAAACCACAAACCAAACAAAATATAGATCTAAGCACTAATATAGATCTAAGCTGATGTATCTTACTTTTGTTTTGTTGACCAATATACGTATGAGTATGAAATTTTGGCAAACACAAACCAATTCTCTCCCATCGGAATTGGATAAAATATGGATTTGAGCAGCACAGCTTTCTTACCTATGTTTTTGACCAACAGAGCGTATACGAGATGTCAAAAAGTAAGCACAAAAACGAAGGACTGCTAATATATAGATTTGTTTACATAGTCTCTCGAACTCAATAGCTACTGTAGTATAAATATATCGAAACAGGCGATTATGTTTTGCTTCCGTTGCTGCCAGGCAGGCAGTTTTAAATAAATTCGAAGGCTACACCCTCACAAACTCATAAGAGGAGGACCATATAAAGGATGGAGTGTGTTGGAGGGTAATGTTTGCGTCTCCTCACAAGATAGGGGCAGTCAAGCCGGCAGCCAAATAGCGCCGCTTTGTCTACGGGTATGTCAATGGACCGGCAGCAGTCTCCGAGGAGAAGGGTCTGTGGTCGGGAGTTGGGAGCTAGGAGCCAGAAGCCGACTCAGCAAAAGTTTCGCCCAAGAGGACACGTGCTGCCATAAAATGCTTTATTAACATACAACAGCTCAGCAGAGGGAAGGGATGGTCGACGGTTGTTGATTTCATGAGCATCGAGGATTTCATTGCTGGAAGCAAACATTGTACCGGGTCCTAAGCAAATGCTAGTGCCAGCAGAAACTATTTCCACTGGCCACTGGCTCTCACTGGTCCCCCAAATGTTTTCCCTTTGGCACCCCGCCATTTGACAGAGACAAAGTGTTGCCATCGCCGTGGCAATAAAACTGAAATGCGATCGCCATCACCAACCCCATGATGGCACACATAATCTGAGCCAATCTGGGGACATCAACCTTGATTTCGGAATGCATCCGTTTTTCTTTCCCCCCACCACCCGCATTTCATCTACATTTCAGCTTTTCTGTACAGGCCACAGCTAATTAACTGCATTCAGGACCGAGTCCTGCAGAATGGAACCCTCGAAATGTGACAATCTGAACTTAATGAACCATACACTCGACTCGGAAAGTTTCCGCTGCTGACAGAACCCAATTTAAATAAATAATTAGGCAGGTGGGCGGGGTGCGGGGAGCGGAGCGGTCGAAATGCATGACTCAAAATATTAATTTCGTTTTACATATGCAATGAGAGTGGCGTAAAAACTTTGGCCATGTTTTTAGTGTGCAACAAGGGAAATTAAGCGAAATTAAGCATTCAAAGTGAGGGTTTGTGGTGGGGGGGAGATAAAAATGGGTGGATAAATAGGGATTATATGGCACGTGAGCCGTTATTGCTTAGCCATTTTGTGTACTGTGCAGTTTAATGACTTTTTACAAGTAATTAGCAGTCAACTAGGCGTATACACGATTTATTAGCATATCGGTTTTTTATGATATGCCCTGACGCAATCCTCTGACTTTTTTAAGTTTTGGCGACCGAATGCCGAATTTACTGTCCTAATACAATCTATACTATATTTATTATGCATGCTTTCTTTCTTAAAACATGATTTTTTCTACACCTCAAACATTTAAATCCTAAATAAGTGTTTTTTTGAGAGACAATACATCTTTTGAAATTCACCTGAAGGGAAGGATAAAGTCGATCGCGGGAAAAACGGAATTTCGTTCTCCTGTTTAATATTATTAGTATTCTGTTCTATTCTAACTAAAATTCGCTCATACAAGACACCCAAACCCTATCCAATCCGAAACATATATGAGCAGGCACGGAGCCCTGCAATTCTTGGCTGCCAGTGGTTTTCACAGTCACGTTTCGGGGCATTTTCACACCAATTCGACTTTGACGGCCGGCTGACAGAGCAGAGCAGAGCAGAGCAGGCCAGACCACGACCCGTCCGAGCCACACATTACCATTACCCATACGACCCGTGGGACGAGATTTACATGGAAAACACTTATGCGCGTTTGACACGGGAGGGAAAAAGGTGGAGGACTGCCCGCTAATTCCCAAGTTGCGTGCCCGAAAACAGAAAAATAATTATTCGTAAGAGCCGTAAATTGTTCCATATAAGAGAATTGGAGTATAATTTTGGGGACATTTGCGTTTAAGGCGAATCGGACGCGCGGGTCACTAACCCAATGTGGAATGTGGCATTATAGAGCCGTAAAGGGAATCGCAGGACTTACGTTAATTTCGGCGCTCCGGTTTCTTGCCTCCTGGTCAATGGAGCTGCCACATGGGGACCCCGACTGCGACTTCGACTTCCGACGCGCGAGCGAGCGAGAGAGAGACCAAGAAAGAAAGGCGAAGAAAGTCGAGCGGCAACTCCTGTTATATCACGGAGCCTCACGGAGCCCCTTTGGCGGCGGCCGCAAATGCACAAATTTTGACTCGCTTCTCTAGCTTATTCGCTGCTGTGGCTTTTCTCGCAGTGTGAACACAAAACTAAACTGTGTGACAGTTAAGGCCTGGTCGACAGTGTCCCGACCATTTTTCCGTGTCGTTTCGCTCAAGAAGCGTCGTTTCGTAGATAGGAGCCGTAAAGGTAAACGTGAAAAAAAGGCGTTTGAGGGTCGAAACAATGAAAGCCAGACCGCAAGAAACGCAGCCGTGAAATGTGTGGATAGTGAAAACAAACGAAAAGAAAAAAAACGAGCTGCAGCCGCCGCGTGAGTTTCGTTTTCGCTGAGGAAGGATTGCGCCAAACGAATCGGCTCGAGCGCTGGTCACAGACTGAGCAGCTGAGCAGCACATTTAGCTTTAGCCACTGGAACTTGGCTCAAACGGAGTGGTAGTGTCGGAGCCGAGCCACCAAAGCACTGAGGCACAACACCCGATGCCCGCGGGCATGAATGGGAACAAGCCGAGTCTGCGCCATCACACAGCGCGCCAAAATAAAAACTCACTCAATTTGGCAGCTCGGCTCGAGAGCGAGAGTGTGAAGGTGAGTGCTAGTGCTACTGCTCCTGCTCCTGCTCCTGGCCGCAGAGTGCGTAAAAACCTTTTGATTCAGTTATATAATTGAGAGGGTCGGGTCTTTTGGTGGGCTGCTGGTTTTTTGTCCTTATTGGAAGTCCTCACCTGTCGGCGGTGGGCAATTAACGGCCTAGCAATAATCATCGAAATGCCAGCAAATTCAAAGCCACCCTCTTCAAACGGTTAATTGAGCCAATGTTCGATATTAACGGTAGTGGAGTACTATATGGTAGTGCCACCATTGCACAGCATGGGCGGCACAGTGGTATACAAAATTATCAATAATTAATAATAATTAGGTACAGAGCAATCTATTTTTTAACTTATTTAAACCTTAAATTAATGTATCAAATATATAGCATGAGTTTCCTTTCCAATTTAATTATTTAAAGTTTAAGTAACTTAAGTAGAAGGCAAAACAAGAATAATACAAATATTATCCCGAATATCTGGTGCAGCAACACGATTTTTCCAAGTCAACTTAAAATTAATTCCTACTAGTTACGAGCTATTATTGTATCATATTAGACCAACAAGAAGAAGGCGTTTCTTCCGAAGTATTAAATTCGAAATTCCAAATATGAAACTCATATTTGTTTCACTTTGTAATGGGAATCGGGGGCACTACGATGTCAGCATATTTAGCCAGAATAAACAATTGCTTCTGTCTGACTCATTCAATGCGATTTGTTTTGACGGCTTACATTTCATTTGTGGATCCATAAAAGGAGTGGATTAAAATGGTAATAAAGACTGTGTGAAATACTCTATTTTCTGATTCATTGCAAATGTGTAACTTGCAACAATGGATTCATTAAATTATATTGAAAGAAAACTAATTTTTTTCTGTTAATTAGACGACGATGTTAAATGTTTTATTTATTTCGCTTTTGAAATTCGAGTTCTGAAAAATACGTCAGAAATGCATCATAGAACTAAATTCCTACGCATTGCGTTTCGCTTTTGTATCCCTTAAGCATTTATAACAACAGAAATCGCTTGTATATAATCAGATATATGCACCACACTATGTTCGTTTGTGAAGAGAGATGTGCAATATTTAATTATGAATTATTCCGATTTTATATGCTCTGACGACGCAGTTGTTCGACCAAACAACGAGAAAATATTTGGAAAATACATCCAACGGCTAAAGATGGGTGGGCGTGTCGCCGCGGTCTACCCGATTATACATATGAGCATGCATATTTACTCAGATCTCGCATACTCGAATAGCACTGTTTAGGTAAAAATAGTAATATTTTAATAAACTGAATTTAGATTTTATGATTGTCTTAGGATGAAATGTTTAAATTTCTGTGTCATAGAGTCAACTAAATTATCAAGACAGAAAGCCCTTTTAAAAATGATAAAACCACCAGACTTAGTCATCGAATTCCCCAAATTAAAAGAAATAATTTGATCTTCATACAAGAATGTCCGTAATCCAGAATTCATTTGTAAAGTTTGCGTTTGCCACTTTTACTTTCTGTTATTGTATTATTTTTAGATTAATTTTAAGAAAAGGCAATTTACTAAAATCACTTTTTTTAGTGCTCTTATTATTTTGCCCGCAACTGTGCGTGTGGGTCATTTTGGCATTCTAAGAAAATACTTGTGGCGTGAGTGACTAATAGACGCTTAGAATGTGGAGTAAACAGTTGGCCCAAACCACTGGTGGTAATCAGCTGATCATTAAGCGATAACACTTGACTGCAGAAGACTTTCTGTCGCTACTGCAAAATGTACTTTTGTATATTGCAAAAAACACGAAAGGGATTCAATGTGGGGGAGCTGTGGCAACAGATCGTTAGTCATTGATCGATTGATTGGCCGCTCAACAAGACTCGTCAGTGGGCGATGACAACTGTTTACGCTGCTGATTTTGCCGTTGCCTTTGTTTTTGCCTCTAACTTGTTGTTGCTCTTCGACATTTGTGACGCAGTGGTTGTATGTAGGCGGTCCCAGTACACAGAAAAAATGCAGATCGATCAGATCAGCTTACTAAAGTTTCCTAATTTTAATATCACCAACAAATTATATTTAAGAATTTCACATTAAACTCAAATGCTATTTATGCAGTTCTTCGACACCGATGAAAATATTTTATTGGTCGAAGCAACAGTACGTATGAGTGATAAGCCTTGAAACGACCATCAATTTCCTGTGGTGCGCTTTAACTGATAAGTTTGTTCACCTTTATGAATATAATTTTGATGTTGTATAGAAATCTTTAGAAATTAAGTAATTTTTCACATTTCTAATTTCAATGCTAGTATCTGCCTTAAAATGATATTTAATTTCTCGATATATCACATCAATTTTTCTTGCAGTGTGGCTTACGGTTACAGATTCAGATTCTAGAAGCCATGCGACTGCCGCTCTCTTGCTCTCTATCTCTCTCTCGGCCAACTTTCTAGCGGACGTCTATTTATAAGTCTGATGTGTGTGTATCTTGGGCCGTGATCGGTGCATAATTGAGAGCTGTGTTGGCAGGAGAGAGACCGAAAGAGCCGTATCCGAAAACCGTAAGATAGTATTAAATATTTACCAATTAAGGCTTTGAATTGACGAGCAGAGAGAGAGGAGAGCGGCTGAGAGGGAGGTAGAAGCCAAGCAAAGCTTGCCGCGAGAGAGCGCGGCGGAGAGAGTGACTAGAGAGCGCCTCAGTGGGGCCGACTGAGAGCGCCGCAGTGGGGCGAATGGAGAGCGTTGCCAATGGCTAACAGCAACGGGCGATAGCGATGCCGCTCATTCAACGAGCAACTCTGGCAGCGTGAGGACGCCCGTGTGCATGTGCGTGGCCCAAAAACACAACAACAAACCCGAGTGGCAATGTGCAAAAATAAAAAATCTATATATATTTTAAATTGAATATAGAAATCCGAAAAAACCCACACTCACTCACCAAACACACACACACACACACGCGCGCAGGGCCAAAAGAGAGCGCGAGCGAGGCGAGCGGAAATACTTAAAAAAAAGCTGAAAAGCAAAAAGTGGAAGTAAAAAAGTGGCAGCTAGAAAGTGTGGCCAAAAGTGACATCACACTCCGGCCAGAAGCAGGAGCAAAATTGCAAGGAACATACGAGAAATCGAGCGGTATTATTCGCACGCGTCGACGTCGCTCAAGGTGAGCCCGCGCCACCACCCCCCCAGGCCCCCTAAAACCCCTCGCCCCACCGCGTCCAAAAATTAATCTCAACAACTGGCACGACAAGTAGTCGCCGACGAAAAGTCGCAGCCAAGTATCAACAAAAGGAAATAAATTAAAAATTGTCGCTACGCAGCGAGGCGACAACAACGACGACGACGGATTCGATTCGATAGTGGTTATAGCGTATAGCGGTACGGTTACGGTTACGGATACGGATAGTGTTTTTTGGCCAGCGAATCAGCAATGAAGCCCACTGTGATGGCGGCAAATCAGGCGCAAAGCAATCCCGCCGGCGGCGGCAATGGTTCGCCCGCCGGACCCGGAGTCAATATACCCGTGAACCGCGAGTACGTGAGTGGTGGCTACGGATCCCCACAGCAGGCGGCACAGAATACACACTACCACAATCCCCAGCAAAACGCTTACGGATCGCCCAGGCAGCAGCACTTCCAGCCGCAACAGCAGGTTCACCCGAATCAGCAGCCGCAGCAGCAACACTTTCAGGTGAGTGGCCGCCAGCGGTTGTACGGCGGAGTGGGAGGAGGAGGAGGAGGAGGGGGTGGCAGACGAGCGGCGAGAGATCCCAAGGTTGGCGCCTGGCAAGGTCGCCCGCTCCCACCCCCCTCCAGGTCCCCTCGATCCAACCTCGATCGCATAGCTGGGACATATTCGTATGAGTGTCATGGTTTTTGTTGTTCGCCAGCAGTGTGGCAATTGAAGTACAGTGGAGATTACGAAAAGGGGTACAGTTAAATGGAAATCTTAACACGGTGAAAGAAAGATAATTTTTTGGAATCTGCCAGAAATAAAAATGCTTAAGAACAAAACTTCTTTTATGAGATGCAATTTGTGTAAATTAATTAATCGAATTTAATAGAACTTTAAATTCACTTTAAGGACTGCATATTATTCGAAACATTATTTTTTTAAAAATGTTATATCCACAACGTCTTCTAAATAAAATATATTAATATTTCGCATTAAGATGTTGATTTTAGTTGGATGAGGCTTTAATAGCTTAAATCTTTAGTACATTACTATTAATGTGCAAAAAGATTTATTCTTTGCTTGTGAAAACTTCTTGGGAAAGCGATTAAGTTTTATTTATTCACTGTGCTATGACACAGCGAATTTTCCCCATTTTGTTTTACTTTTCCCGACTGAATCTTTTGCAATTTCGCATAGGCTTTGGGCGCTTTGTAAACTCTCTAAACCGCAATAAGAATACAAAACAATGGGATAAGTCAGTGTGGTTGCCTGAATGCCCCAAACCCTTCTCAAAAAGGGAAGGGGGTGTTGTGCGAAAGAGGTGGGTGCAGTGTGTCAAGTGTGTGTGCACACTCTGTTGACCTACTCGGCACAAGCTACTGTGACTATATCTGCTGGGAGATGGCTTAGTTTTCGGGGTCTGATGTCGTCGTGACAAGTTATCCTCAGCTGGCCAACGCTACGTATGATTAATGCCGCAACGCGTGCGGAATTTTACCAGAGACAAGTAATGTACAGCTGTTTTGTTGCGGCCTAATCTAATGGCCAGCAATTCAGATCTATCACGAACGAATAGCACGAAATATTAGAAAATTTCTAGAACAAAACACACAAGCTAATGGACGCGTAGCTCTCGTTCTTTCTATTTTGGCGCCGATTCTCAGGCGGAATACCGCTTCATTGCCCCGCTCTTGATTCTCGACCAAAGTCTGTGCGTATATGTGTTTTCCGCTGTAGGTGGGCACCGCAGCGCACAGTAACACATAATGACACTCCATATGTGCGCATATCGGTGGAAGCAAGCCAGTTGTCTAATGTGAAGCGTGGGTGTCTTTTGGTTGCTCAACCTCTTGGCCAACGCGGGGGCCACATTTCGATGCGTTGGTGACGTTGACTATATAAAAACGTCATCACCAAGTTAAAGAACAGTGGGCTTAAGTTAAGTTGGACTTTGGAACCAAGCTCTTCAAAAAAGATGTAATGATTTTATGTTATAATCATTATTAAGCTTTAGAAAACAATTAAAAAATTATGTAATATTTAAAACCCCAAAAAAAATTTCGGATTTACGTTCCGTTTTCATTTATCAGATGTTTTAATCATTTCGCTGCCTTTAAAATACCGTTTAAAATTTAATAATATGATTTAGAACCCATTATTTTAATAATAATGCTTATATTCAGATAAACTTATATATCGTTTTTGTATATAGATTTTTGTTTCGCAGACTGTTTTTTTTTTGAGTGTGCATATGTTAGTAAGAAAATAGATATCACTAATTGACGGGTATTGTAAAACAATTAACACAATTGCTAATCACTTTTACAAAGATTACAATTTTTCTCTCTCTCTCTCTCTCTCTCTATATGTTTACATCTCAATGATTTAAAAAAAAAAATGTGAACGGTGCAGCGTTCGAGTGTGCCCTGTAACTAAGTTATCTTGTTTGCGGTACTCGCAAGACTTAATTCACTGTACTTCCTCAAGTCCACTCGGGCAACTGAGTCCAAAGAGAGAGAGAGAGAGAACGTCCTTCTGGGAGAGACTCAAAAAGCGTTCGAGAGTTGTAGAAACTGCGAGAAGTGGCCAGAATGAGCCAGCAGATTCGATAGTGGGCGACATTCGCTTTAAAAGGCTTCTCCGCCGACGACTCGCCTCATTCACATTCAAACAATCGGACGCAGTGCATCACGTCACCAAGCGGAAAAGCAATCAATCGCTGAAAAACAGACGGATAGACAGACAGAAGCGGAATTCTCGTAGAAGTACACTTGTAGCGAAAACAATTACCGACCAGTGCTCATTGATAAAGTAAACAAATCGAGCGGGCAAAAGGTAAGGTTCGGGATCGGATTGTTCCGCTCCCCAACAGCTGTTCATTCACTGCCAATTGACATCACTTGTTTGCCAGTCGTCGTCGTCTATGGGGTTCTGACTCACCCTGTTATTTATAAACAATTCGCCCACCGAGCCAAACAATTTGCACTACTGCACGGAAAGAAAATTCATGTTAAATGAGGTTCAATTTGGTGATTGCAATTCGAACTAGCCTTTTTAGTTTAAAAATTACGTTCTACAACATTTTAGTCAGAGTTCAAAATATCAAAAAATTAGTTTAATTAAATTAAAAAGTATACAAATTCATAAACAAGTAGTGGAATTTTTAGCAAAATCTTAACTTATCTTGATTGAATGAAAATGTTGATATTGCCATTTTAAAGTTCAAAACATTTCAATCCGAAATATAAAAATATTTTAAACGGTGGTAGGATTTGAAGTAGAATGCCAATGTGAATTTAATATTTCTGTTTATGCATAATAGCATTTATTCTAATTGATTCATTCTTTGTCGATTGCAGCCGACACACTTTGGATTCGAACCGAACATGGACATGGACAACATGTTCCCGCGCTCGCATCTGGGCCGGATGCACGATCCCTTCGCCGGCTTTGGCGACTCACGTAAGCGGAGCAGTTTGCACGGTCCCAGTGCCCAAGCCCATGCTGACGATGACTTTTCATCCTATTTCGACGACGCAGACTTTGGATTCCCCCGCTTCTCCACGATGGGCCGGCGCGGACGAATGGCCAGTGGGGCCAACAGCCACATGGATAACGACGATGACTTCTTCAACCGGCTGCCCTCGGAGTTCCGCCAGTATATCCCAGATGGTTTCGGAGCAAGACGCGGTCCGGGAGTGTCCTCTGGCGCGGGACAAGTTCCCCTGCAGCAGCAGCAACCGCCACAGCAGCCACAGACGCAGTATACCCAACAGCATCCCCAGCAGCAGCAGCCGCAGCAGCAGCAGCACTACCAGTACGCTGTGCCGCCCCAGCAACAGGTGCCACAGTCGCCATCGAAGCGTCTCTGTGACGCTGCCATCCAGACGGAGGACCCGACCGGCCGCTCGGAGGTGGACTGTGCCCCGCCGGCCAATCTCAACCAGCACGGACTGCGCAACACCGTGGACATGGGCGTGAAGAGTGCCGCCGAGCAGGATCAGGGACTGCGCTCCCACTCCGCCCCTCCGCCAGAGCAGCAGCAACAGAACCTGCTCTACCAGCAGCAGCATCAGCAACAGCCTGGCGCACATCACCAGCAGCAGTTCGGCACCCAGACCAGTCCGCCCGTCCAGGGTCAGCAGTTCAAGTCCTACTATGCGCCCCACCAGCAGTCGCATCCGCAGCAGAAGCAGTCGACCCCGCCGCCAGCCCCACAGACTCCGGGCGGCACCTACATCCGCACCATACCCATCTTCGTGGAGGGTCGCACCGAGCCGATCATCAATGCCCACAAGGAGATACCCAACCAGAACGCTCCGCCCAGTGCCCAAGCTCAGGCTCAGGCACAGGCACAGGCACAGGCTCACTTTGCCCCACAGCAGCAGCAGAGGCCGACGCCACTGAATACCCAGCAGGCGCATCCTGACCAGGAGGCACCGGTTGAGGGAGCCGCCGGGCTACCTCCACAGACGCCCCACACCCTCAACTCGATCAACAAGATCCAGGACATACAGCGCGATGTTCTGGAACTAATGGGCAAGGTGGAGCAGTTCAAGGGAACGCGCCAGGAGAAGGAGTACGCCTACCTGGACGAGATGCTGACCCGCAACCTGCTCAAGCTGGACACCATCGACACGAACGGCAAGGACAGCATTCGCCTGGCCCGCAAGGAGGCCATCAAGTAAGTCCCTGCAGCTCGAATCCTGATTCCAAAAGGCCTAACTCAATGATTTCCCCTTGCAGATGCATTCAGGCTTCCATAAATGTGCTGGAGGCCAAGGCCGAGGAGAACGCTAGGGCGGCGTCGGGAGCAGCAGCCCCGACATCGGTCGAACCAGTGGATACGGGTGCAGTTGCTGCCCCAGAAGCCGCTGGGCAAGTTGCGGAGCCAGTGACTCCACAGCCACAGGATGCTACCAAGATCCAGGAGCCCATCCCTCTGCCGCCGCCACCAAGTGCTGCTGTGGAAGGAGGAGCAGCTGCTGCCGAATCCACCGCTGAGGAGCCCGCTGCTCCCGGAGAGGCCACTCAGGTCACCGCGCAGAGCGAGACGACCACCACGACGTCGGAATGATGAACACAACGCCTTTACAAGGCGACCGTTTCGAAGCAGCTACGTAAATTAACCAAATTCAAGTGACAACAGGCGGCGGAGGATACCGACTCATCAAAGGATAGCGACAGACTTGATTTTACTGAATTCAAAGTGAATGTGAATTGGATGTGATTGTGGATGTGAATGTGACATGAAGGAATAAGAGCTGGCAACGAATCTTTGCTAGTATTTCGTAGAAGCACACCCACAATTTAAACATGCAAATCTCATCACCCACTCATCATACCACACACACAAACACACAACCACACAGCATAGATTATAGGCTAGTAAGGAAATTAATTTTGAGAAAAGTGCCTGCATAGAATTCGGAAGTTAACAGAACGAAAACGATTTGGCAACGAGCGTTGTCCCTCACTTAAAAGAGCTGATTATGTTTAAGCGGATAGATCACCACGAAGTTTTTATACGTTAATTGTGCAGCAATGGGCAGCAAGCCGCCGTATGATCTCATACAAATCTACAGCAATCGCGCTTGCTTGCCACAGTCACAGCAACCGCATCCAAACACTCGGCTTTGCTGCAGGTGAATTGTTAAACAAAGGCAAACACTTCTAGAAGAACTATGATAACTATTTATGCTACTAATTAATGCGAAAATAAATGTAGATATTGTTGACCATAAGATACAGCCATCTATTATATTTCTGTTGCACAAATATCAAAGTTTTATTATCGAAAAGGCTACAAATCTCAATCAATAATACATATACAAAAGAACCCTGGATCGGGAATGGAGCGGGCCTTAAATACTGACTAAGTGGTTACTCTGTATGTGTCTTAAGAACATTTTAAAAGGACGCAACACGGCCGCGCTTATCGGGGCCAAACAATGATATAATAATATATGGTTACAAATGGGAACAACGTATATGAATGGGTCGCATATGTGGCATGGAATATACGTGATATAATATGTATGTAGTTAAAAAACAGACGCGTGATGTACGATAAAAATCTTATAGTCGCATTTAGTCACCTCGTTGCATCTCCTCTACGTGTATCGCATTATTGTTCAAGAGTAGGGTTAAAGTGTTTAAGTAGCTATAGTCCGGATCCAAAATATAGAGGCTAGCTGCGTTGGTGTAGATATCTAGCAAAGGGGCGTCCCAGCTGCTTGGCACTTGGGGCGATCCCTAGTTGATGATCTCGACATAGTTTGCCGGAAACAGTCCATAGGTTCCATCAGGGCCCAGGCCCTGCCACCATCCCTCATCGATTTGATCGATATGCGTGATGACATCGCCCGGATCGAAGGTGATCTCCGACTCGTCGGCTGCCTGGTAATCGTACAGGGCCCGGGCTCGCAGTCCCAGATCCCCGAGGGTCTCCTGGCAAATGAAATCGTCCTCGTTCACCAAATCCGTCACTGAAATATACAAGCGTTTGAAATAAGGCTCGAATAAGGGTCATGTTGGCCGCCACTTACGGGCATTCCTCTCCAGAGTGCTCAGGCCGCTCGTCTTAGCAGACTGTGATTGCTGCACGGTGACCGACACCTTGGTGCGCACTTCCTCATCCTGATTTTGGTACACAGCGGTGTCTGTCTCATTGGAGGAAGTGGTCTCGTCGGGAGACTGCGACTGCAGTGAGTTGGTTTTACTGTGCGGCGACCGCTTGATGGTCGAGAACTGCTCGCTTTCGTGGGCCAAAGGTAGATCGTCTATGGGCTGGCTCTCCTCCACTTCGGCGATTGTGGAGACAACTTCGGCAGCCACCGGAACAGCAGCAACGGCAGCGGCAGCAGGAGCAGCAGCTGGAGCTGGAGCCGGAGTAGGGGCTACTGGGACAAGAGTCTCCACGGGCAGCGGTTTGGCAGGGGACACAGCGCGTGGCGGTGAAGGCACAGGTGCTTCTTGAGGCTGATTCTGGTTGAAGACATTAATGCGCTGGGCAATAGAATTGCGAGCCGGTTTCGCCGGTGGTTGCGTATTCAGTCTGTGGGTTAAAAGGGGTTGCTTAATTTATAATTAATACAGAGAAAGGTAAACACCCACTTGGACTGCAGCTGACCCTCGCTGGTGTGCTTGGTGAACATGGCCTTGGCAGCTCCCACACGCGAGCCAATCAATTCGCGGGCCTCCTGGTTCCTCGCCTGACGCATGCGCTCCGCATCGGTCAGATTGTTGGCAAATCCCGGTGCCGTTTTCTCCGGACTCAGTGGTTGCGGGGAGCTGTTCGAAATAACAAAGTAATTACTATCGAATTGGGCTAACTTTTGAGGTTTATGATTACGTTTTGATGGGAATGTGCGCCGGCTGCAGCTTAGTGGTGCTTATGACCAGCTTCTCCCGCTCCTTGTGCTCTTTCTCCTCCCGGCTGCGTTGCTCCTGCTCGAGTTTCTGCAGCTCCAGCCGCTTGGACTCCTTCTCAGCCTGCTGGCGCAGCTTCTCCTCGGCCTCCTCCTTCTTCCAGAAGTCCTGCATGACGCTGGCGTTGAGCTCCTTGGTGGGAATGACCCGTGTGTAGTTGGTGCCCACCGGTGCCTTCTGCTCCTCCATGGCGCCGCGCGGCTCCTTGAAGCTGTAGGCGGAGCTCACGGTGCTCAGTTTCTTGAGCAGCCGCTCCAGATCAATGTCGTCCTCGTTGCGGGCATTGATGGTGAGGTGGGCGCCGGAGAGGAGATTGGACACGTCGCGTATGTGGTTGGCACAGGTGCCCTTGCGCAGCACAGGTGCTCCCTCGCCCTAAATTAGTTTGGGGAAATGATTATGCGTACGGCGATTAGATAAGGCTATCTGGCTATTTGACTCACCTGCCAGTTGATGAGTAAGTACTTGTTGAGGCCCGTTTTGGGGTCTTCGATGCGGAGGAAGGCGTACATGATCTTGCCGCTGTTGAGGTCTTCGTTCAGCTCATCCACGCCGCCGTCGCCGGTGCCCACCACCTTGAGCTCGTTGGTCTGGCCCTCGTAGCCGAAAAGTGACCAATTCGTGGCGCTCTTGTCGTCCAGCACATCCTTCCAGGCGGCCACTATCTCAGACCGATTCTTCTCAAAGCTGATGGCCATTGTTATGGTGATGCACCGCTGCCGCTGCCAAAGACCTTGAACAAAGAGATCTTGGCCAGCTTTCACTGGGTCGCCTTATCGAGGTGCCCTCGTCGTCGAGTGAAAGCCAACGCCCCGCAAAGACTCCGAATTTGAATGGGTTGTCTCTGGTCTTGACTTAAATTTCAATTAAGTGCAGCCGCCTCACAAAGGCACACACACACACACACTTGCACACAGATGTAGCGGGTGATTGATTTTCCAGTCTGTGCCAATTTCCAGTGGGTATTGCAGCTCCAATTTTTGGCCTATTTATTCAGAGGTAAATGTTCGCCAGGCGCCCAGAGTAACGTTTAGGGTTTTTTGCCGTTCCGCAATTATCCAATTTGATTGGAACTTTAAATTATTCGATCACTGGCGGCGACCTACACACTTTTTTGCAACAACAAACAACAAGCAGGCTGGGTGGCCAGTGGGACCAGAGCCGGGAGACTTGTGAATACACTTGAGTTTACCAATAATGCATTTAAGCGGGGACAAAACCCATGTAGAAAACAGAAAATGTAAAAATGTTGAAATAAATGAATTTAAAGCAGCTGTAATAAGCAAATTGTATTTAATTATCAAAAATTACTAATTTGCTAGTGCTGCAGATGATTTTATTTAAATTTGTGTATTCCAAGACGGGAAATTTTCAGATTTTTATCTAAGGCCCGTAAAAAGTTGTACAAAATTGTAAGTCTAATATTAATACAAATTAATAAATAATTCAAAATCCTTTGTTTGAAAACTGTTCTTTTGTAGATAATGCGATACACGAACGTAGACGCAATAATAGTGGAAACACCTTAATGGTTTGAGTCCGCGGTAAACTCAACCACCTGGTTTGAGTCTCCACTACGTTATTGGTCTCTGCTTTTTCTGGCTTATTTAGGGTATATAAAATAAGAGTGCAGCATTTACCGTCCGTCGCGTCGCGGTCACACTGAACTAAACGCAAACTGAACTATTGTGATTGCAATTATACCAAAAACCGTCGAAATTCCGCTTTTCCCAGCGAAAATCGTGAGGAAACGCATTGAATTCGCCAGGACTAAACGCGAGGAGTTGGAAACAGCTGAGACGCAGGACTGCAACGAGGATTTGGAGGCGTGTCCCCAGGCGAAAGGTAAAGTCGCCCGCTGTTGTTGGCTGCTTTTTGGCCATATTACTTGTACTTGTACATTGGAAGTCGGCTGCTGGATGCTGCTCTTGGCTAGCAACAATATGTGTGACTTTGCTGCCATGGCTGCTGTACTCGGTGTTTGGCCATAGCCGAAAAATCCAGCAGCTAAAGACTGGCTGCTCGGTTCCGAAAACCAGTCCCAAGTGCATCGTGCCCCTGCAACCACCTCCTCCTCCTCCTCTTCCTCCTCCTCCACCTCCGCATCCACCGAATTGCCGATCAGATGGCAACAACTGTTTGGCAGCAGGATTTCGCCTTCGACTGACTTGTTTCAAGTCAGCCAACTCAGTCTTTGTTCGCTTTGGTTTGCTTTGGTTTGGTTTTGTTCCATTTACATATATGCCAATGCCAGGCTCGTCCGATATATCCAGTTTTTCACTCGGAACTCGGATATCTGTGTGGATGGATCGTACTTATGTATATACGTGCATGCGATCGATCGCTTGTGTGTGTGTGCCTGTGTGTCTGTGTGTGTGTGTTCGCCAGTGTTCATGGTCAATTTCTTTGCATTTTCAGTGTGAAACTCATGCGGTGCAGATCGAGTCGGTGCAGGAGCAGCGAAACCAAGTCCACATCCGCATCCACAACCAAGGCGAAGTCCACGTCCACGTCCACATCCAATCCCACGTAGAATCCCCATCATGGAATCGGCGCTGGATGTGCTCTCGAGGGCGGCGACCATGGTGCAAAACAATCCCAGCGGTAAGTGAATGAACGGGCCATCCGTCCAGTCGCAAACAAGAGCCATTAACCAATTCCGTTTAAAAAGAGTCGACAATTTTTATGATTTTAACTTGGGCCGGCCAACAACATCATGGCTCGATGTACTCACACTCAACGAGGGGGCGACGGGGGGCAACGAGGCAGGGGCAGTGGGGGTGGGGGTTACACACACTCGGCTCTTTTATGGCTTTCACCTTTGAGCCGAGAAGACTTGGAAAGTATTTCAACAATGTGCCATGCACAGGGAGAAAAGTGTATACGATATGATGATTAATGGGTCTTGATGTAAGATTTACACGCGAACATCATATTAAAATTCTCAAGTGCATTCAAATAAACTAACCAACTATAAAGCTTTAGCTTTGAAAACATGGCTTAAAAATCAGCCAAATCTCTTTACAAGACCTTTGTTTATAAACTAAAGAAAAAAAGCCGAATTGCTGAGAAAACATAAATATAAATGTTTCCCAATTCGAATACTAGAAATATCTGCGAATTTTTGATAACATAAATAACGATTTTTTAGACTCTTCACAAATGCAATTGAATCATTTTCATATTTCTGTTTGACCTAAATAAGACATCCTTTGATATGTACAAAATGGCAAGATATCTTCAAAAATTTCGACTTTGCACTGTCCAATATGTATATTGAACGTTTAAGAAAAAGATTATGATGATTAGTTTAATAATTTTACTTATAAATTGGAACCAGATGCTAGCTTTTCAAGAACAAACAAATACATTTTAATCTTCAAAAATATTCCTACATTATTTATTAAGTAGTAATTGGATATGAATCTATTATCATGCTTATTATTTATTTATTCATTTTATTTAAATTATGTTCATACACAGTGAAAGAAAAATTTATAGATATAAAAATGTGAATCTAGTTACATTAATAACGATAGAAATTATTTGAACATTCCTCAGATTATGACAGCAGTTTATGGTTATTCACTAATCTCCCAATAATAAGTAGATAACTAGTTGAGCTGCATTTTTCGCGTTGATACAATGCTCATTTCTTACTGTGTAGCCAATTGCATACCCTTGGCATGCTCCAGTCATGATTCACGATTGCAACAGAGCCCCTCACCTCCTTTCTAGCCTGACATCTTCTTTGTAAGAGGCGATCCCGATCCCAATTCCGATTCCGATTCCGATCCCCCACTCAGACAGACAGACAGAGAGACAGACAGACAGAAGGAGAGACAGTGCCTACCGAAATTCTACCCATTCGGGGGCATCGATGAACTCGACAATGCCCACAGCCGATTCCTTACTGCGAGCACTGTGCGAACGCATAAACACTCGACGAATCCGAGAAATGTTTTATTTTCGTACAAAAAAACGACAACAAAACATTCCAACAAAATGAGTTTGCGGCGCATTCCGATTCCGATTTTCATAAATGTGTCAAATGCCGCATTTTCGATGGCAACAACGCGGTGAGCGAGCGGTCGGTCACTTGGCATATGTGAAGTATTATTCGGGGGGTACCGGACTTGGGGTATTGGGGGATGGGGTATTGGGGAACTGGGGACGACCCCTTATCAATAATGGTCGTCGTAGTGACACTGCGACTGACGACGAGCACGAATTGCGGTTGTGAATGTGGCTATGGTTGTGACTGTGAATGTGGATGGGCGTTTGCGTTTGCGTTCGTACGGGCATTGCATATTTGTGTACTGGCGACATATCTTTCGTATATATTTGCCATTTGCAATTTGCATTCTCTGCCCACCATCACTACCAGCACCACCCAGAGCGGCAAACCAGCGACTCGACCGCGTGACATGCCAAAGAAACGGCCGGCGGAGAGCTCAAACTGCCATTATTGTATACAAGTAGTATTCGAATACGCTGGCTCGCAAATATGTGTATAATTGCTAGGCACAAAAAACAAAACAATCTGCGGCCAAGCGAGCGGGTAATTGCACATTAATATAAGCGCTAAACGATAAGCGATAAGCATGCGACCCACGCCGGCCTATTTAAGCTTTGATTTGGATTTCGCCCCCCAGTTGTGGGCCTCTGATAACATGCAAATCAGCGGTGGAATGCCGATAATGTAGCACCAATTTATGTTTATGTTTATGCTCATTTCTCTTTCTGTTTATTTACCCATTGGGAAACGCCAGAGCTTTATCAGCTATAATTCTGAATATTTGACAAATTCCTCGGCCGTATATATATATATATATATATATATATATATATATATATATATGCGTACCAGCTGTCAACACACAGGGGAGTATTTATGAGATAGCCCCCGCCGACACAGAACAGAAAGAGAAATGGTTTGCGATGCTCGAATAAATATTTGAACAGCGCACGCGATTCGCTAACGATTTGTTGGCGGTTTTTGCCCAGTTGGCCATCTCGATTTGGACAATTGGCCAACAATTGAGTTCTCAATGCAGGGTAGTAGACTTTGTGGCCTGGTGAAGATGAGCGATTTGATTGATCGGCGGCTGGCAAAATGCAAAATGTCGTTAACCTGCGCATGATTAATGAATTTGTCATAATCGAGCGAGCCACTCGGATTCTGGGATCTTCATAAATCACACGTAGAAAAGCGGGTCGATCGATCGATCGAATGCTCGATCGGGCTGAGCGTTAATTAAGCGGCCCTTCCATTGTTTGCCGAGGAGCAAACTCTATGGCCAGGCCATAATTAATAAACAAATAGTTACACAAATTGTGGCCTGCCAGGCACAAAAGAAAAATTGTGGCAATTTCCAGCTTGGCCAAGCGCAGCTGGAGACGGACACCAACCGTTTGGCTATATGGCCATAGAGCTATAGAGGGGACCGGACTGGACTGGTGGACTGGGCTCATCAGGTAATTTACATGGCCTTTCAATTCTCCGTTTAAGCCAAGTGCTAGTGCTTGTGGCAGTGCCAGTGCCAACTCTGTGGGCCAACACTCTCTTCCTTTTACTAGCAATGGCCAAACGGTGCGCGTAATTGCCGCAAATCTCGACCAGAGGAAAATCCAGCAGGCAAACCAGTTTGGGTTTGTTATTGCCATGGCCTGGCACTGCAACTGTATGGGATTGGATTGGGAATGGGTATGGGAATGGGGATGGGGATGGGCCTGGGGTTGGAGATTGGGACTAGAGCATTACCTTTCTTTTTACTAGTGCCTGTTGCTGCTGCTGCTGTTGCTGCTGCTGTTGCCACTTCTACCATAGCCGTCGCTTGGCTATTTATTTATTTAAACATAACATTTGCCTATTTGCCATAAATTTTCACTCTGCGCGACTTTTGCCAGCGAGCGCTGGACAGGAAAAGGTGGCAGATGCAGCGGCAGAATCAACTTGTTGCGCACAATATCGAAATGAAAGTTGTCTCACAAAAACACGGCAAGTTCTGGCCTTTGCTGACCATCTATATTTACAAAAAAAAAAAAAAAGATTCGCTAGAGCGATCTATTGATTTCGTACCCGATACGAAATTTCGGCAAAATGTATTGAGATTTTTCTCACGCTTGATTTAGCACCGGATGATAGTTTATAATGACAACTATATTTATGTTATTGTTAGTTTTGCTATTTGCCATCGCTGCTGCCGTTGTCTCGCACTGTTTTTGTTGCTATTCTGGGCAATCGAAAACCAGTTTCTCTTCAAATCGCGCGCACGCTCGAGTTTTATTTAAATTTTGAACTGGTTTGCCGCTGATTTGTGTTGTCTCCGCTGCGTATATATTATGTGCCCCCGTACCCACTAGATATATACATATATTAGATTGTTAGATTTCACAAACTGGGACTGCGACTGCGACTGGGACTGGGACTGGCACTGGCACTGCGGTTAAGAGATATAACATAATTTGTCTTGTTGGTATCGACAAGTTCTGGAAATTGCCGGCCACCTCACCTCATCAGCGTATGTGTATATGTCATCATCATCTCAGCGATCCATAGGGCAGTAGATCTCCCACAAAGACATTAGATTTCGGTGACTTCCGCACTGCCACTATCCGGCATACTATATATATATACAATACTGACCCAAAATGCCCGGCAAGGGATCTCATGTTTCTGTGCCGATTTCCAAACAACTCAACAAATTTCAATTAGCAAAGCATTTTCCGGAGTTTTATTTCGGTTTGTGTTCTGTTTTCCTCAAACCGTCGTCGAATCAATGGGGCAATATTAAATTGCTGCTTAGCTTGTCATTCAGCCCGTGTCACAGAAAGCGAAAGATGTTTGGGAAATCTTTTGTTTTTTGTAACCTGTCTGTGGATAATAAGACGAAGAACTATTGTTTAAGAAGAAAAGATTGCTGTATGAACAATAATTTGCCTCTTAAAGATCATTTATAACCACAATATTTTTGTAATTATGGGATAAATCAGTGATTTGTTTTGTGAAGAATTTGTAATTTATAATTAATCACACTGTGTTCTTTTTAATATTTTAATTTAAAAGTTTATAAGCTATTTATATATATCTTCAAAAAATAGTCAAGGAATTTCCATTATTCAGGGAAGATAATGTGTACAAAAAATGATTCGTTCTCATGAGATTTTATATTTAATATTTTATCTTATCATTAATTGCAGAACATCAATAGCTCAAGATGTAAACTTAATTAGTAAAGAGTTTTCCATTTGACTTATGTAAGCAATTTTTCCCAGAGATAATTATTTATTTTAGAAGAATTTGTCATAATGTTGTGATTAAGGGACTCGTCATTAAAAGTAAAAGTTTATAAGAAATGTATAAATATACTGAAATAGTCAGGGGACTTTCTTTATATTTATTTACAAACAAGACATATATTTGTAAAAAAAAATATTATGTATTTGCTTGGAAAATCAATATTTTTGTAGTAATATCTTAGTACAGAAGCTTATCATTGAAAGTAGAACTTCATTAGCACCAGATATGTACCCTTAATTGGTGAGGGGATTTCCATTTGACTTCTGTAAGCTTGCCCGCATCTTTTGGGCTCCACTTTTATACCCCCAAGTCAAGTTTACCCACTTTGCTCGTCTCGTTTTTTTGTTTTGCGCCTTCTTACAATACTTTTGGTCTACTATGTTTGGATTTCGGTAATTTGTTGCCATTGTTTTGGATCGGCCAGTGGAGTCTTCTGCCCCAAAGTCTGTTGAGTCCGTTGTTGTTGTCATTGTTTTTGTTGCTCAGAGTGCTTTGTATTTTTTTTTTATTTGGTTTTTTTTGCCATGATTGCCATTCGATTGACCTCGTTGCGCATGCGTGCGCATGTTTCACGCTACACTACAAATTTTCGCGCACAACAAACAGCTCGTAGCCGCGTTCGCCGGATGATGAGTAAGCGCCATAGCCAAAGCCAAATCCAAAGCCTAGGAGCACTCAATCAATCCATTACTCAGTCAGTCAATAGTTTTCAGCTCAATTTTGTTGCATTTTTCGATTTTGTCTCATTTTCCCCAGTGGAGTATTGCAAATTTTGTGACTGCGATTAGCAAACGAGCCATAGAGATGATGGTGAAATGAATGGAGAAAAGGAAAACCATAAGCGGTCGATCCATCGATCCATCGATCGATCGATTGGATGGCGCGAGATCAACAGCTGAGCTTGTGCAAGTCGCTTTGGGCCAGGCCAAGTCGGTTGGGGCCATATGATCGGGCATAGATACAACAAACTCCAGTCATCCAGTCATCGAGTCACTCCACGTTGCTTGCCTCCTGCAGTTGCTGCAGCAGTAGCAGTGGCAATATTCATGGGGCAACCAGCAAGCAACAACCAGCAACAACCAGCAACGAACAACCAACAGTAGTGGTTGTACTACAAATCGGGCGTAAAATTTCATGGGCCTGCTATTGAATTAGAAACGAGTTTCCTCCGCCGTGTTTTGTTATTGCGCTTTTCTGCTTTCTGCCGCTGCTTCTGTGCCGTTTTTCTTGCCGCCAACTTGCAGTTGCAGTTGCAGCAACGGCAACTGCTGTTGCTGCTGCTGTTCCGTTGGACTGAAAGACGGACATGCGGACTGAGCTGAGCAAAACAGAGCCAAGCCCCAAAGCACCGACGACCTATTGTTGTTTGCTTCCAATAACAAACGCAAACGCGGCAGCGGACATTTTGGCTATGTGATGAGCTTTGTCCTACAGCTATTTGCATTGATTTGTGGAATCATCAGTTTATAAGTCGATCGAATTTGGCCTGATTGCAGCTGATTAATGGCAGGCTATTGCCATAAGATCGGTTTTTTAAGCTATACTTAAGGGAATTATATTATTTTTCGGTCTAAACAAAGAAATACATTGAATATGGGAACATATTTAAATAATTAACAATCTTATCTTGGAAATAGTGAAAAGCAATTTTATAATTATTATCCCAAAAAGTACAAAAATGTATAATATATTTCAAGCTTATTTGTGTGCTGACTTTACTTAAAGAAAGAATTTTTAGCTCTAGAATAATTCTTTAGAATACGTGCTTTAAGTTTCCGTTGTGGAGCACACAAACATTTCAATGATTTTCGTTGGATTCCTGAAAGTATGTATGTATGTAGTTCTAAAGCCTAACTTTAAATAAGTAGCTATCAGGTCTTGGTTTGTTTTTATTTGTGACAAAAGTTCGCGATAGTGAATTTAACACATTTTAATTGTTTGCTTACCATACTGCGCTATATTATATTTTCAAGATTAAATTCAAGTGTTAATTTCTACATTTGAGATTACATTTTGCAAAATGTTTATAGCAATAATCTGAATTTCAAGAATTTAACAACGTTTGGGTTAGTAATAGTACATATTTGCTTTTAAATTTTTGATAAATATATAGTTTAGATAACTAAAAAATGTTTTTACAATTTGCAAAAACTGGGCAGATGTCGTTGAAGTATATTATTTAGAATAGCCACAAAATTAAGTTAATTTCTATGTTGGCAAATTACTATGAAAAAGCCTTTATGAATTTCCCCCTAAATGACAATAGGTTTTCGAACAAAGTGGCTCACATTTGACATAAATACAAATATTCTTAGTAATCCTTCAGTTGAGAGCAAAAAATAATAGATTTCTTTGTACTATACTCGATATTTTTAGGAATTTCCAAAGGAGATTAAAAAGGTTTCCACATTTTACCTGTAAGATTTTAGAGATTAAATGAAGAATTGCAGTTTGGGGTTAACAAAAAGGACTACTAGGTATTCTATTGTCGGTGTGTTCCAGGCTAACCCTCGTTTTCCTAGTTGGTTGTCATTTTCGCAAGCCCGCAAAAAAAACACACACACAAACACACACATACGGCACACGGCAATCGCCCAAACGTAGGTAGTTTTGCACGCAGTTACAAAGTTACAGGCTTACACATAGAAACGTTTGTTTGTGGCAAAACTCTGGGTAAACATTATAATGAGCCCGATGCAGTGACCGGGCCCAAAACAAAAGAGCGTCGAAGAAAACATGAAAGAACGCCCACACCATGTGCCCTACCCAAAAGCCAAGTCCCAGTTCACAGCTCCGAACTGCGGATTTCCTCCGGACTGTGGCCAATTCCCAATTGCTGCCATTTCGTTACCCTTTTGCCCAATTGGCCAAGCATCAATGGGGCAATGGGGCGTGGCAGGCACATCCTACGGACACACAGGCATTCCCTACCCAGTTGTACATTTTCAATTACCAAATCACCAAAAGCAAGCAGAGATCCGAAATCCAAGATCCGAGATCCGTTGAGCGTTCTGTACAGAGAGAAAGAGGGCCGCCAAAACAAGAGTCGAAACGGAAATTGGTAAGAGGAGAAATAAGGGAAAAACAACTGGCGCAAGTGCAAATGGCAGAATGGCCTGGCTGGCCTGGCCCCAAAAGTCTACACAATCCCCTCCCGCCACTTCCCACTCTCTTGGAAATAAAGCCCATTACCCAAAACCCAGCGATTGTGGAGACTTTGAACGAGCAAAAGACACGAAGGCTGGCGAAGAATCCGAAGACTGGCAGTCGGAGCTTCGAAAGCCCCACCATAACAACAAGCCCCAGTCGCAATCGCAATCGCAGTCCGCAGTCTTCAAGTCGCTCGATCAGTTCGAGTTTGTCCGTGGAAGTCGCCAGTTCGGTGTCGCGTTTCAGATTCAGATTCAATTTCAGTTTCTGTTTAAGTTTAAGTTCCTATAACTATTGCTAGGCAATGGCAAGCTTTTGCCACCACTGATATATATATATATATCTAAATATGTGTATATTTTTTGTGCTCAAGAAGCTATAGTTTGTGGAACGTGCGTTCAGATCGATTCGTGTGTGTGTGCCGTGCCGTGTTGTGCCGTGCCCCTTCATCTGAAAGCGAAAACTTGCACTGGCACTGGCGCTCTCAAGTTCAGTCGGCGATTTGTCGATTTCTATGGAAATCATTACTCGGAAAAGAAACACAGCACAGAGTCACAGTCAGAGTCGAAGTCAGAGTCAGAGTCAGAGTTGGAGTCAAAAGACAGCCCAGCCAGAAATAAAAAAAAGAAGAAAAAGAGCGTGCTATTTTTATTTCGCTAAATGTCGACTCGAGGCTCACGTCGCCGGAGCAGAGCCAAAGTCTCCGTTTCAACTGGCGAGAGACTGTAACCCGAGTCGCCCGCCGTTTTGCAAAATAAAATAAAACAACACAACAGAAAATACAGAAAAAAATTGAAAAAAACCAGACAAAACAGACAAACAGCAACAGATTGTATCTGTATCTATAGTCGCGACTTGCGGCTCGTTTTGTGTGCGCACACATTCGTGTATCTGTATCTGCGGCAAAAAAAATACAAAAAAAAACTTAAAAGTAATCATAAACTGGAAGGGAAAGAAAGACAAATAAATAAAAAGACTGCCGCTCCCCAGCCTCCGTGTAGCTTATTCTAAGCTTTGAGCTAGATAGATAGCTCCAGATAGCCCTGTTTGTGAATCAGCTGAGTCGCCTTTTTTTGTGGGCGGCTGCGATGTGAGTGGAGGATCGAAGATCCCCAGGAAGTAGCGCTGAAAAACCTAGCAAATTGAGAATCTAGTAAGAGCAAGAGAAGAAGAACCATGGATTATCTTTGCATACTGAATGCCTTCGAGCAGAATTACTACAACCAGATTAAGGCGGCCGCCGCCGCCGCAGTTGCCGCTTCGCCTGCCTCATCCGCCTGCTCCACGGCCTCCACATCCTCGGCATCCTGCTCCAGTGGGCCGTCCACCTCGTCGTCTGCCTCCTCCACGGCCAGTTCGCCCGGTTCGTCGGCACGGGAAGTGGCCCAGGCAGCGGCTGCCTTGGCGGCCACCCAAGATTTGGCTGCCTATCAGGAGGCCGCAATATCCCCGTCACAAGCCGCCCTCTTGTACCATCATCTGAAGCAGCAACAGCAGCAACAGCAGCAGGAGCAATTTCATCGGTTTCCCTTCCATAGCCAGCAGCTGAAGCAGGCGGAGTCCGGCAATCAGCAGCAGCATCCTCATCCTCATCCGCATCCGCAGGCAGCCGCCGATCCTAATGCCTCCTCCATGGCCAACAGTTTGCTCTGGCAGCCGTGGCGGGATCTCCAGCAGGCAGCCGCCATGCACCATCAGCTCTACAGGCAGCAGCAGCAGCAGCAGCAGCAGCATTTGCACAAAGGTTCGTTTTGTGGGGCAAACTTCAAAAGAACCCAATGACTGACTGACCTCTGACAGAAAAGGGCAACAATTGCACATACTCATTATCAACTTAGTTCTTGAAAGTTCGTAGTTCTATTACATAAATTGGGTTTTTTTACTAAAATTACAAGCAGTCAAATTGCTTACAAATAAAGTAAATTTAGGGTAAAACCTTTATGCTTGAATGCATTCGAAATTTTTCGTAAATTGAACGTGTTTAAATAGCAATAAAGATTAAAAGTGCACAAACAATTTATTATATGTTTTGTTAAAATATATAAACTGAACTTGGTTCAAGACATAAAAATGTTAGAGTACTTTAACATGGCCTCTTATATAAAATGGTACAACCATTTTATTAATTGCTTTGGGAAAAAGTTGAAAAAGATAAATATCTTATAAATTGTAAAGTCAATAGTAATTTGGATGCTCAGTAATATAATATAATAAAAGACTTTTGGTCCTATTGTTTCAACATATTTTCCCTAAGGGATATAGCTTAAAGATCATCATATATCTCTTTAAGGCGTTAATCTATTGAGCAAGATGAAAATGTATTTTTAAACGATAATGCTTTTCATTTTATTTATGATTTGCTGTAATAGATCCTATAAAATTATGATTATTTACCCGAGTGTTTTTTCATTCGTGCGGTTTTCAAAAATTACAAAAGAAAAGGCAAAGTGTTGCAATTTTTATGATTAAAAGTTTTTAAACTAACTCAATAAATTTCTGTTAAACAGCGCAATTTGTGATAACATTAAAAAAGTTGTTTATGTAACAAACATTTTGCCAAGGGTATATTAAAATGTTGTAGTAGAAAAAATTAATAGCTCTCACTTTTAGGGGATGTTTAACCATTGAAGCAATCAAAAAGGCTAAAATGGTTGGCCACAATAAAATATAATATCATTCAGGCAAAGTTTATTTAAGAGGGGAAAAAACTGAAAGTTTGGTTTTATTAAGTGCGTCTTAAAAATAAACTTCACACTGTGTAACACCAGAAGTATAAATTGAACACTAAATAATATAGTCTCTATGCTTTTTAGTTTCATTTCTATATACATAATTTTTATTTCGATACTTTCTTGGAATCAATTTAGTACTCATATTATTGAGACATTTTTAATACCCAATAGTTTAATACCCAATTGTTTAAAGTGGTTACAATGGTTTAGTTTCTATGAAATTTTTGATATTTTGGGTGTCATAGTATATTTCGCCAATAGAATAAACCGTTTATCAATCAATTCAATTAAATTAGCAGACAAGCTTTCCTAGGGGAGCTTGGTCTTGTAGCGATAGTGAAGACCACGTTGATGCACCTGCTGCTCACGTGAAGTCCACACTCGCACACCTCATGATCCGTGCCGAAGTTCAATGGATCGGCATCGAACGTGCCCTTTCCTCTGGCCTTTCATTTGGCTATGATAAGCACCCACTCCCGCGATGAATGGGATCGGATCGGATCGGATCGGGTATCGGGTATCGGAAGCGGCTCGCTCCAATTCGACTCGATTCGATTCGATTCGCCTCGCTTTATCTTTGCGGGCAGCGTGTGGCCAGGACGTGGACGTGATGACGACGGCATTGGTTTGGATTGAGATTGCAATTGGATTCGGAATTGGTATTGGAATTGGAATTGGTATTGGCTTTGGAATTGAGATTGGCAACACGACACAAGTCGGCGACAATCGGTCACGCCGGCTGCAAGAGCGTATCGATGGCGTCTCTATTTGGCTTGTGCTTGTGATTGTGCTACCGCTTGTGCCAACTGGAAAATTGGTAATGAAATTGGCAACACTTTTACTGCGCTCCGCACCGACGGCGTCGCATTCGATTGGCTTCGGATTGGCAAACAAAAAAAAACTCACACCAGTTCCACAGCGTTAATTGGCGACATTGCACAAATCACACAAATGCTTTCAATTACATGGCGACGCCAGGCAAACACAAAAAACTGGGGGAAAAAGAGCAACAAATGAGCGCCTGTTTAAACATTAAACCTCCATAAAAAAATAAAAATGGATGATGATGAGGTGGGGTTGTGGGTATGTGGGGCTGTGGGTATGTGGGGTTTCTAGCTGCTGTGTGCTGTGCTTGGCTCGACTCGGTTTTATTTGTGCTTTTGTTAATTTGTTGACATATTAAAACCAGATTTGCAATCAACTCGGATAGTGGGTAATGCGGGTAAGACGGAAACTCGGGCACTCGGAGATCGGGGATCGGGGATCGGAGATCGGAGATCCGTGGTTACGGGCATGACTCACTAGCCGGCGCGAGAAAAAATATAAATAATGAAAAACGACGACGACGACGACGACTATGATGGAAAAATAAATGTGTACACAAAGCTACAACTACAATAGCTACAACTCCAACAACCAGAGCAGCAACAACTTGTTTGCATAAGCCACAAATGCTGTTGTTGTTGTTGCTGTTGCTGCTGTTGTTCCCATTGCTATTTGTAGTACAATCCAAGCCATATATAAGCATGCAAGTTTTGTCACTCTCGTCTCGTCTTGTCTCGCCCCGTCTCTTTCCTTCCGCCATCAGCCCCTCTCTTTTTTTGAAGTTCTGTATGTTGTTTTAAACCCGAACCAGATTTTTTGGGATCTGACTTTGGGCCGGCTTTCGAATCGCTCCCCAGATGATATATCACCTCAGGAGATGTTGAAGATTGCTTCCCGCAACCGGAAATTGAGAAATATCTTGCTCACAATTAATGGCCAATATTTGTATCGATATAATATATTCGGCTATCTAGGCTAATGTTTGCCTTGCATTTTTTTTGGTAGGTAAATCTTCTTTGATACAAAATCAATAAATTTTTTTTAAATAGTATTATTAAAAAAAAAAAATTATATTCTTGGAGATACCTTTTATAATAACATGATTTCTAAAGTCTTGGGCAGAAACCTCGTGTTTATTAAATTAAATTAATTAAACTAAATTAATTTAAGAAAATCTAAAAATATTTACACTTTTTGTATATATAAAAAAAGGGCCATATTTTCTGATTGTACCCAAAAAGTTTGGTCTTAAAATTCTAAATGTTTTTTTTGGGTACATTTTCAAAAAGATATTGTGTATTTTCTATAATATATACGGGATTGTATTCTATTTATTTGTTTTTATAAAAACAGAAATGTTTTAAAATACTTTTTTCTTGATTGAACAAATTATAATATATACTTACAAGTGCAATTTTTAAAGAATTCTCCATTATTTGCTTTAGCTTACCACTAGAACTATGACATATTTAATTGCTTTTTAATTTACGAGTATATTATAAGAACGCCATTTTTTAGTTATTCTCCATAATTTGGTATATATTACCACTAGAACTGTATTATATTTTATTGCTAAAATTTATTTTAATTAATTTAATCTAATTGATATATAGATTTTGCCTCCTGAGCTAGGGAATATTAATGTAGCCAGCTTTCACATTTTTTTATTCCCTTTGAGTTCCCCATAAAGGTTTTTTTTTTGCTTAAATCATCGATTTTTCGCTTTTTAAGCTCCGTTACGAACTCCCCCAATTCGAAATCGGCTTGCCATTAGGCCGTTCTCCCCTTTATCGCCAATTAGCCGATACAGAAATGATTAAAACGCTCGCAGCAGCAGCAGCATCAGCAGAAGGCAACAACAAAAAAAAAGCGGCAGCAGAACAAATAAACAATGCAGAAGAGGATGCTGCTAAAAAAAAAGGAAAAAAAAATAAAATAAACGGTGGCGGCGGCGAAGGTGAGATAGGGAGTAAAACACAGACCACAATCCGCTCAAGAGGGGGAGCCTCAAAAAGAAAGCTCCAACGTCGTGGTTGTTGTTCTTTCTCGCTGTCGATTCGCCGATTCGCCGATCCCCCAACAGACGGCGACGTCCGACGACCGGAAATGTGCAATAAAATTTGAATGTTTCTTTATTATTATCATCATCCCCATCATCATCCGCTTGAGTCCCCAGTCTCAGTCGCAACTCCAACTTCCAACTCAAGCTGAAGCTCGCTCCCAGCCTCCGTGTTTGTTGGTTTTTTAGTGCCTCCTCTTGGCAGACCAGTTTCTTCCACTCACTTGGAGCTTGTGTTTTGGGTTTTGGGTTGGGGTTCCTCTGCCTTGCGGCCTGCTGTTGTGGGACTCCTCGGGCGCTGAAGAGGTAATATATGGCAGGCCTGCAGTGACGTTGCCAAAAACAGGACAACGCTCCCACCTTCTCTTGGTACTGGTACTGCTCCTCCTCCTCCTCCTCCTCCTCCTCCTCCTCCGCCAACGCCAACCGACAACCGCCTCCATGCATCCCAGCCCAGTCATTCATTCATTCATTCATGCCTGGATCCATGGACCTCCTCCTCCTCCTCCCCCTCCGCCTCCTTTTTGCGCTGCACGCTGCTCGAAATGTGCAGAAGTCGTCCGACTGGTTTGCCTGCTGCCTGCCCCTCTCGATATCGGATCTCGGCCGAGAAACTGGGTTCTGGGGACCTGGACCTGGGATCTGGGACCTGGCTTCCCGCTGCCTCTTGCTTTATTTATAAACTTGGTTTCCTGGCCAGCAAGCGCTCTCAGCTACGAGCACTATATGCACCATGGGCACCATAAGCACCTCGAGCGGATGGGATCTTTCATCCCGACGGGATGCCCACGCTCGTTTTGGCCGCTTCCCACGCCACCACTCCATTGGCAGGCCGGGCACGTTTCTGTCCTGCAATTCGCTCAGTGTAGGCCAGGCCCAGACTTCAACACACACTCAAACACACACACACACACACAGTCGGAAAAAAAAGCGTAGAGCAAACGAGTTTTCGTAACCAATTTTGTTTGTGCCTTGGAGTTTCGATTGTGTGTGCTTTCTGTTGTTATTATTTATTTGCCGGAGTGTGTGTGCCGTTTTTTTATATTTATTTTTTGTTTCTGTTTTTTTTTTTTTTTGTTTTTTGCTGGTGACGGCTACGTCTTCTTGTGCATAATTTCTGTGCTGCCATGGCTGCTCCTCCTCTCCTTCATCCTCCGCCTGGCCACCACTTTATTAAAGCTTTGGCAGAAGTTCATTCAAAAAAGCGAAAGACTTAGGCAACAAACTTGAAGGGAGGGGGCGATCGGAGACGGAGGAGAACCTTTGTAGCCGACTCTACCTCGCCCCTAGTCCAGGTGATTCATTACGCCCACTCATCGACCGCATAATCGAAACCACGACGACGGAGACACGTAAACCGCAGTGAATCGCTGGCCAGACACAGACACAGATATAGACCCAATCCAAAACCAAAACCCAAACCCAAACCCAAGTCAACCACAAAGCCAAATCAAATTTATGACTGTTAATTGAAATGCGATTTTGGTATAACATTATATTGACTATTACTATTCCTGGGAGATGGCCAAAAAGATAACTATTTATCTACATTTTATGTATTTATATTTACATTTTATATTATATATTATTTGCACGCTTTAATAGTAAAACGTTTAATATGGTTTTAAAGGAAAATAAAATATCCAAACAATAAAATCTATTCCCAAAATATTTAATTTGAATTAAATCTGCAGATAGTTAAATTTTTCAGAAAATAATCAAATAATAACCAAAAATTTTATATTTCCATATTTCTAATATCTAAAATAAGTGGATTAACTGTTTTAAACTAAAATTACATTTTTGATTTAGATTCTGAATAAAATCTTTTACATATATATTCAAATGGTGTATTACAAAAAATATACATTTTGAAACGTTAAAATTAATATTTTCTTTATTTTAAAATAACCAAAAACTGCAAGAAATATTTATGTTGAGCAGAAAATACTTGGGTTTACTACGATGTTGCCTGATCACTAACCTATCTCATTTTGTTTTCCCTTTGCAGAGATGCGTGTGACGGCCAAGGAGCTGCCCACCACCAAGTGGAGACGCGAGCGGCGCCAGCGGACCGCCGAGTATCCGGTTCATGAGGCAGGCAACAGCGATAGGGAGCGGGAAAGGGAAAGGGAGGATCGCGACATGGACAGCCCCATTGACATGTCGGTGACAACGGGAGCGCTGAAGCTGCGGGCTTCACCGCCACCACCTTACCGCGAACCGCTGCCTGGGACCAACTACGCGGCCAACAGCCGACCCAGCGTCATCACCCAGGCTCCGCCAAAGCGGGAACCTCCCGAGCAGGCCCACTCCTCAGGTGAGAAGCTACGCACAGTTGTGGTTAAAATAATAGTAGTGGTGCTCAAAAACATACCTTTAAGGCATAGGAAAACTTTTCTTTTTATTTATCGTAAGGCTCAATTGCTCAATCAACAAAATGAGGTTTAAAAAAACCTTTGATATTGTTTTTTCAATAACCAATAACCATAAAATATAAATCCTTATTTATCTAAACTTTATATAGGAATAAAAATATTTTTAATATATAATCAAATTGTTAAATTGAAAAAAAATAAAATTTGTTTATTAATTTAAAATGCAATTTTAATATAATTAAAACACCAATTTTAAAAGTTCCTTCCAAATTTTTTATAAAGATTTTTTAATGCTATTTCCTGAAGCCAAAAAACGACTATTATTGTGACCGCAATTGTATTCTATATCAAGCCAACAAACCAACTCACCACCTGCCTTTTTATATCCGCTTTTTAGATGTGGCTATGTGTGACATTGACGAGCACTTCCGGCGCTCGCTGGGCGAGAACTATGCGGCCCTGTTCGCCAAGAAGTCGCCGACGCCCACGCCCACACCCACGCCCTCGCCAAGTGGAACGCCCAAGCAACAGGTCTCGCCACTGACCTATGGACCGCCTTCATCATCGTCATCCAGCACGGGAGCAGCAGGAGCCACTACAACGCAACTTTACCACCAGCAGCAGCAGCAGCAGCACCGTTCGCCGCTGGCTAAGCCGGGTTTGGTCATCCTGGAGCCGGAATCCGAGCAGCCGGAACTGCCGCCGCCGCAGGAGGAGCCGCTGCCACTCTCGCTGGCACTGCATCGCACCCAAGCGCCGCCTTCGCCGCCGCCCTCGGCCACGGGATCGGGACCGGCGCTGCCCGCGGCCGTCAGCCAGGTGATGGAGGCGGCGGTGGCCGCCAAGCGGATCCTGGACACGCCCCACCACACGCCGCCCAGATACAACACGCCGCCGCCGCCACCGGCCTATGCTGTGAGCCCAGGAACTGCTGTGACGACGCCGCCGACTTTGACACCGACTCCTACTCCGATTGCGATTCCTATACCGACGATTTCGACGACTCCAACACCAAATCTGAATGCGAATCCGAATCCGACGCCCTCGCAGATTCCCACGCCCACGGCCAGCATGCCGGCCATCATTCGGGTGAAGGCTGAGCCGGGACTGGCGGCTGTGGCCGCATCCTCCACGCAGACGCCGCCCGCCTCGCCCACCTCGTCCACGAACATCTCGATATTCACCAAGACTGAAGCCTCGGTGGACGATCACTTTGCCAAGGCGCTGGGCGACACCTGGAAGAAGCTGCAGGGCGGGCACAACAAGGAGTAGGAGTAGGAACCAGAGCCAGAGCTAGAAGAAACCCACCCGCACAGGTCCCCAATCCAAACCCAAACCCAAACCCAAATCCAAATCCCAATATCCAACAACCGATCCTCAACGATCCAACTCAAGAGCTGTTTTTATTATAAATATTTCAAACTACACAATTAACGTTTAAAGATCTCATGCTGATGTGAACGGAAATTCTTCAACTGCGAGTGTATTACAAGTTTCTGATATAATGATTTTATTGAATATTGATAAAGATTAGCGCGGATATATATATGATATAAAATATATGATATATATATACATATATATGTGTATGGCAAAGTGTATACGTACAAGTGACAAAATTTTGTATTCTTAATGCTTAGTTGGTAGAGACTAATCCTTAATAATATACCTATTAAACATAAGTGAACAATCCTAAGAAATGAGTGTTTTATATAATGGGTAACTGAAATTGAAGGTACTTTTCAATATTTTAAATTTTCAGTTTGGCGGTTCGACCGTTAACAGTTCGATAACAGAGCGCCCAACAGCACGCTGTGTAACGGAATCAGTGTGACCACACCGAAAAAAAAGAAGATAAACAGCCCAATGAACTAGTATCGGAACGGCGATTGTGCCATTCACAGCGAACGATAACGATTGTTGGCATTCGCACGGCACGAATCGTACAGTACATTTACATTGCAAAAAAGCATAAAACAAAGTTTTAAAACAATTAAAAGCGAGCAATCCTCGGCGTATTATTAAAGAAGCAGCCCAGCGTTCGCCCCGTAATCGCAGCAGAACGAGCAGCCCTGCGTTTTAACGGAATAGCAGCGCCAAAAAAGAGGGTCGACGGCAGAGGGGCGCAGAGAGAAAATGTCACGCAAAGCAGCAGCAGCAGCAGCAGTGGAAGTGGAAAAAGAGTGAAGAAACGAGCAGAATTTCCGTTCGATCCTCGCAGTGCGCGGGAGCAGTGCGTCGACGTCCAGCCGGGGCAAGGATACCCTAGTCCCGATCCCGATGCGGCACGGCCGAGTGAGTGTGGCGAAAGTAACCGATGGGCAGCAGCCAAGAGCAGCGAAAGTAGGAGACGACGACGACAACAACAACGGAGCCCTGCGTCTGCAGTCCTGAAAATAAAAACGCACGGCCACACAATAACAAATGCCGCCGATCCTGGCCAGGATTGCTGACAAACTGACGCTTGGATGTCGTCGGTAATTGGGTGCGCCATCCTCCGTCGGGAATCCCCTAGCAATCCGCTGGCACCATGCAAAGCCTGGACTCCTCATGCCAAGAAGCCGACGTAAGATCTCTGTTTTCCATGGGACTTAACTGATTAACCTTTTTGCGTTTTAATCTCCCGCCTCTAGTTTATCATAAATGACACGCTCAAGAAGTTAAAGGGCTCCAGCACCGCGGACCATGTCCAGGGACTAGCGGTCCTCGCCCACGGTTCGGGCGTCCACCAGACGCAGTTCGTCCAGTACCAGGCCGCGTCCTCGCCGCAACTGCAGCCCCAGCAGACGTACCACCAGCAGCTGCATCCTGTCCTCCAGCAGCAGCAGCAGCAGCAGTTCGCCTCGTCGAGCAGCAAGTCGTATTTGGAGACCAGCCTGCTGCAGGCCATACCCCAGATTCCTGCCCAGCCGCCCATCTGCATCTTCGATGACGACGAGTCCCCCACCGAGGGCACTGGCGGCTCGCTGGGCGGCCTGCTCACGGAGCCCACCTCGGCCACGCCCAGTGGCCTGCCCACGGCCATCGCTCCGTCGCCCTCCTCGTGTTCATCCTCCACCACGACGCTGTCGAACTTCAACTCCATCACGTCGCCCTCGCCGGTGGTGCCCGATCTGCTGCTCTCCACGCCGCCGGGCGTCAACTCCAGTCTGAGCAACAGCTCGACGGGAGCGGCAAGTGTGTCGTCCAGTAAGAAGTCCGACAAGCGGCCACCATCCGCCAACTCAACGGCCAGTGGCGGCGGCGGCAGCGGCGGTGGTGGCCACCACCTGCATCATCATCACCTCCACCAGACGCACAATCACCATGTCCTGGCCTCGCCCACGTCGTCGCCCAACAAACGCCAGAAGTCCAACAACAACAACAACAGCAGTAGCAAGGAGTGCAGCTCCTCTAGTCGCAGCTCAGCTTTACCCGCCTCCAACAACAGCAACAGCAAGCCGCCCTCCTCCTCCTCGTCCTCCTCCGTCTGCCAGTCGAGCACCAGCAAGTTCTTCAATCTGCACGAGAAAATCAAGGATCTGTATCTACAACTGCTGAGCAACGACCTCAACTACTTTGCCGAGACAGGGGTAAGTTGAAAATTCGAAATAATCCCCAGCAAATTCCGATTTAAGTTACTTTTTAAGTTATCTGAGTGGTAGGACACAACGAGTCCTCTAAATAAAGCTCTGCATTTAAGTTGATCCAAGATACTTCAGGCATCTTGACCCACTTCTTTGTACATTAATTAATAACGATTTTCCTTAATGCTAAAGAAATGCCTATGTTACAAAGACTTCATTCATTTCATTAGACCTGCCAGTTCTGAAGTATTGTTTACCAGTTTAGAGTCACCAATATGGTAAACATATAACCAAAAAGATTCTGTGAAAATAACTTTTAAGTATTGGCTTTTCGGGCCCGTAACTGGGATGAAAACCTAATACAAGTATTACCATCCTACTTTAGTAAACTTCTTAATACTAACGATCCTTTTATTACCTTTGTTTGAAAACTTAATCACGGGGATGTGGAGAGTTCAGAGTTATTGGGTATGCCACCCAATACTTCTCATTGTCTAATATAATGACTAGGAACAATAAAATTCTCTTTTGTTTAAATCACTAGATCAAGCTATGATATGCAAGAGCCGTTTAGAGTATTATGCAATGAGTGATATATTATATATATATATTATTTTTTCTACTGAAATAAGTACTAGTATTTGGTTTCATATGAATTTTGAATTAGTCTGTCCGCTCTATAATTGTTCACCACTCGCGATCTTGTTTTTCCCCCCTTTAAAGTATTGGTATTTTAAGGGCCACTTGCTTGAACTGGTCAAACCAAACATTCTTCAAAATAAGCCATCAGACTTACAATTATAATGTATTTCAGCTAAAGCAACGCACCCGCTCCTTCACCCTGGAGCGGCTGGTGGAGCGAGAGAAGCTCAACACGATTGTGGTCAACCTGTATCCCGGCAACAAGGGATACTCGCTGGCCCTGCACTATGACGAGCACCTGCTGCTAAACCCGCAAACGAACGAATGGTCCGCCACCGACAAAGACGATGCCACTGGGGAGGCTGCGGGATTGGGAGCAGGCCCTGGGAATCATCGGAACCGCTCCAAGCCCACAATGGACGAGAGCCACTCGGCCAAGGCGGAGACGGGACAGGCCAAGCACGACTTTGGGCTGGTGGAGGTGCTCCGGTGGCCGTACGAAAACGATCTGCTGCTGCAGTGCATCGATCGGGAGATGTTGCCGGAGTTTCTGATGGATCTGCTCGGAGCCGAGACGGTCAGTTTGTCGGACGGCGAGGGAACACGGGTGTACGCCAAGCCGAGCGTCTTCTACGCGGGCTGCGTGATCGCCCAGATCCGCGACTTCCGCCAGACATTTGCCACCTCAACGAATATCTGTGATATGAAGCACATCCTGCTGAGGCCGACGAACGCCACCCTCTTCGCGGAAGTGCAGCAAATGGGCGGCCAACTGCCGGCCGAGGACAAGCTCGCCCTGGAGAGCCAGCTGGTGTTGGCCACGGCGGAGCCGCTGTGCCTGGAGCCGGATCCCAGCATAGGGAGGCAGGCCATCAATGCCCAGCACCAGCGCCAGCTCTTCAACTCCCACGAGCTGCGGCGTCAGATGAAGAAGTTCACCCAGACGGCCATCAATCGCAAGCGCAAGCTGGACCAGTTCACCCACCACCATGGCCTGGAATTGTGCGATTATCTGGCTCGCCTGCGCCAGCGACCGCGGACGGGGAGCAGCAGTGGCGGCGGCAACGCCACACCGGCCACGGCGCCCACCAACAATCCGCTGGTGGGGGCCATGCTCTCGTCGTTCACCTCCAAGGTGCCGCGGCGACCGCACGAGGTCATCCGGCCCATTCGTCCGCCCACCCTGGAGTATCCCGCCAACCTGAAGGTGCCCGAGCACGTGATCAGCGTGGAGAAGTATGCCAAGGCCTTCGAGCCCCTCAACGAGTTCAGCGAGGCGTGCAAGGAGGGCTGCCAGCCCAACTGCCGGCACAACTTCCAGCCGCAGCTCATCGAGGAGTACGTGCTGGAGACGGAGCGCGAGGCGAGCGAAGGTCGGCGGGCGCTGTACCACATCAAGCTGTCCATCTTCCAGCGCCCCTCCGACGCAGAGTACCTTGGCGAGCTGTACGTCGACCGCGATTACCGCGAGGGCGAGCGCAACGGCGAATCGTGCCGCTTTGCGCTGGGCACTCGGGTGCATGCCAATCGATACATTCAGCAGTTCCGCGAGATCTTCACCGAGGAGGGGCGTAAGGCGGTCAAAATCACGCATTTGATACCCGGGCATGTGCCGATCGTCACCCACACGGGACTGACGAACGAGCAGCGCATCCTGTTGCAGCAACAGCAGCAGCAGCAACAACAGCAGCAGCGGCAGGAGAGACAACAGCAAACGCAGCAGATTATTGGTGAGTATTTTGTAAGATTTAGATTATCACAATATAAGAATTTTTGAATGTTTGATCCTTAATCAAATTTATAGATTAAAAATCGAGAAATAATTTTGTAGTATTTTATGTTAAAAAACAAATATCATATAGCAAAGCAAAATAGAAATACAAATATAAGAAATAAGTTATGGAATTGGCCATTGGGGTAATTCCAAACCTAAGTTACATACAACTTATGTGCTCGCACATAGTCCAATTTAATTTTTATTAAGTTTAATTCTAAGGCAGCTTATTTTATAAACCTACATTTGACTTTTCTTCTTATCATTTGATGTTATTATTCTTGCAGGAATGGGTCAACAGCAACAGTCTACCCTCGAGACCCAGTTGCAACAGCAGCAGCAACAGCAGCAGCCAAATCCGACTCAAAAGTTGCCACAACAACCGCAGCAACAGCAGCCACAACAACAAGCGCAACAGCAGCTATCCGCCACAGTGCATCATGTGGCACTGCCGCGACAACAAATAACTCAAAAGACTCTCAATTTGGCCGGAAGTAATGTTATTAATGTACAGCAAAACTTTCGCCAGCAACCGGCGCAGCAACAGCAGCAGCAGCAGCAAACCTACACAATCGAGGCACCGCCGCAGCAAGTTGCAACGCAGATTGTCCCGCAACAACAGCAACAGCAGCAGCAGCAGCAGCCACAACAACACATTCATCTTCAGCAGTTGGCCACCGGCAGCAATTCCTCCACAACAAC